ATAGAGAAGAATCTGATGAACTTGAGCAATAGTTTAGACAGAGAGTTGAGTGAAAAGGCTGACGACATGAGAGGAAAGTTTGACAAATATTGGGATGGAGTGAAGAACATCAATAGGCTTCTGATTGTTGCTAGTGTCCTTGATCCGAGCAAGAAAATGCAGTTTGCTAAGATATGCTTTGAAAGACTTTACGGCAAAGATACTGCACAAGCTAAATGGATGTATACTTCAGTCACTGAAGTTATGAAATCTCTGTTTGCTGAGTATAGCACTCGGTCTAAGAAGGAGGCCATTGTCACACCATCACAGACGGATCAAGCATCAACTTCCGGTGGCCATGGTTCATGCTCTGAGAACATGGATTTTGTGAATGATGAACAGGGGTATGAAAGGATGGATCAAGTTTATAAGGATATGATCAGTGGTTTAGGCGTTGAAGATGAACGGTCTGAGTTGGATATTTATCTGAGTGACAAAGTTGAAAATCCTAATACTTTGCTTGGAACAGAGTACGATGTCTTATCTTGGTGGAAGGTAAATGCAGGGAAGTTCCCAATTTTATCAGAAATGGCTCGAGATGTTCTTGCTATGCAAGTGTCCTCTGTTGCATCTGAAAGTGCTTTTAGCACTAGTGGCCGAATCATTGATCCGTATCGAAGTTGTTTAACTCATTACATGGTTGAGGTCTTGATGTGTACTGAGCAGTGGATGAAGGCTGAGATTAAGTTAGGCGAGAAAACATTTGTTTCAAACACGGAGATGCTTGCTGATGTTACATTGCAGGATGAACTCCAGAAAAGTAAGTTCATTTTACGGTTTTCCATTTCATGATTGATGTTTATATCCTAACATTCTGATTTTATATATCTTTTTCAGTGTATCCTAGACCCAACTAGAACTAGAAGTGGATATGGTCCTCAAAGTTCAAAGGTAACATGATTAATAACAACTTAAGTTATTGGGTTTCTATATTGTGCCGTGTTTTTGACTTGATTTGTTTCTGTTGTAACAGGCAATCAAAGATGTCAATGAGACATGGACACGGAGAAACAACGCGTTTTGGACTTTGAGACTCACCACTCTTCTTTCTTTTCATTTGATTGCTTTGAATTTCTTTCTTTATTTTCATTTGGTTGTGTTATGGAATGATATCACTTTGGTAATGACTTTTGTGTTGCTGGTTTTTAGTGTTTGGACGAGAATGATTTGTATTTTGTTCTTAGGTTGAATCAAGTTGAATGGTTGTTTTTTTATTTGTTCGGATTTCATTTGAAGTAACAGGTTATCAGGTCAATTTTTGTTTAAAACAAAGGAACTTACTCCAAACCGAAAGTATTTTTAGATCCGAAAAGTATATCCGGTAATACCCGAATCCGAAGAGAACCGAACCGAACCCGACCCGAATTTTATAATTATCCGAACGGATCCTTTTCTCTTAGGACCGAAATACCCGAAACCCGAAATACCCGATCCGAACCCGACCCGATAATCCGAATGCCCACCCCTAATCTAAAGCATCTGCCAAATAGGAATCTGGGTTTTTGTGAGTTCATCGTTTAAAGTTTTTAAATCAAACGCTGGAAACTGAAATTGGGAACTCTGTTTTGCAAAGACAACTGCAAACAAGTAGACAGCTCATTCATAGACTATGTTTTATTTTTTCACGGCAACAACCGTCGATGACTTATCAGATCTGTGGAATTGGCGGTGGCTGAACAGATCTACTTTTGCAGGTCAACTTACGGTCATTTTGTTTTTCACCTTTTAACTGCCATATGTTATAATTTTAAAATAGTGTAAGAGAGGGTTATATTGGGTTATAATGGGTCAAAATATGTTGGAAAGTCCTTAAAGTGTCTTCTAGTGTAATACACTCTAAGAAATGGGCAGAAATTATAAAGTTCATACAACTTATTTAGATTTGGATAATTGGATATATATTCGTCTTTCCGGGCCATAGTATTAGGTTGGTCTTAAGCATATATATTGGCTAAGTATTGTAGTCTCTACAAAAAAACACAATTATACCGAAACGACCTATAACTAAAACAATTACATTCGAACGAAGGTGACTAGTCGTTAGATTACTTAGATATATGTAAGCAACAACATACGAATGTGATGTAACTTAGTAGATAGGGTTATGTATGTAATTAGAAAGTAAGGATTGCAGGTTCTGAGCAACTTATTGGGTCAACTAACTATTTTTTTAAGTCAAACTTATAAACAAATAATTGAATATACGAGGAAACAAGAGAAGGTCCCATATGGTTGTATGGTTGGGAATAGAAGCTGCAGCCATTTATATATAAATTTTCCGAAACAAACAAAAGAGAGAAACGAGACAAAAAAGCAAACAAGAGGAAATTATGGAAACAAACAAGCCTAAGTCACCACCCCAAAATACTACTATATATGTCGTTAAAGCATTTTATAATTCTTTGATATTTCTTATCGTGGTATTGTTATTGTCACCGAAATCAAAGTGGACTCCACCACCACCCCCACTCATAAAAACAAGATTCAGAGAAGCAAACCAAGTAATGATAATCAAATAATACTTGTTAAAATTGTATGTAGTCAACATTTTTGTGTCCAATTCAGACTGTCTCGTGGAGTCCATGTGAGACATGTCTCATTTCTGATGTCAAATAACATCAAATCTGATTTAAATTCTTCTTCGCCATGCTGTTTTATACTATTCATGAATAAACATTCGAACGTTTTCATGCCCTGTAGGAAAAAAGTGTTTTCAAGTTTTATTGGAAAGTAAATGTCATTTATCGGTACGAGTTCGCCAACAAATGTTTTTAAGAAAAAATTGCGAGACTTGTATGTCCATCTTTAACTCTTAGTTACAAGTTCGTTAACAATAGTTTTTGTCAATCACTATTAATTGATGAAATGTTGCAAGGAAAATTATTAGCCAAATCTGGCAAGTCAGCTTTACTGAGCTAAGATTATGTTAATAAGTTAATTAATTTATTTGTGATCGACGGCCTCTTCGACATTGATTAGTCTTATCAGCAGACAAAGACAGGAAAGCATGGCATGCACGTATTCTGGACCGGGAATAAAGATCCATCCACAATTGTATATCGTGGTCATACATAACGGTGTACATTTTAATATTTTTTGTTATCAAAGGTACGAAAATTGGTTTAAACTTTAAAGGTAGCATAATTCATATTAGACTAAGTTAAAAAGCTCTCTCTTGTTTAAGGCTATACCAACAACTATAATGGAGTAGGAGTCTTCACACTAGTTAAAAGCTTGGTCAATAATACAGTGGTTGCTATAAGTGTCCAGTGGTTAATTAATTTGAGTTGGTTGGTACAAGTATCTAGTGGTCAATTAATTTCTTATCGTGATAAGTCAAATAAGTAGAAAACGATGTTCTAATAACTTCGTTTCATCTTTCGGCGGAAAAGAGAGATTGTTGATAGTTAGGGGAAAAAATTAGGATCGAAGTACTTCTCTTTCTGCTTCCCTTTTTTTCATTTTGCGGAAAATATGTGGTTTGATTTCGGAAAGTTTGTGAGAGCCCAATCAATCATAGTAAACCATTCATTCTCCCATCACCAATCATGCATCTTCTTTGAGCTTTAATTACTAAGTAATGAAGAATTTGAGTCTACACTATGCAAAATTAAGTGTTGTATTTGGATTATCGATAGCAAGACCCACATAAATAACAAAAATACAATGTCTGTTAGTATGTCGTAACCTTTAGATATTATTAATGCATATTAAGACATGCAAGCGTAAAACGTGGATAAATCTCTTTTTTAAACTATAGACTGAAACCTATGTACATACATACACCACCATCTAATTAGATAAATACGAGAACATTTTGTTGTCATTTTTGTGACAACATCGCAAGTTAATTCATGTAACCTTTTAAGAACCGCCGTTATAATTTCCGAAAGTTATTTTAGAAGAAACCTTTATCATAAAGATGTAATTAAAAAAGCAGTGGGAATTGGGGTGGGATAACTTGTAAGCGAAGAATCAAGAAGAATCACATCGCGTTCTCTTTTCTTGCCAAGTGGATATGAGATGGAGCCAAATGTCACCTTGAGTAACCCAACTAATTAAATGATGACACGTGTATTTGCCATGTCACACCGTCGTGCAGATGTTTGGTTCCAGTTTGTTTCGGCACCGTTATAAAACCCCAACGGGAAACTGAACAACTTTTCCGCATGGGCTAAACCGTTATCATAAAACATCTCGAGTGTTACGATTATAACCCTCTCTCTCACTAGTACCAATAATTAATCATCATCATTATTAATTTATTATTCAGTTTTTTGTTGTTGTAACGTTTTTTATTTAATAAATCACGAAAATGTTCGATGCACCCAAGGAAGAGACGCGACTTGTGTGTGTACCTTAAATGGAAAAAGAAAACAATAACATCGTTACAGGAATCTATCTACACTCGCATCAAAAAACGTCTAATACACGCTTTCACATTCAATGCGTTATACACAAAAGGGATAAAATCATTCATAATTGAATCTGGACCCCCAACTTGAAGGGGGTAATTATGTAAATCACAAAGACACGTGCCTAGAGAATGACGGTTTTAGCCCTATCACGTGATAGTCAACCCCACTTTACAGATATTCCGAGAGTAGGTCCCACAAAGTTACTTGCCATTACCCCGCGTAGTAGCCTAGTAGTAGGCCCACACTCGCTCTCTCCCCTGTACGCTGTATCACAGGCGCGTGTTATACCTTTTCAAACTGTAGGCGCGTGAAAGGCGCGTGAAAGGTTGAGACCCTCTCCTCCCACCACCACCACTTCTTCTTCTTCCTTCTACAAATACCTCTCACTCTCTTTCCCTCCTCTTCCAGAGTTGCTTTATATTTTTTTGTTTTCGCCTGAAACTGGGTCCCTTTGATTTTCTGAAGCTTATTATTGAAACTTAACGAAGCAGCAACTTTCCCTTTCCTCGATATTCGTGAAAAAAAAAATCTGTTCGAAATCCCATGGAGCCTACTTCCGTTATCGACGATGCTGAGTTCTGGCTTCCGCCGGAGTTTCTCACCGACGAGGATTTTCTCGTTGAGAAGGAGAATAACGGTGGTGAGATCGAAAAGTCTAACGAAAAACGTCATGGATTTGACTCGTTTGGGTTGGACTCGGGTTTTGGCTCTGCCTTTAAGCCAATCGGTGACGAGGATAATTTCTTAGCCGGATTGACCAAGCAGATGGTCCAGTCTACTCTGGAAGACGATTTCTCCACTGGATTTTCCGGTAACGGCGCTTTTCCGGCCGCGAATGACAACAAGGTAACTCGATTTAGAACCATTTCTTCTCTGAACTTCTCTCTGCTTTCCGTCGATTTCCGATTTTGGGTGTTATTGATTTCTAACTTTTTTTCTTATGGTCCTTCAGGCGTGGGGTACGACTCGTTCGCCTCTCTGTACAGCCGGAATCGAATGCGGCTGCCGGAATCAGCGGTCAATCCAGAACTGCCAGTCGCGAGTTTCTTCTCAGGCGACATGGGATCTGTACTGCGCCGCGGCGGAGGAAATGGCGAAGATGAATATCAAAGACGAATCGTACGGTCACAACAACCAGATTGACAGAGGATTTCTAAATCTTCCTCGGAAACATCCCCTCGCCGCCGCTAAAATCCCTAACAACGGCTCTGCTTACCACAACCACCAGTCTCTCTCATACCAGAAGCTACAAGCTATCCAAGTAATCAATCAATCACACGACTCCCACCTCCGATTCAACATTTCAGTTCTGAGTTTTTTTGGATAATATTATGCTGATTTCATTTCTGCTTCATTTTGTCTTCTTCCGCAGTTTCAGCAGCTTAAGCACCAACAAATGATGAAACACCATCGCCAATTGCTGCAGAGCAGATGTAAAATTATTAGCAACAAAAACGGTGGTGGTCCAGTGGGTTTGTCGCCATCTGCATGGGCTAATCAGCTTCCGAGACGCGACGGTTCGGGTATGCGGGCTGTTTTCCTCGGAGGCCACGCCGGAAAACGTGGCTCAACCGGAACCGGCGTCTTCTTGCCCCGTAGCGTTAACCATACTTCCCCTGCAACCTCTGAGAAGCTTAATAAGTCCCGTAAGTGTTTTAAAAGATTTCCAAATTCCCTAATGTCAATTTCTGGGTTTTTTTTACTGATGAGGAATGTTTGGGTTTAGCTCCTGCGGCGGTTTTGGTTCCGGCGAGAGTGGCGGAGTTCCTGAACCTAGACGATTCGGTGGTCCACCCAGTGGTTCGTTCTTCAACAGCTCTCAACGGTATAACTAATCTCAAACAACCCACCACGAGCGATTATTCAGATTAATTGAATTTTATAATCATTTTGTTAACTTTTTTTCTGTTGTTATTTAGCAGATGTGCCGTGGAGACAGCGGAGCAACAATGGCGGATTATCGAGGCAGATTCACAGTGGCGTGAGGTCGGAGCAGACAGTGAACGAGCTTCAGTTACCTTCGGAATGGGCTTACTGACCGATTTAGTTTCCTCCGTAGCTTTTAGGGTGATGATTTTGGGGGTTTTGAAGAAAGAAAAAGGAAATTAGATTTGATGACAGGTAGTGGAATAGTGGAGAAAGTATGGTTAATAATATACAGATTAAGTAGAAGATTTGAAGGAGGAAGATAATAAAGAAAGGAGATGTGGAGAAGACGAGGTTTTGGATCGTTTAACCACCATTGATCAAAGCTGATAAGAGGAAGAAAAATGGATTGAGAGAGAGGCGACTTTTGTTTTGGTTTCGTTTGTTCTTGGAAATTAAATAACGGTCTATCACCGGGTTGTTGCTTTAGCTTTCCCCGCCTTCTCTCTCTTTTGTTCTCACAGCTCTTACGCAGTGGATAAGTGTTTGTAATAAAAATGATTTGTTAAAATAATTTTGTTTGCCATTTACTAATGTTTATTTACTAGTACTAATTTCTGTGATCTATGCATGCGGAATCATATAAGATTTTTGTAAAAACAAATTACAAGACGTGTTACAGCGGGATTGTCCCAATCACTTAGTTTGATTTATTCCAAAGCTTAAAAGATTTTGTGGGGTTTGTCTGCCAAAAAAACTATGGTTCCATATGGTTTTCATTATTTGGCTAATAATTGGATAAGAAAATCTAACGAACGGAGATGTAAAACAATCCATAAGGAGGTAACATACACCGTCTTAAATAAAACATAGTAGTTTCTTATAAATTAGTTTTATACGCAAGTATAATTCATACACAAAAAAACACAAGTATATAGATTTCAATCAGAATAATAAGGCAGCAGTTTGTACAGATGAAATCCACTTGGGCTGTGAGTCTTTGCGACCACGATTGACAAATATTAGCTACTGATACTGTTAAAAAAAGTGATTTTATCATGGGCGAAAATACTAAACTTTTTTGGTCTTGTTATTAGCAAGCTAACATATGTCCTGCAAAATTCTTGATGTACCCAAACCTAAAGTTTCATTTGGAGCAGTCTCGTTAGAATAAGCAAATAGTTGCTTGTGGGTACGTAGATGAAGAATTCATCAATAAAGTTCCAATTCCCATAACGTGCAACAATGTTTAGCGAGACTGGTTTTTGGTGGGTTTGCGCTAGACCACATATCGCAAATTCATGTAAACTTTGCGCTAGACTGATTTTTGGTGGGTTTGGATTACAGTTTTGTTTTGTGCTAAAGTTTGGATTTTGTAGGTTAATGTTAGTTCTTTTGTTTATTTGTCGTTAGATTTCTCATGGTTTGGATTAAAGTTTTGCTTTTGTGCTATAGATTGAATTGTTTTTGGTCATTTTAATTCTTTTGTTTATTTATGTTAGATTTATATTTGAGAAGTTTACTAGAGTAGCATAAATTTTCATGTTAATTACTAGATTAACTCAAATTATTTTAAAATTACTAATTTTTATATTATACCTATATTACCCCTAAATGATTTGATAAGAAAAAAATGTAATTACATAATTGCCATTATTATTTATTTATACGTCATCAATTTTTTTTTTTTACGGAATTGCCAAAATCCAATCTGATAAATCTGTTAATTTATTGACGACAGAGTTTTTAATTTTCGACAGATTTAGTTCGAATGGCAGATTTTTCATTTAGATGACAGATTTATCTTATGTGACGAAGCGACAGATTTACCATGTCTCACAGTTTTGTTTACTATGTCAGACTTATTTGATAGATTTGTGGCTATTGATGCAACAGAGTTATTAATGTCTGCCAGATTTAAATTACGGTGACAGACTTTCTTCACTTATTTGATTAACCTCTGACAGACTTCCGTAACATGAAGAGCCAGATTTTATTTTGTAGTGTTAATAACGACAGACTTATGGTACATGTAATATAAATCTGTCATCACAATGAGTTCAAAGTTCAATCACGGTACTAATTTTTACGTTGTCACAGACTTTCTTTACATGGTGGCAGTTTTAGTTTTTGAAGCACAAATCTGTCTTTGACAGCAGTCTTTTATTGTGTATATTGTGTCAGATTTATCATTTAGTAAGATAGGGGATCTATGGCAGCAGACTTTCCTCGACAGATTTATGCCTATATTTGGTAACAGATTTACTATGACGACTAATTATTTGATAACCACAGATTTATTGAACTCATGACAATGACCTTTTTAACCTTTTAAAATGTGAGTCCACCTAGGGTTAGCCGTCAGTTTTTGTTTTCTCCTTTGAGTTACGCATGGCAATAACTTCTTCTTCTTGGATCTAATTTTTTTCCTTCTTAGATCATCACAATAATCATCTTCCATGGAAAAGATTATCCTTGTATGTGGAAAATGGATGTTCCAAAAAGGCAGATGGTTGTTTGAGGTTGATCAAAAAAGAGGGTGCAAAATCCTCTCAGTAAATGATAGTACAAGTTTCGATTATTTCGTTACAATGGTATTCGAAGATTTTAAGGTTGATAGAAACATCTATGAGGTGGAATTGAGTTACATGTTCTCAAAGCTGATGCGACTAAAATTACCTCAAGATACACCACCGGTGAGTGTCGGAACTTCTCGACAACTCCATGAGTTTCTAAATCAACAGAAGACTGAGAATGCTCGTCTTTGTGTCGAAATTAAGAAGAAAGATGTTAAGACAAGGTCGTCACTTCCGAAGCGGAAAAAAATAGATGATGATCTTGAAGAAAATCTCGCAGATCAAGAAGAAGATGATGATGATGATGATGACGAGGACATCGGTGACATATTTGATTACTGTGACGATTCGGTTGGAGCATCATCAGATGATGAGAATTTCACTTTGTATGGAAAGCTTCCGCAACCCGATGAGCATGTTGAGGAAAAGAAAACTCCCCTGGAAATGAATCCCACACCAGTGACAAAGAAAGCAAAGGGAATTCCTCCAACTGTTAAGTTAGAGTTGAGTTCACTTACTCTAACAGTTGGGCAGCAGTATGAGACAAAAGACGAATTAGAGATGCGGTGTAAGATTTTGTCAGTTTTACATCATTTTGATTTCAATGTCGACAGATCAGACCCAGAGATGTTAGTGATTAAGTGCTGGATAGAAGGCTGCAGTTGGCGAGTTCGAGCTACACCTGTTGGTGATTCTACACAATTTACTATTCGCAAGTATGTTGCAGAACATACATGCTCTGTTACAGAACGGTCTGCTAGTGCTCGAAAAGCAACTCCAAATATACTAGGCGTATTGTATAAAGATTTTGTTGGTAGTGTTGATTCAATGGTTAAGCCAAAGCATGTTTCTCATGCGATGAATTTGAGATTTGGTATTAAAGTAAGTGGTTACATTTTCACATATTACTATCTTCTTCGTTTTTGTATTGATTACTAATACACTTTTTACTCTAGATGGACTACTCGAAAGCGCATCGCACACTTAAAGAAGCACGGAAGTTGGTTAGGGGTTCTGCTGAAAGCGGATACGCAGAGTTACCTACGTACTTACACATGATAAGAAGGACTAATCCGGGAACACTTACTCGTCTCGAAGTTGATGAGAATCAACGCTTTAAATATCTTTTCCTTGCATTTGGAGCAAGCATCAATGGTTTTCCCTACATGAGGAAAGTGATTGTGGTTGACGGAACGTTTTTGAAAGAAAAGTACAAAGGAACGCTGTTAACTGCATCAGCACAGGATGGTAATTTCCAAATATTCCCTATCGCTTTTGCAGTAGTTGATACAGAGAACAACAAGTCTTGGGAATGGTTCTTTAGGCAGCTTAGCAACGTGATTCCAGATGACGAAGGGCTTGCAATTATCTCTGATAGACATAAAGCTATTGCGAAAGCGATTGGGAAGGTTTACCCTATGGCTAGTCGTGGAGTTTGCACATATCATCTTTATAAGAATATTCTGCAACGCTTTAGAGGTCGTTGAGCCACGTTGTAATGGGCACTTGAGTTGACGACGTCGTTGTTGTCACGGGCACTTGAGTTGACGACGTCATTGTTGTAACGGGCACTTGAGTTGACGACGTCGTTGTTGTCACGGGCTTGTAAAAGATCTTTTAGTGTTTGGATATCTTTCTCTATAGTGGCCATCTTCTCCTCAACGGGTTTTACTCGCACGTCGACCCTAACGTCGATAGCACCATCCAAACCGACCAACACCTTTTTAGGAAGATTGTTGTCCATGTTGTCCATTTTTTCCGTTAGCTTTTTCATCATATCCACGATCCCACTTATCCTCAAGAGCTCAAAAAATGACATTCATTGATCACCACCTTCACCGTGACGGTTTTCTACCGCCTCTGCCTCTTTAGCTAGAACCTAAAATGTCAAAGAACAACAGAATTCTTGAAACAATATTCACCTCTTAAATGTAATAGTTGCCTAGGGAGAAAAACAGAAAAAGACGAGTGCAATGAAACGAAAAAAAAAACAATGTGTCGAGAAAAATAGAATACCTTTGGAGCGTCTTCCTCATTTGGACATTTTGCACCTTTTTCTTCATGTTTCTAGACTTGTCAGCTGCACTAACTCCATAAAAGTCTTTGCGTTTTTTGGCCTGTTTCGTGATCTTTTTTTCCACGGTTTCATTTTTGTCACTGTCATTGTCCCACGCATTTTCATCAAGCCGATTGTGTTTTAAGTCTTCGAGCAAATTGTCAACCTCTTCATCAGTGACCTCGTCATCCCACTCAGGATTTAATTCGTCACTTAACTGTGGGAAAAAATGCCTAACACGAATCTGAAAACAAAATGAAACAGTATCCAAAAACTGAGTTAGTACCAAAAAAATGCAAAGATTTCAGAAAACAGAAATACGTGTATGTACACAATAAGTAAAAGATATTTACAGAAATAGTCAAATAAAGAATACAATGCTCAATTAGGCATTAACATAACAAATGGTGATAGTTAAAGAGAATATTTTATCTAAATAATGAGACATACCTTCGAATGAGTTTTTTTCTCAGTGGCTATGAAGTCCTTGAACTCAAATCTTGGACGACCCCCACCCCATGAAAGAAGTGGAATTTCTTTTTCTTCGTCTTCTTCTTCTTCTCCTTCTTCTTCCTCATTGTCTTCTTTTGCTTCTCCAAATCTTTTTTTATTTCCATACAATTCTCCAACACCAACAATGGCCTCATATGCCCAAATAAGCAACACATGGACTAAACCACATAACGTATATGACTTCTTCCCAGTATAACTTGCTATCTTTATCGAGTTCATCAAACTCTTGCAAGCAACCCGACCCCAGGGATAGCTCTCAAATGCTTCTGGATCAAGTACTCTCTTGGCACACTCAAGAGGAATTCGAGTCTCCGGAGAAACGCCAAAGATACCTATGGACAGAAGACACAACCATCCAACCATTCTCCTCTTCTCGAAACTCCAGTTCGTGCATCTGTCTAGTACCAATCGCAACTGATTCAAGCAAGGTCCTCTCGATGTAGGAACTTCCATTTCACCCCAAAATGGTGTATGGTCGAACTCAAAGCTGACAGAAGTTTTAAACGGCTCACAATTCAGGCCTGTAATATTCCCAAATTCCAACAAAGACAAACGAATTGGCTGGCAATCGATCAACGACCACAACTCATAATTCTTCTTTGTAGCCAACTGATGCGTTAGTAGATAGTGGACAACCTTGGCAGACCATATAAACTTAACATCTTTCAGTTTAGCTATAACTCCAATAGAAGAGTTCTTCACGGCATCCCAAGCATCTATTCCAATTTTTTCTTCCACTGTTTTTATGTTGGACACATAGCAATTATAATTCACGCTATGCTCTTGGAGAGGAGCTCTTCCCTTTCTGAAGAGAAGTGGGGGATATTTCCCTCTACCACTTGATGCAGCCCTTTCTAGCAAGACAGAAAATAAAAAGAAATCACCTTCCAATCAAAATTAGGCCACAAATACAAACTAGGAACACCAAATCTTTACTATATAATCAAGTCTGTTATGTATGAAGTTTAATGTTCTGAATTTCTAAGTTATATCAAGTCCGTTCCCTCTGTTTCATGAATTTCTTACACAAATCAGACAATTTGGAAAAAATGATCTCAATCTCGAAGCTATTCTCAGAAAATATGAAAATTTGGTTTTGAAATGCAGATAATTTGAAATGCAGATAATTTGAAGCTACTCTGAGAACAATCCAAAGCTACCATCTCGAAATTACGTTCGTTCAATGAAATAAAAACACAAGTCCGAGAAGTTTACACTGATTGGGGAGACGGAGTCGACGAGGTGAAGAACACTTGACTGAAATTGAATAGAGGGAACTGAAATTAAGAGGAGAAGAATAGGCGGCAGGCGGAGGCGGCGGGCGGAGGTGAAGAGATGACGTGAGAGAGGCGACTTCGTAATCGACGTCGGAGACGGCGACGGAGTTTAGGTTTTTTTTTTGGTAAAAGACAAAGTACAGAATTTTAATACGAATTTTAATTGTACAGATTTTAAACTTAATAATAATAATAAAAGTAAATGGCATAATTATTTGAGTCTCCTAGGGGTATTATGTCATTTCAAATAAAATCAGTGTTAATCTAGTAAGTTATGTTTTGGGTATGTTTACTAGGTGTTAGTCCAGTAATTTAAGGAAAAAATAGTGTTAGTCTGAGTAATTTCTCTTACTTTTATTATTATTATTATTAAGGTCATTGTCATGAGTTCAATAAATCTGTGGTTATCAAATAATTAGTCGTCATAGTAAATCTGTTACCAAATATAGGCATAAATCTGTCGAGGAAAGTCTGCTGCCATAGATCCCCTATCTTACTAAATGATAAATCTGACACAATATACACAATAAAAGACTGCTGTCAAAGACAGATTTGTGCTTCAAAAACTAAAACTGCCACCATGTAAAGAAAGTCTGTGACAACGTAAAAATTAGTACCGTGATTGAACTTTGAACTCATTGTGATGACAGATTTATATTACATGTACCATAAGTCTGTCGTTATTAACACTACAAAATAAAATCTGGCTCTTCATGTTACGGAAGTCTGTCAGAGGTTAATCAAATAAGTGAAGAAAGTCTGTCACCGTAATTTAAATCTGGCAGACATTAATAACTCTGTTGCATCAATAGCCACAAATCTATCAAATAAGTCTGACATAGTAAACAAAACTGTGAGACATGGTAAATCTGTCGCTTCGTCACATAAGATAAATCTGTCATCTAAATGAAAAATCTGCCATTCGAACTAAATCTGTCGAAAATTAAAAACTCTGTCGTCAATAAATTAACAGATTTATCAGATTGGATTTTGGCAATTCCGTAAAAAAAAAAAATTGATGACGTATAAATAAATAATAATGGCAATTATGTAATTACATTTTTTTCTTATCAAATCATTTAGGGGTAATATAGGTATAATATAAAAATTAGTAATTTTAAAATAATTTGAGTTAATCTAGTAATTAACATGAAAATTTATGCTACTCTAGTAAACTTCTCTAAAAGTAAATGGCATAATTATTTGAGTCTCCTAGGAGTATTATGTCATTTCAAATAAAATCAGTGTTAATCTAGTAAGTTATGTTTTGGGTATGTTTACTAGGTGTTAGTCCAGTAATTTAAGAAAAAAATAGTGTTAGTCTGAGTAATTTCTCTTTATATTTTTGTGTGGATTAATGTTTGTTTTTTTGAGGTAAAGTTTGGATTTTCTTTTGGACAAGGTAAACAAATTTCACACCAACACCACCACAATCATCATTCCTGGAGCTCATATCAGAAACATCGTTTAGGGAAAAATTCTATTTTAGTTTGGAGAAATATCAATTGTGCACAGAAAACAAACAACTTTTAAATTCGAATTGGATATCCCAAAACATTGAACAAATATTAGAAAAAATGCTATATAGATGGATTTTTTTCTCAAAATGATCCAATTAAAAAAATGAATCACCAATCATGACCGATTTGGGGTAGGCAAATAGAGGAAATCACATACGTAAATCTGTAATCAAACATTTATATAATTTTATATGATTGATGTTTCATATTTAAGGTTGCTGTAGGGAGACAATTCACATCTGTGCTCCGATACCGTTGGAACGGTCCTGATGGAGGGCGTTATTTTGAACAATTTATGTCCGTTAACCTTTGATATACGCTCTAGAAATCTCATAGGGGATATCCAGGAGGGCAAAACGTTTTCAGCGGAGATGCATGTGCACAAACGTGAAGATTATGTCTGTAAGTTTTTAATTACAATTTGAATTTTTAATTATGATTTGAACTTTTATTTACTTACACTTATGTCCGTTTTAACGTTGCTATTTCGGAATTAAGGAGGAGGACATGCAGTGCCAGCCCGAAGTCTTACGGCGTTAAACTGTTAAAGGACACACAATTTTTTTTGCCCCATTTACCACAACAATTAATATTTTTTTTCAACTGCAGACAATTATTTACAAATCACTAAAAACCTAATTTGTTTGAGTTTTGACCACTTCATCTTCTCTTTGTTCGTTCTCTTCCTATTTGCACATCCACCTTTTTTTTTGATAAAATATTTGCACATCCACCTTGGTTCAGTTCTGTTTAGTTCTTCAATTTTCCAAATATGAGAGAGTATGATATAGAATTAGAACACAATGATAAATTTCATGTTTGTTCATAAGGTTTAATGTAAGAGAAGAAGATGAAACGAAGATAAAAATTAGGTTGCTTTGGTCGTTTCGTGTCAGTTACGGAAAGGGAAAAAACGAAGATCTCTTTATTCAATAATTAAAGAGTCAATAACTCAGCCGATCGATATCTAGACAGATCGATCCATTTAGATGGGTCCATCACATGGCGGTCGGACCACCAATTCCGCCTTCATGGTCATACTCTCACTAAGCCATGGTACCATAGGCAAACAGATCTTAATCATATTTCTTGAATCTCTTAATATATGATCTTGATAACGTTTGGCATATATACAATCAAGTTAATATTTCAATGTATATACAGCAAAATATAACAAATCTCGGTGGTTTACCAAACCAAAAAGGAAAACGAAGAGCAACAAACCTACTAATTTTCAGGAAATGTGTTTGAGTTGTATGTTAACCAGTAAAGTGTTTGTTGAGACTCTAAGGTTGATGACTTTTGGGCACTGAGAGGTTAGACCATCAAAGAAGACAAACATAGTAGGTTTCTATTGTCTTAAATGCAGTGATGGAATTGTGAGGGCTTGGAACCAAAAAAAGAAAAGAAAAATGTTGCAAACAAAAACGCAAGTAACTCAGGCTTCCAAATACATGATGCTCTCAGAAAGATCGCAATAACTCATGTGCAAAGACTCGGGCTCTAAAGGGTGGCCCCGAAATTCGGAGGATAACACAACCTGTCGTATCGTCTCACTAGTCTCCAAATCGAAAAGGATGTGCATTGACGAGAACCTATTAACGAAGCACCTAATGGTACCCTCACGACTGGTGCCCTGTATGAACAAGTCACCCCTTGGGAGTAAAGCGATGCCTCTGATAGGTGGAACAAGAGTCGTCTTGTTCGACCATTGACTCTTCCCGGCATGCTCCACAACCCACAGGTCTATACTACCTTCACTCGAGAGACGGGTGTAGTCAAAAACAGCAATTTTTCCTCTGTACTTCATTAGATTGGTGGCACGAGTGTCCCACGTGATGCCAGCTTCAAGGGGTAATTCAATCAGATTAAAATCCTCAGAGCTCATGTCAAAACTCACAAGCACACATGTACTCTCCTCACCAGCCCATGCACCGTAATACAAAACGCCGTCCATAGAGATACCTTGTGAGTAAGGACGATGAGGAGCAACGCTCTGGGTGGTGTTGCTTCTCCTCCAAGAAGCTCCAGGACCAAGCACCAGCACCTGATGCTCCCATCTCATTACCTTGTCTTGTGTGATCCCCCAAACTAGGCTAAGCACTTTGTATGCGTCCTGAATAGGGTCGTATCCAAAGTGGCTCCACGTATTGGAACCATCTTCCAAAACAAGGCTCGATTTAACTAATGGCAATTCCACCTGCTGCTTGGTGGTCACGTTACAGATCCGATATCTTCTCCCTCCAATTCTGAAACACATCAAGCCGCGAAGAGCGTTCACGAGGCAGCCTCCCACTTCCGGTACGGTTACCTCTATGTGGAGTCCACAGAATTTCTCGGCCGCATACTGAGGCGCTGCTGTGAGCAGCAATGCATGGCCGTACTTGTCCGTTAGATACATGAAACGTAGCGGCGATGAAGCTCTAAGGAAAAGATTAGTTAAATAACGAGAGGAGATGATGGAGGACCAGAGCTTTGAGACGCACTTGAACCTCATCAATGATTTCGCTGGCAATCTCGCCAGGATCTCCATCAACACATCCTCAGGGAACCCCGGAACGGCGGTGGCGGTGGCGGCGGCGGCGGCGACGGCTGGTCTTGGAACGGGCTTTAAGAGGGATCTTCTCTTCCTTTTGGCTCTTCCTTCCACCTTCGACCTTTTCATCTTCTTCGTCAATACTTTCACGGCGGCCAAACGAAAAGACATTCCCATAGTTCCAAAGTCTCTTTTCTTTTCTTTTACCTTTTTTTTTTTATATATATTTTGGCTCCTAGGCATTATTGATTGATTGTACTTAATAAAAAAACAGAACATAACTCGTTTCGTCCTACTCAAGGCAGACCTGCGTCACCCCCATACGGCCCAAGCCCATGTTGTAACACAGTGTCAATCATTTAATCCTCCTTGGGAATCCTCCTTTTTAATGCTTCACACTGCTAAGTGCCATAAATCTATCAATTGTCAAACTTGCAAGCTTGTATTTATCAAAAGAAACATTTCTTTTACTCGGGATATTGCTCTTCTTGGGCCTTTATAGTTTAAACCGATTTTTGGTTATATGATTCAGCTTTTACAATGTCTATGTATCTCATTTTTCTTCTTATTTCGAAGTTACATCGTCAGTTTAAATCTGAAGTATGTAACATGAAGTATTTAACCTGAAGTTGTCCTTTGGGATGTTTATTTTTGGAACAAAATGCTACCATACTCTTGATTTAAGAAAAAGGAAAGAAAATGTTGTAGTGCTACTGCTTTCTCTATGAATCCATCTCTCCTGCCAAAAACAGTTTTTAGTCAATTAACACTTAAGTCTTGTTTCTGATTGGATAACAGTGTTTACACTATTTGTGCACAAGTAGAACACTTACTCAGACACTTTCAAAGCCATATTTGTGTGTGGGTGCATAAGAAGAAACTGTCAACGACTTTCCAATCGCCCTGACGCGTTCTGTTGAGCAACACTGATTTGCGGAGTCTAGCAGGAATTGGTACTGAAGAAGGGACTGAAACCCAAGGCTTTGTCTGATATATGTTGGCATAATCATTCTCAGACAAGGTGATGATGAATTGCCCTTGGAGAATATATGGTAGAATTTAGCAATATGTTCTGTTAGAACAAAGAATAAGCTCCTCGTGGGCTGCAAATCTTAAGGTCAAAAAGCTTTTATGTGATGTTTTGAACCTCAAACCTCCTAGGAATAGGTGGCGCCCATGGTCGACAGCGAGAGCGACAGCTAGTCGTTTCCCTTTCGATATCTCCGTTCCTCTGATTGGCTCTTGTATTCCATGTGGTTAACTTTGATTTGTTTGATTTATTGATTTCAATGTAAAACTTGTCATGAATTCGTTTGATGTATGCAGGTCATTGTATCTTTTTGCGGCGGAGATCAATGAGAAGGTCATGGCTTTCAAAAAGACGAGGGGGCTGGTGTAGAACTCTCGACTAAGAAGCTCTTTGGTGTTGTTCAATAATGCTATAGTAACCTTTGTCTTTGTCTTTCTACTACTTGGGTCTTTCTTATGCTTTGTGTTTGTGTTTTTTCCCTAAGTAAACCTCAATGCCGTTTGTGTGTCGACGGTTTTTAAAAGCTCAAAATGTATGAGCCGTTTGTTAATTTGTGGATGCTTAAGCTCAATAACCATTGTCCTAGTATTTACTAATTCGTTTCATTGGGTAGACGAAAGCATCATCTCTACACTGTCTAAAACCATATTAGCAGACCAGTAAACACGGTTTTTAAAAGCCGTTTGTTAATTTGTGGATGCTTAAGCTCAATAACCATTATCCTAGTATTTACTAATTCGTTTCATTAGGTAGACGAAAGCATCATCTCTACACTGTCCAAAATCATATTAGCAGACAAGCACGGTTTTTTCCCCCGTTTAAGATAAGTAAACGTTTTCAGTGAAATTAAAATTATACGTGAGAAAATTTCATGATGCATAATAATAATTTAACATTCAGCAAAAGCTTTTACAAATTGGATTCTCTTGTCACACGCTCCACACTTCTCAGTGTACTTAAAAGTGAAGCAGGTGTGTTTTCGAAGTTGCCTCATACTGAGGCATGCATGAACCCAACAACTCAAAAAACTTTGGAAGCGCTTGCCATTGCTGAAATGACCATATTATCCAGCGGGAGACACCAAGACGGAGTTTGCTTCCCGGATCCTCCAAGATCACCCTTAACACTTGAAGCACAGATGAAGAGAGCACTTATCCACCGATCGATATCTTAAGGATAGAGCTCATGAGGAAGCTACAGGAAGCTAACGAGCACTTATGCAAAAACGCTTCTTTGATGCCACACACAGTAGCACAAGCCAATAAAACAGTAACGAAAGTCTCTTCCTTTGGTTTCAACCCTTGTTTAGTCGTCATTTCCTCGAACAGATGCAACCGCATCAACTCCCAATCCGTTATCATCCGTGATCAAACACTCTTTTAGCATCAGAGACACTCCCACACTCTCCAAACATAGTGATCACCGCATTGTTTAGTCTCTGGTCAGCTCTAAACTTAGACTGCAAGAAACGATCGTGTGCCTTCTTTGGAATGCTCACGTGATTTCAGATTCGCACACGACTCAAACAGCAAAGAGAAACATTCTCCATCAGGTATAGCTCCCTTATCAATCAATTCGATGGCATCGTTATAACTTATATCTCCTGAGCTTGCACAATCACAATCGTTATATCTCAGTTTTTGGAGTAGTAATGGTAAAAGGTGGACTTTTTACCCAAAAAAGGTCAGACTTTTGAGTGTTGACCATTTTTAATTTTTCAAGGAGATATCTCAAACAAGCCTTTTTTTTTGTTGAATTTACTTCATTTGCTCTCAGTTGTTGAACTACCCCGATATCAATAGAGGAAGGTAGAGAGACCAAATTCAGCGTTGGGTTTTTGCTTCAGGTGTAGATCTTCCACTCTGGGTTTGCCCCTAACTCGGAATCGCTGCGGAGCTCCAGATTTGATCGGCGATGGATGCGACGCAGCAGAATCACTTGCCGAAGAAGAAGAAATCCGAAACTGAAGACGAGAAGAGGTTCATGTGTTTCCATTTCCTTATCTCAGCTGATTTAGTCGATTTCTAGCTGTATTTGAACTAGGTTATTTGTCGTTTGATGTATCATCTGAGAATTGTATCTGGAATAGGAGGAAGAAAATCGTTCCCGGGAGCTTGTTGAAAGCAGTGGTGAGACCCGGAGGAGGCGAGTCGAGCCCCGTCGATGGTGATCAGGTACTAATTTCGATTTCAATTCTTGTCGTTAACATAAACGAGACGATCTGGGTATCGAGAAAGAGTGGTCATTTCGGATGCTTATGAGTGTTTTTTTACCTCAGGTTATTTATCACTGCACTGTAAGGACACTGGAGGGTGTAGTAGTGGAATCTACGAGGTCAGAATGTGGAGGTGAAGACTGACGAACATTTCTCAGTTGAATCTTTTAGCTGGAAGTTGCTCTAAGGGTTTTTTTTTGTTGGGGACTCATCGAATGTGTTTGGTGTTCTATCAGGGAAAGGTTTACCGGTAAGAGATGTATTGGGGAAGAGCAAAATGATACTTGGATTGCTTGAAGGAATCCCCACAATGCACAAGGCTGAAATTGCAATGGTAACTCTTAAACTTTTCGAAGATAACATTTGCTAGATTGCTTTATCATTTGAGTTACTTGAAATCCAATGAGTTCGTGGGTCAAATCTTCCATTAGCTGTTTCAGATTACTGTCTTGGTTCTTCACGGCTTAAGAAGTCTTCCATCTTTATTTCTTTCAGTTCAAGATGAAACCTGAAATGCATTATGCGGAGAGGGATTGTCCAGTCTCAGCTCCAGACAGTTTTCCTAAAGACGATGAGCTTCATTTTGAGATTGAGTTGCTGGATTTCTCTAAAGCCAAGGCAAGTTCTCATCACTGACCATTACGACAGTGCTTTAGTTCTGAAAACTTGCGTTTTGTCTGTTCTGACTTTAAGCTTTCACTTCCTTTGTGTTAATGTTTCAGATTGCAAGTGACGATCTGGGGGTTGTCAAGAAGGTAAGACCTGATTTTCCATATTTATAGACATTTTAGATAAGTTTGGGGATGATGTATTATCTATAGAGTCTTGGGGTAAGGGTAGTGTAAGGAAGAATAAGCATATGTAGAATGATATGATTCAAGTCTTTCTTGTTCTTCCTGATGCCTCATGTATTGCAATCCTTTTATATGAAAGATTATAAATGAAGGTGAAGGTTGGGAATCTCCCAGAGAACCCTATGAAGTAAAAGCCAGGTAATTTTTAATTCTTGATTATCTGATTCCCCTTCCCTTGTGGGCTTCAATGTTAATTCAAGTTCTACTGCATTTTTGTGGTGTTTATTAGGATATCGGCTAAATCCGGTGATGGACAAGTGATCTTCTCTCACACAGAAGAACCTTATTTCTTCACCATTGGAAAATCTGAGGTGATTGTTAAGTTTATGGGGCATTTTTAGCTTATTACTCTGTCCATGCATATCCGGTCTTGGGGAATACATTTCTGACTATTGCTTGTCAATTAGGTAGGTGCCTAAAGGTCTTGAAATCGGAATTGGAACAATGGCTCGGAAGGAGAAAGCAGTGATATATGTTCGGAAGCAGTACTTGACTGAATCTTCTTTAATGCATATAGCTCAAGATCTTGAGGAGGTTCATTTTGAGGTTGAACTGGTCCATTTCATTCAGGTATAAGATTGTCGAAACTTATATAATCATGTTTCCTTTTGTAATTTTGTGCCTTAAGAATTAGGAGATTGAGTGATTGACATTCATCTCAATTTGAAGGTGCGAGATATGCTTGGAGATGGACGTCTCATGAAACGTCGGATTCAAGATGGAAGAGGTATGTTTCACACTTTCTTTTTAATAGTTTCTGCTAGACTCCAGTTTTGTTGCCCTACACTACTCTAATCTGCAATGATTCACCAACTTATTAGGCGAGTTTCCAATGGACTGTCCTCTCCAAGACAGTCGCTTAAGCGTTCACTACAAAGGCATGCTTCTTAATGAAGAGAAGACCATCTTCTATGATAGCAGGGTTGACAATAATGATCAGCCATTAGAGTTCAGTTCAGGAGAAGGAACGGTCAGTTACTCCAACATTTAGAAACCTAGTGTAGTTACTTACGCTTTTCATTTCAAATATATGTCTAGGTATGTGGTTGCTTAAGATTATAATGTCGCAACGGCAGGTGCCTGAGGGGTTTGAGATGTGTACTCGTTTGATGCTGCCTGGGGAAATTGCTCTTGTTACATGCCCCCCTGATTATGCATATGACAAATTTCCGAGGTTACACTCGTAAACTGTGTAAATCACGCTGAACATGATGATAGCTTATAATCTCTTGCTGGAGAAATAAGCGCTTTTTAATTGTTTCCTCTCCTGATAGACCGCCTGGCGTTCCTGAAGGTGCACATGTTCAGTGGGAGATTGAACTCCTTAGCTTCGAAACACCAAGGGTAAGTTGATCTAGTGTTGATGCTTACCATAGGAATTGTAAACAGCAGCTTCCATTTCTAATGAATCTGGAGATTCGTGTCACAGGACTGGACTGGTTTGAACTTCCAGAGCATCATGAATGAGGCAGAAAATATCAGAAGCACGGTATGCATCAAATGCCTGCTATTACATACATTTGGCATACACTCTTAAAATGTACCACTACAGAGCAGATCTTGTAACTTACCACTCTTCTCTGCTTTTGGTTAAAAACTTTGAATTTCAGGGTAATAGGCTTTTCAAAGAAGGAAAATTTGAGCTTGCAAAAGCAAAGTACGAAAAGGTAAGAGTCCAAAATGCCATAGCCAATTCAGTTTCCTTTCTTTCTCAGTGTGTTTTAAGTCCAGTATTAGCATTTGTTTCCTTGTTCCTGAGCGGTGAACCCATAACCAGGTGCTCCGGGAATTTAATCACGTAAACCCACAAGATGACGAGGAAGGAAAAGTTTTTGGTGACACAAGGGTGAGTTTATCTTTCCTCATTACGCTTCTAGTTATAGATTTGATATTAAGTATTAACCAACACTTGTATCCTTGTTCTGCTGGTATTTGAAGAATATGTTACATCTGAATGTTGCGGCTTGCTTGCTTAAAATGGGAGAGTGGAGGAAATCTGTAGAGACATGTAATAAGGTAACATATAGTAATAAACAAACCTCTTAATAGTTTCTTCACGAATCATAAAGTTTTGAGATTTCTGAAACATTTTGTGTACCAATTTCCAAAAAAGGTTCTAGAAGGAAAGCCTAGTCATGTGAAAGGTCTCTTCCGCCGTGGAATGGCTTACATGGCCGGTGCAGAGTATGAGGACGCTAGAAACGACTTCAATACGGTATGTTATGCGAAAACTTATTATTTTATATAATCCAATCCGTAGGTGTGGAAATCTGTTTATGAGAAGATGACTTTTATGTGGCTCTGTTTTAGATGATCAAAGTGGATAAATCATCAGAAGCTGATGCAACAGCTGCTCTTTTGAAACTGAAGCAGAAGGAACAGGTTAGTGTTTGAGAAAACTATCTCAGTTAGTTCATTAAAGCGACTTATGGTGATTTCGACATGTTTTTGCCTAATTCGACTTGACAGGAAGCGGAGAGCAAGGCGAGGAAACAGTTCAAAGGATTATTCGACAAGAAACCTGGGGAGATAACTGAAGTGGGTTCAGAGATAAGAGAGGAGTCTAAAACTATAGAAGAAGTAGATGAGACAAAGGATATTGATGATGATGATGATGATGATGATGATGATGAAACACAGGAAGAAGAGAGAACGGTGAGCACTGAAAGGAAGAGAAAGTGGTCGGAGAAAGCCTGGCCGTTTCTGAAGAATGTGATGCTTCAGATCGGAATCCAGCTCGGTGTTGCGCTCTTAGGGGTTTTGATTTTCCAGTTTTTTAGCTCCAGATTTACATGATAGATGAAACGACAGCACTATACTCACTTCTCCTATCAAAGTGTCTATCTAAAGTACTCTAATACTCTGAAAATATAAAACTAATGGATTATTTAAGCTTAATTATATAGATTCTTTAAATTCTTTACCAATCAGAGACTGAATTTGAAAGAAAATAAGATTGAATAATAATCTGATTAATTTGCTTTCCATGATGATAAACTAAATTATCATTAAAATGTTGCAAAAAAAAAAAAAACAGGTGATGTGATTGAAAATAAAACAGACAGTAAAGTTAAAGTTATAGATGTTCAAAAATATTTCCAACCATCGCTAATGTTTTTAAATATAAAATTAAATGCTCTCATAAAAGTCGGAAAAACACCCAAAAAAATCCCCAACTTTTTCAATTAGAACGTTTTATTCATGAACTGTCGATTGTACGTTTAATTCCTCAACCTATTGATTGTCTGAAATTGGGTTTAACCTAGTTAGGCTTTAAACCTCTTAGACGTTGGGATTATATTTTCCGACACAAAATCTTCAATTTAAGAACCCTAAAACGATTGCCGACAAACTAAAGATAATTTCAGCGAAAGTCTGCAAATTTCATAAGATTTTAGTGTATCTGAAGTCGGAAATCACAATCACAGAGTCGAAGCTGAGTGTGGTGAAAACCATGTGGAGAAGAGGTGGGAGGAGGGATAAACTCCCAATTACCCAACTCTTCTTCGAATTGGGAGTTTATCCCTCCTCCCACCTCTTCTCCACATGGTTTTCACCATACTCAGCTTTGACTCTGTGATTTCCGACTTCAGATACGCTAAAATCTTATGAAATTTGCAGACTTTCGCCGAAATTATCTTTAGTTTGTCGGCAATCGTTTTAGGGTTCTTAAATTGAAGATTTTGTGTCGGAAAATATAATCCCGACGTCTAAGAGGTTTAAAGCCTAACTAGGTTAAACCCAATTTCAGACAATCTGCAATAGGTTGAGGAATTAAACGTGCAATCGACAGTTCATGAATAAAACGTTCTAATTGAAAAAGTTGAGGATTTTTTTGGGCCTTTTCCCATAAAAGTCGCCATTTTTATAAAAGGGACCCAAAAAAAAATAATGATTCAACCGTTTTCTCCGTGTTGAACTCGCGTTTTATCGTACACCCAAACGATGGTTAAATTGTTTCTGAAAAAACGCAGATTTTTCCAGAGATTTCTGGGGGCAACGAATAAATTGTTTAAGGGCTTTACTTTTCATCATCGTTCTCTCAGATCCTGCTAAAGAAATCCTTTTCTATCCTAAAAAAAAAAACTTTTTGTTTCGATTCTTTTTTCCGGTTCCACAGAAAATTTAAAATGAGGTGGGAAAAATTAAACTTGTTGGGTTGTGTTACTTTGGTTTGATGATGCTGACACTAATTGTTGGAGTCTCAAGTATTATGGAAGTTTAAAAACATCAATTAAAGAAGGAGATAATGACGTTTTACATTCGCCGCGAAGCTTCTAAGGTTCTCTTCGTTTTATCTGATTTACGTTTTCTGCGATTTAATTTTGGGTAATTTGGCTGATTTTGGTCATTTGCTCAATGTTCGCAGCTATGGAAGAGGTTTTGTTCGGAGCTAACGACGGAGATTGGTCTCCTCGCTGAGAACTGGAAATACCTTCTTGCTGGTCTCATCTGTCAGGTTTCTTCATCTTTTCAAATTCTGTTTTTTTTTTTTTTTTACAACTTCAAATTGTAATTGAATACTAGAGCTCCGTATATAAGATCCAATGACTCCTCCTGTGATTTGAATTCGACAGCTTTAAGCCTGAAACTGAAAAACGTAACTTTGTTATAGCTATAGTAACTTTAGGCCTTGGAAGATATTAAAGCACAAGACTTGAAGTTACCCTTTTTGGCTAGAGTGTATTTTTGTACATACCTTTATGGCTTTATGTCTCTTGGTTTCTTTGGTTCAATTTATGGTTAATTTGTGTTTGTTTGACACTTTTGTGAATGCATCTGTTATCTGCAGTATGTTCATGGTTTAGCAGCTAGGGGAGTTCATTATATTCACCGGCCAGGACCAACGCTTCAAGATCTTGGCTTTCTTCTTCTTCCGGTTAGTCTTCGGATGTTTCAGCTGATTCTTCTTCAGAACAGATTTCATATTTTAAGCTCTTCTTTGGTTAATTTTTTATTATATCAGGAGCTTGGTCAAGATAAAGGCTACATAAGTGAAACTGTGTTCACTTGTGTGTTTCTTTCGTATTTCCTGGTGAGTTTCCTAAAAGATTCTATGATTCTGGTTCTGTTCTGAGTTCTGATTTCTGACCAAGAAGACGTTAAATGAAAATTGCAGTGGACTTTCCATCCTTTCATCGTAAAAAGCAAGAAGATATACACTGTGTTGATATGGTGCAGAGTCCTCGCTTTCTTAGTTGTATGTAACCCTGTTACCCTTTACTTCGTTAATGCAATGATTTCTCTTCTTGAAGTTTGTTTTCCTATGAACAGGCTTGTCAGTTTCTCCGAGTAGTAACATTCTATTCGACTCAGCTTCCAGGCCCTAACTATCACTGTCGAGAGGTCTAAGATCGCTATACACAAAGTGGCCTATCATCACATATAATTCATGTGTTTTGATTCTGGTGAGACTCTCTCTTGTATAACTTACAGGGCTCTGAGCTTGCTACTTTGCCACGGCCAAAGAGCGTTCTTGAAGTTCTCTTGATCAACTGTGAGTTTATAACATTGTACCTTCATGCTTCTTCTCTTTCTTATGTGATGATAATACGATGATCTTTTTCAGTTCCTCGTGGGGTGATATATGGATGTGGAGACTTGATTTTCTCGTCGCATATGATCTTCACACTAGTCTTCGTCCTCACTTACCAGAAATACGGTTCCAAAAGGTACAAATTTACTCTAGGAATGTCACAAAGTATGTCATAGCTTACAATTACAAATATGTCTCTCTCTTTCTTTTTTCTTAGGTTCGTAAAGCTGTTAGGTTGGGTCATTGCCATATTGCAAAGCCTCTTGATAGTCTCGTCACGTAAACATTACACAGTAGATGTTGTGGTTGCGTGGTATACAGTGAACTTGGTTGTGTTCTTCCTCGACAAGAAGTTACCAGGTATTGTATGAGCTTTTTACTTATCAGAAACCACTTGCAGAGACCGCCATATTCTCATTGTGATGAGATTGTTTGTAAACAGAGTTGCCTGATCGGACAACAACGGCGTTGCTCCCTATGAGCTCGAAAGACAAGACGAAAGAAGAGAATCACAAACTCATGAACGGGAATGGTGTTGATCCTGCAGATTGGGTACGAATCTGAAATTAGTTCACAGATTGAGAACACAATAAACTGAATCCTCCTAATGTGTTTGATTTCGTTTTTGGTGTTCCAGAGACAGAGGGGTCAAGTGAATGGCAGGGTTTATGAAGACAGCAATGGAGGTCACACCGATAACGCTACCAATGGCTCATGAGAACTCAGCTCGAGTTTAGGTTTTTGGTAAATTTGATTATAGGTCCAGAAAAGAGAGGGAAGCAAACAGAAATGCAGTTTGTACATTTTCAAGTATCTTGCTCCTCAAGTAACCTAATGTTTGTAATTGTATGGTGGCTTTGAGGAATTTACCGCTTAACAAAGTAAATTTAGTATTCAAGGTAACACGAAACAATTATACATTATATAACCAATCACATTTTCATCATTCTTTCCTGTGTGTTCAGTGTTCATGATCAATCTAATCCTCTTCAACACCATGTTTTCAACATAAATTTATTCGTCATTTTAGAACGATGAGTATCAACATTCCCTAATAAATTCATACCAGAACACACAAATTTAGTAAAGCACGTCTCCAAAATAATATTTTTTTTAGACTAAGCTAGACCTTTTTAATTATATTTACATTGACCTCGTTCTTAAAACAAAATGTGGTGCTCTTCAATCAAGCTGTTTTCTATTTATCTTCCACCATTCGTCTAATTCTTATAACCTTACACGAGCTTAGTCGCACCATCGTAAATTTTGTTAAAAAGAATCAAAATGTAAATAGTAAATATTATAATGGGACTGGAGATTCATATAGCTGGGCGTGAAGATTAACAAAAGGTGACAAAATGAGAAAAATTGTTGTAACGGTGGGAAGAGGGAACGTGGAGTATGTCGGTAAGGAATGTGGTCAAAGGCACATCCCATGTGGGCTCACATGTTTACATCTTCTCAGGACACAACTTTCTCACTAAAAACTCTCTGTCTCTGGCCCTTTTTTTTTTCTTTCCCTTTCACATTTTCGGTGCTCAAAAGTAAAATAAAAGAACAAATTTCGAACAAGTCCAAACGTATATATTCTCGAATACTTCGATAATTTCTAGTCGATTTCTTTTAGTGTGAATATTTATGAGTCCTAACCGATGTTTTATATGGATGACAACTTCATATAGATCATGTTGACTGAACGTAATTAAACACAAAAACATGTGAGAGCCAAGATTTATTTTGGTATGTGTTTAGAAATGCTAAGATGTTCTGGTGGTAGATCATTGAATAGGTTATAAAAATACTCTACTTGTTCTTTAATGACATCAAAAAACGATAACACTATTGGGTCATAAAAGACCCTACCAATCGAATCTAATATTTTGGACCCACTACTTGAATGCAAATATTTTTGATAAAGTAATGCTGTCTTTCTTTTTATTCTTTGTGATTAAATATTGTTTCTTAGGATTCGATTGTCACATTCTCAAGATCATTAGCGTTATGACGAACGGCTAATATTCGTTTGCTAGAAGATACAATCACAGTGAGATGCACATAGTATATGATAACATACCTATGGTTGGTATGAGTAAAATGATAATCATCATTGTTTCATGTCTACAAACGATCAATTTCATTTTTCCGTTGGGTCTTGATGCCCTTTTCTTTCATTTATTTGCTGGAAAATCGTTTGCTTTATATAATTTGTTATTTTTTGTCGACTTCTTCTTCTTATTATTATTGTAGCTATAGTATTCGAGTGATAATGAGAAAGAGGGTCCTATATGCTACCATATGTGGGTAGTAAAATCATTATTTCAAACGCAGAAAGAAAGATAGAAACATTATCATTATACCAACTGTCTGGATATGGTGTGTTTTATGAAGTTCTTGATTACAATTTTGTTTTTGTTTATTTATGTTTTTCTTTTGCAGTATCTAACTACCTATAATACTTTTTTTTTGGAGGACCCTTATCTTATATATTTGGCGAGTATCATATAAAGTCACTTTTTATGAGTTATATTATCAGTTGTGTTCTGCGAGAACATTTTATCACATGTGTTTGGACAAGGATGGCTACGTATCAAAATAATGGGCTTTTAATTCTATATTCCTAATTTAAACTGTATCATAAAAAAACGAAACACAAATTAAGACCAATCGAAATTGAGAAGTGTAACGTGGAAATGATTTAACGGCCACTTTACCAACACAAACATTCAGTAACAAGTTGTTACTAACAAAGCCCCTGCCATATCTGATTATATTGTGGCCTAAAGAAATCGTTTTTTGTATACCTTAGACTGGATATACTTAAGCATACCAAGTATGGTGAGTAAAAAAATGTTTCGTTTTCTGAAATGTGGTATTTTGTGAAACTCTTTCTCCACACGATGTTCATCGAGACTGCTGTGTTTGTCTTGGCAAGCAAAGCATCTCTCTATGCCATTTATGTTCCAAATTGTCTTCATGTTAAATCTCACCCGATTGAAGATCGTAAAGTTTTGAGTGTTTATATCAATGCGAAGAGAAGAGAAGGAAGATATATTATGTCAAGTTATCAACCATTCGTGCTTTTTTAGGTAAACGTACTAAATCCTTCTAATCCTTTTTGAAGCATTGTTAAACTTGATTAATACCCTTTTATCGACACAGTTCTTTGTAATTCAACATTTTAGGTCGATTAGAAATAAAAAAAACCATGTTTAGTATATTTTCAGTCTTTCTTATTTGAAATCTTTAACTTAACATCTGTAATATTATTACAAGTGTGAATATAAAATCAGAACAGCATAATACTTCAAAAGTCAGCGAAAAAAAAAACCTGGAAAGTCAATGACCAACGAATGTTTAATGATGAAGTTCACGCGGTTTCAACATGCATAAAGTGTTTCTGCTTTTTGCGCCTTATTTTCACCGGTTAAAAAGTGAAATTCACTATTCAAAATTTTCACCCTACGATTTTGATTTGACATCAGAAGAGAAGATCAATAATACTTTCACTAAATTTTCATATTATATCATGACTACAATTTTTTCTCCATTTTTTATTTATTTGGCTTCTCAATTTCAATAAAAATTAGGGTAAATTTAGGCAATATACATAAGAAAAAATAATAATGTAGCATTTCAAAAAGTTTTAAAAGGAAGAGAGGCGCAAAGTTTTGTCGCAAAAAGTAACGTCAGGTAAAAAACATTTAAATATTAAAACGAAAATAAATAAAACGAATACAGTCTCCTTCTTTAGTCTGAAAACGCCGAGAAGAAGAAGGAAGAAGAAAGTCAGAAACCTTTCTTATCGGAAAAAGACGAACTTTGTTTCTCTCTCTCTCTCTCTCTCTCTCTCTGTGCTCTTCACTTGAACTTTTCCGGGCAACACATTGACAACCGTCGTATAATTTGATTTACCTTCGGAATCTCCGATCACCTGATTCCCATCGCCGACGTTAAGTCACCAAATGGGAGCTCGTTGCTCAAAGCTCTCTTTCTGCTTGTTCCATTCTCACTTCAAATCCGCTTCAGTCCTCGAATCTCCCGATCTCGGTATGCTTCTCTGTTCCTCCTCCTCTCGTATCTTCAAATCCGCGTTTCGTTTCTCCGTTTGTCGATTTTGAGGGTTTTCCGATTTTAGAAAACGGAGGGAAAGTGTGGCCGAATTTCAAGGAGTTCCGATTGGAGCAGCTGAAATCAGCAACCGGAGGCTTCTCCTCAGATAACATAGTATCGGAGCACGGCGAGAAAGCGCCCAACATTGTTTACAGAGGAAGGCTCGACGACGGCCGCTTGATCGCCGTCAAACGCTTTAACCGCCTCGCCTGGGCCGACCACCGACAGTTCCTGGTACGTTTTTTCGCTTCCCGTCGAAATCTCTTAACAGAAGATTTCAGCCGAATCATCCCAAAATCTGAAAATTTCGAGTCGAAATCGATTGATTTAGGATGAAGCGAAATCTGTTGGGAGCTTGAGGAGTGATCGATTGGCGAATCTGATTGGATGCTGCTGCGAAGGCGAGGAGCGATTGCTCGTCGCTGAGTTTATGCCTCACGAGACTCTTGCAAAGCATCTCTTCCACTGTGCGTTACTTACTTACTTGCTCCTGATTCTCTCTAATGGCTATTCAAATTTGTTGCAATTTGATTGAAGATATTCGTTTTGTATGTTTTCAGGGGAGAACAATCCGATGAAATGGGCGATGAGGTTAAGAGTTGCTCTGTGTTTAGCGCAAGCGTTGGAATATTGTAGTAACAAAGGGAGAGCCTTGTATCATGATCTCAACGCTTACAGAGTTTTGTTTGACAAGGTGTGAGAATATTTTGATTGAATTCTTTTGCTTTGATCCTTGAAGTTGTTGTTTTTTCAATCCTTTTGCGGTTTTACAGAATGGGAATCCAAGGCTGTCTTGCTTTGGACTTATGAAGAATAGTAGAGATGGGAAGAGTTATAGTACAAACTTGGCATTTACTCCTCCTGAGTACTTGCGAACTGGTAAAGCCTTTGTCTACTTCATGCTCATATGTAACTATTTAGCTAAGTCCACTCAAGAATGTATATATTTTGTTGTTGCCAGGTAGAGTGACACCAGAGAGTGTAGTATTCAGTTTTGGAACCGTTTTGCTTGACCTCATGAGTGGAAAACATATCCCACCAAGCCATGTAAGTCCTCTCCTAAGTTTTGACCTGTCTCACTGTGTCTTGCTGAGCTGGCTTTTTCGTTATATAGGCGCTTGACCTGATCAAGGGAAAGAATTGTGCAATGTTAATGGATTCTGCTCTAGAGGGTCATTTCTCAAACGAAGATGGAACGGAGCTAGTACGGTTAGCTACACGTTGTCTTCAGTACGAAGCTCGAGAGAGGCCAAACGTGAGATCTCTCGTCACTTCACTCGCCACGCTCCAGAAGGAATCTGATGTACCTTCGTATGATCTTATGGGGATACCACACGAAACAGAGGCTGAGGAAGAAGAGCAGACGCTTTCGTTGACGCCGTTTGGTGACGCATGCTTGAGACTGGATCTTACGGCCATTCATGAAATACTTAATAAGATTGGTTACAAGGATGATGAAGGCATCGCCAACGAGGTCTGCTTTTATTTTTTTGCTCACATCACAGCTTAGTCTTTCTTGGAACTTGTTTATGTATATGTATCTTCGTGTGCAGCTCTCGTTTCAAATGTGGACTAACCAGATGCAAGAGTCTCTCAACTCGAAGAAGCAAGGCGACTTAGCTTTCCGTTCCAAGGATTTTACAACCGCAGTCGATTGCTACACTCAGGTAATAAGATGCAATCATACAAATGCAAATTCTCCGTTTAGTCATTGAAACTGAAACTGAAACTGAAACTTGGCTGGTTTTGTTTTGGCATTAGTTCATAGAGGGAGGAACAATGGTGTCACCAACAGTTCACGCGAGACGGTGCCTGTCGTATCTGATGAACGAGAACGCACAAGAGGCTCTAACCGATGCATTGCAAGCGCAGGTTGTGTCTCCAGAGTGGGCAACGGCTTTGTATCTGCAAGCGGCTTGCTTGTTCAAGCTCGGTATGGAAGCCGATGCTCAGCAAGCTCTCAAGGACGGGACTACTTTGGAAGCCAAGAAGACTAATAGACGCTGATAATTCTAAAAAAAAAGAAAAAGCTTTGTATAGGCTTGTTTTGTTCCCTCAAGTCTCCATCTGGTGTATATCTATATATATGCATATACTTTTGATGCTTCTTCTTCTTCTTCTTCTTCTTTGTATTTATTCTGAATTATGATGATGATGATGATTGTGATTTCTGGTGTGCCTTAAGGCAAGATCTCTTTTGAGAATTTTTTTATAGGATTTGTCAATTTATCAATCAGTAATTTTCCATCAAACATTCTTATGAAATTTTGTAACAGAACAACTTGTAAGAAACTTGGTTGTATATTGAAGAAAAAGACTGTATGAGAGATTTAATCAAAGTTTATCTCCAACAAAACAAACTAACAATTAACAACACTTTCAAGTACAGAATTAACCAAGCCCTGAGGACTTTCCATAATTAGCTTCACATCCTCTACGTAATCTTGAAATGTATGAAGTACAGAATTCGTTAACTTTAGCCCGTGTCCTTGTATTTCAATTCTTACCAAAGTCTTCCTCTCCACGTTGTAGTAAAAAACATAAAGACGGTCTTGTAAACTGCACGGCGACAAGACAATATCACACGTACCAGCAGTCGTTCCAACAATGTCGTAAGAGCAACGGGAATCCATATCTTGCCACCAAAGAGGAAACTCACATATATGCTTTGAGAATTCATGTTTCTCAGCATCTTCTAGCAACCACAAACAAAGACTTCTTTGATCGCTGTCTTTAAACTGAACCAAACCTAATTTACCTTTGTAGTTGATCAAAGTAGAGTCTAAAGTCATGCTTCCATCATCTATATTGATAAAGCTAAACTTCTCACTTGTAACATCAAAGCACACTAGTACACTCTCTTTATGAACGCGAGCGCAATAATACAAAACCCCATCTATGCATATCCCATGACCATATAACCAAGGATCATGTCGTTTGCATACTATCCATCTCCATCTAATAATTCTTCTTGTATCCACTGTCAGAACTTGATGTTGAACCGACTTCGCAGATATACACAACACTTTGAATACTTTGTCCATCGGATCATACCCAAAATAAGTTCTTGCAAAAGTCCAATTCGTTTTGGGTAATGCAAGAATCTCTCCAGTGGCGGGATTACAAATCACCGGAGTATCTTCCTTTTCCCGACCTCGATAACAGAGCCATCCACGGGTCGGGGGACATATTCCATGGCGGTAACGTTCGAGGGAAAACGTACGATATCGGGTGGCTACAAGAGATGAGTCAGCTTCAGGGCTTCGAGCCTGAGGTGAAGAGAAGAAGAATAACTTGCCATTAACTTGGACGGTGAACAAGAGCCGTGGATGACTCGTGGAATTCTTCAGAAACATATCAGTGAAATCTTGACGGCCAAGTGTGGATGCCCATTGTTTCGAAAGGTAGTGAAACCTAGCTATAGACTCTGATGGGAGTCTCACGAACATATCGATAAGTAGATCATGTGGGATTTGATCTCCTTCTGAGGTTGAAGCTCTTTTGAGCTGCTTGAGTTTTTTTCATGGCGGATCAGAGAGCTTTAAAGCCTAGTGTAAGGGTTTTTAACTCTGCCTTTGCTTAAATATGAACCTTCTTGAACACTCTTTCTCTCTTATTATTCTCTCTCTCTCTATTGTTTCTCTTGCTCTTTGATGCTTGGGAGTTGGGATGATCCTGAATGGGAAGAGACGTGGTTGTTATATAGCCAAAGATGTCATGAATTTTCCTTTTAGCTTCTGGATATCATAATTCCTTGTTCCTTTTTCTTGCAGAAACGGTCATGGAGAGAAGAAAGGAAATAACACCAAGTTTAGCTTTCTTGTGATTTACATAAACCTAAAGCAAATGCAAACACAAATAATAATCGAGGAAATAGTGTGTTAATATAGATTTGTAAGTGTGGAAAGGTAAATATACGATTTGGTCACTTTGGGAGAATAACTAAAGTTCGGATTGCAAGAGGTACATGAGAAATGGTGACACCCAACAAATTAACACAATGATCCACACAAGCCGCCGCTTCCACCACCAGCTCTCTCCGTCTTCCCCCACCGTCTCATTTCCTCCTCCTCCCTCCTTCACCACCACCTCCAAATTACAATTTGTTTCCGAATGAATTTTTCCATGAATACTTATGTATAGTCTGTATTTTTAAATGGGATTGTTATATGAAAAAGATGTACAAACAACCAATTTAAAAAAAAAGAAAAAAAAAAAAACAGAAAAAATCAAAAGGAGAGAACAACACATATATTGTCTCAAAAAGTGTGGGGGGGGAAAAAACTAAGCCCTGAGGACTTTTACATAATTAGTTTCACATCCTCAACGTAATCTTGAAAGGTATGAAGTATAGAATTCGTAAACGTTAACCCTTGTCCTTGTATTTCAACTCTTACCAAAGTCTCCCTCTCGACGTTGTAGTAAAAAACATAAAGACGGTCTGGTAATTTGTACGGCGACAAGAGAATATCACACGTACCAGCAGTGGTTCCAACAATGTCGTAATAGGGACGAGAATCCATCTCTTCCCACCAAAGAGGAAATTCACATATATGCTTTGAGAATTCATGTTTCTCAGCATCTTCTAGCAACCACAAACAAAGACTACTTTGATCGCTGTCTGTAAACTGAACCACGCCTGGTTTACCTTTGTAGTTGATCAAAGTAGACTCTAAAGTCATGCTTTCATCATCTATATTGAGAAAGCTAAACTTCTCACTTCTAACATCAAAGCAAACTAGTTTAGACACTAGTAGTACATTCTCTTTATGAACGCGAGTGCAATAATACAAAACCCCATCTATGCATATCCCATGACCACATAACGAAGGATCATGTGGTTTGCATTCGATCGTTCTCCATGTAAGATCTTTTCTTGTCTCCACTGTTAGAACTTGATGGTGATTCGAAATCACAGATATACACAACACTTTGGATACTTTGTCGATCGGATCATACCCACAATAAATTCTTGCAAAAGTCGTTTTGGGTAATGCAAGATACTCTCCAGTGGCGGGATTAAAAATCACCGGAGTATCTTGGAATGCCCGACCTCGAAAACATAACCATCCACGGGTCGGGGGACAGATTCCATGGTGGTGACTGTTGAGGGAAAACGTACGATATCGGGTGGCTACAAGAGACGAGTCAGCTTCAGGGTTTTGAGCCTGAGGTGAAGAGAAGAAGAATAACTTGCCATTCTCATGGACGGTGAACAAGAGCCGTGGATGACTCGTGGAATTCTTCAGAAACATATCAGTGAAATCTTGACGGCCAAGTATGGATGCCCATTGTTTCGATACGCAGCGAAACCTAGCTATAGACTCTGATGGGACTCTCAAGAATATATCGATAAGGAGATCATGTGGGATTGGATCTCCTTCTGAGGTTGAAGATTGTTGTGTATTAGATATTTTGAGCTGCTCGAGTTTTTCCATGGCGGATCAGAGAGCTTGAAACCCTAGATTGAAAGTGGTTCTTTTTCTTTCGTAAATTTATATACGTAACGATCTCATTGATGGGCTTTTATACAGCCCAAGATCTGAAAGTATTTACGAAAGCTTTGAATATATAGGCTGGATTTATCTTATGAAATTTGGTATTAGACTATTAGTGTACCTCTTCACAAGTCTATCAATAAAAGATGGTTCAAATTTAACATGCATTTCTTGTGATTTACATAAACCTGAAGCAAATGCAAACACAAATAATAATCGAGGAAATAGTGTGTTAATATAGATTTGTAAGTGTGGAAAGGTAAATATACGATTTGGTCACTTGGAGAATAACTAAAGTTCGGATTGCAAGAGGTACATGAGAAATGCTGACACCCAACAAATTAACACAATGATCAACACAAGCCGCCGCTTCCACCACCAGCTCTCTCTGTCTTCCCCCACCGTCTCATTTCCTCCTCCTCCCTCCACCACCTCCACGTCCACATCCTCCTCCCCCTCTATCATCTCATTCCCGCCGGCCACGTTCCTCGCCACCGAGTGGCAAATCTCACATACTCTACAACCATAATTTACTTTATGCATAAGTTTTCGTTTTTTTTTCATTTTCAATGATATATACATTATTAGTATCTTTGACAAAATTAATAGCCTATCATATGCTAGTTAGAACAAAAAAATATAATTAATCACACCAAAACAAAACTAGTTAGAATTTGCTTTTCAACAACTAATAATAAATAGTACTATTGATAATAGAGAAAACTAATTAAACATGAATCAAAGAGATGACATAGCAAGAAAAAAACATACTCGTCTCCTTTGAGTTTGAACCAAGTCTCAGCACATTGTCGATGAGCAAACGACAAATCATCCTTACACGAACATCCCAACTCAATCAAGCCCTGACCATACGATCCAACCTCCAATTTACAAATCCTACACTCTCTCTCCTCTGACTTACTCACCGGAGACTCGCTCCTCGAATACTCGTCGTTGTCGGAGTCATAATATTCGAACACATTCAAGAAGAAGCATGAAACGACATCTTCACCGTCAGCGAACGAAAGCCGTCCATCTCCGATTGTTCCGTGTTCTAATTCGGTGTGGGACATTGTATTATACGACTATTATACTAGGAAGAAGCGACACTGTCCAAGAATTAATAAAGATTTGTCCCATAATAAATAAATAAAAGGAAATAAGCGTCTATGCATCTGTCAAACTGAGAGATCTTTAACTACTCTCTTAAGCAGATTCTGTACATTCGATTTGTACCCTTTTTTCTTGCTAAGCTTGAGAAAATTTAACCACATCCAACGCCCCATAATCTTTGATCGATCGGCTAGTATAGTTGTATTTTAGTATTTCACCTTTGAAATTTTGAAAAACATTTCCTAAAGCGTATACAGTCATTTATTATATAAGATGATGAATTACAAAAGGCAATTTATAACGAGACGACGCTTCCCTTCGCCGTTTTTATATTTTTAATTTTAAAAATAGGTATGGACCGTATGGTAGTCGAGATTGCAAGAATCGCCTATAAGTTGCGATTGCACAGGAAATATAAATATCCTATTATATAAAGCTGGATGCGCACGACGTGGTTGCGACACGTAGGATTTTTATAAAATTCAGGATCGCGACATGTGTCACTTTTAAGTTTATGTCCGTTAAGATCGTGACACGTGTCTTAGGAAAAAAAAGAACTTAAAAAAAAATTCCAGAAAAATGTTAATTAAAAAAACGAAATTTAATTTAATATATTATATCAAAAAGGAAAAAATAATATTTGTTATATCCAAACAGAAAAAGGTTTCCCATTCATCAATTTTTTATTATATAAAGTTGGATGCACGACGTGGTTGCGACACATAGGATTTTTATAATTTATAAGATCGCGACATGTGTCACTTTTAATGTTACGTCCGTTAAGATCGTGACACATGTCTTAGAGAAAAAAAAAAATAAAAAATTAGATAAAGGAAATTGTTTTTAAAAAATTAATCCATTACAGTTAAAAGAAATAAAAATATATTTGTCATATCCTAATAGAGAAAGGTTTCCCATTCATCAAATTAATATTATCCAAACAAATAATAAAATCAAAATAATGTAATAAATAAAATCCTATTTGTACATGGAATATGTTATGTAAACTAAATTTCCTATAACTGCATGTAATAGGTTACTTGAACCCCTATAAAAGAGAGTCAAGATTTCTCAATCATAAATTCATCAAAACAAATTCATCAAATCCCTTTGATTATATTTCTCCAATTTAAAAATCATGTTTTTGAAAGTTTTGCGATACATAGGATTTTTATAACTGACAAAATTGCGACATGTGTTTTAGAAAAAAAAAATTCTGGAAGTATGAAGATCGTAACATGTGTCATGGAATAAAAAATTAATATGTATAAGACTAACTAAAAATTAGAAAAACAGATAACAAATAATTAAAATGAAAAAATAATATCCATTAAAAGTAATAAAAAAACAGGAAACAAATAATTTAAATTCTTTTGTTACATCTATTAAGAAAAGGAAAAAAAATCCATTTCGAAAAGGAAAAATACCAATATATAGTATTTATAATGGTCGAGGCAAAAAAAAATTGAGAAAGAAAAATATAAATAAAAACTAACAAAATAATTATCAAGCAATTAACTAATATTAAAAAATTATAATTGATATTCTAATTTTAAATAGTTTGATTTTCAATTTTTGTTAGGTAAAAAAATTGAAATAAAGATTTCATCAATTAAAATCTCTTGAATGGAATAATAAAAGTTTGATTAATTAATCATTGATCAGATTTAGACATGTGTAAGTCTTTCTGTATTGGATAAAAATAATAGTAAAACAAATTAATTCATTTTGTCATATCATAAATTCAAAAGAAAAATCAATTACAATAAAAATGTAAAAGTATTACCAATCTTATTTTATTTAAATATTTTTTATCGGGTTTTCAATATTATTTTGTTTATGTTTAAAAATGATCAAATTTTGTTTAATATTTTCCATGCTTTTATTATAAAATCTTAAAATATACCCGCGTATACGCGGGCCTTAATCTATATTTATCGAACAAGAAAACAAAACAACGTGGTTTTACAAAGTCATTAGTCATTATTGTAAGGGGAAAATGTCAAGAAACAGAACAAAAAATCAAACTCACTCTGTATCCTCTTCTCTCATAAGATACGGTATTCCATTATATCATCAATCGAATATTCAAAACATAAATCATGATTCATGACACAAACGTGAAAATTAATAACATTAATTTTACATAGCAGCCGGAGCTAGAGCAGGGGATAAAACGTTGGAGACGGAGACAGGGCCAGGGGCGACGTCGGAGACAGGTCCTGGAGCGGCGCCTGAGCTGAGGATTTCCAACATCGAACGGTGAGGATTAATCCGTTGAGCATCGCACAGATCAGGTAAAAATGCACCTGCATGTCGTCAATGGGTACGTTAATACGTCAAATTCACACTCTAAATCATTGATTTATATATAACCGACGTAAAACCATAGTCCATAGGATGCAAACTTGCAGTATTATTCGAATAATAATTAAGGTAAGTGAAGCATAACAATCTAGCTCCTACCGAAATTTCTTGCTTTGACAATAAGAAACCCCAAAACAATATGATAGTGAATTTCTTTCATGCTTTATAAAAAAAAAATGAATTTCTTGCATGTCTTAGAAATCAGAACTCGAGTGCAATTTGAAAACTTTCTTATTTGGGTAAAGTCATTTTTTTCCAACTTTTGCTCAATGTATTGTACTATCGTTTTAGCTAAAATCAGTTTCTCATATATACCATCCAAATTTAACATACCTTATTGTATTTATAATTGTGAAATATACACACGCCAAAGAAATTAAAGAGGCCGATGCATGAAAGAGTTAAGGGAATATCGTACCTTCACCGGCGGCGAGATTGAAATAGAGATCAAGAATGTTAGGGCAATAGTCCAAACAAGCCGGCGAGCAAAGCTTAGAGGCGAAGCCAGCCTCCATCATTGAGTCCGACGAGATCCCTACGGTTTTCCGATCAACCCCACAAGCGGCTACACACTCATCGCTCTCCACGTGGTTTACAATCCCGTCCACCTCCACTGTGGAAGTCCGACAAGTGTATTCTCCGGCGACATTAGCGGTCTCCAGTAAGCATCTTTTCCCGGAAGCAGATATTGAGAACGCGCACATATTCGTTGGCAGATTCTCGCAAACAATTTCTTCCCCTACAATATAGGAACAACAAATAGAAAGAAAAAAAAGGAAATGAAGAGAAAAGAAGAAAAATCAAAGATGATCACATTGAGGAGATTAACGCTTTCTTAAATATTTCCTATTCAAAATGGGAATTCTAGGGTTCGTTTTTTTTTTAATATAATCTAGGGTTCTTCCTATGATGTGAAAACTGATTATTTTCTAACCAAGAATTATATCCTAGAAACACATTTTGGAATCTGTCATGAAATAGCTAGATCTTGGGTTCTAACGACTGGGGATTTATGTACAATAGTCAATAGATATATACCTAAAGCGGCATGGAGAAGAGACGAGAGAATGAGAAAGATTGGCAATTTGAGGGAAGAATAAGACATTGCTCCTTGGAATATTTTCCTCTTGCTTCTTCTCTTTCTCCTTTATTAATTGTATGGGTTAATGATTTGATGATGTTTTCAAGGGAAAGAGTAATATAGAGAGAACCTGGAAATAGAAGGTATGTATTGGGAGATGTTGTGGGGGTGGTTTGTCCGTGTATTATATATATACAGGATGTTATTGATGAATGATTTGTATTTACTAATTATTTATTTTTCCTTATACCATTCTCTATATATGAAAGTAAAAAAAAAAACTCTATAAATGGTGTTATTATAATAGTAAGGATTGTAATTTTGTCAATAGTAAAGATTGCATATTATGCAGTAGTTGCAAGCCCTTTTACTTGCGTGATGCGCTTGATCGTTTATTTAAAAAAAAAAACTTAAATGATTTGATTCCTTACGAGTTCAGGGGGTAACGCAGGGATATACGTTTCTATAATTTAAATCGATACTCAAATAGTTTAATTGAAATTATAAGATGGTTCTGTTAATTATGTTTTTAAAGTTTTATGTAATTGTGTTTCTTTTTGTACAGATTGATTCTGTATTGATTTTTACCTTTTTACTATTTTAGAGCTTCATCATTTTGGATCTAGACTTCTGCTCGGGTTTCTTTAAGTTTCCTACATGAACACATATATGGTATACTACTGTTTCGGCGAATTTAATCAAAGATTTTTTATTATTATTGTAATATATTGTATTAGTTGAATCATCTTTTTCATTCGTTAACTTATAAAGACTTTCGGTTGCGTGGCTTTCTTGAAAACAACGCAACGTGCGTACATGTGTTCACGTCCGTATTTGACTCAACGCGTAAGATCACAGATATGTAGTCACATTTTCTAGGGAGAGTTTATAAAATCACGTATTATAATAAAATGCTAGAATAAACGTGCTTATCACTTCGAAAATATTATTTTATAACTGGATCTAGCTTTTAAATCCCAAGTTCAAACTTCTAAGAGTTATAACTGTTTTTGCTTCTATATAAGTACTAATATTGTGTGTTCATAGATATGTACATTGTTGTATATATGTAAAAACCCCTAGCTATTCTCAAGATACGTAAATAATGTTATATATATTGTTCTGGTTGAACTAGTAACTTTGAAACCCTTCAGAAACTCGTCCTAGTAAACAAATATCACAGTGTGACTCAAGTCTGATTAATCAAACTACTAATATGTATTGGTTGTCGTTCATCTGTGACAAGTCTAATTAATCATGCTAAACTCGTCCTAATGTACTCTAGCGACTAGCGTAAAAAGAATACTAACGATTGACGCAGCATTCACGCCACAAAACTTTTTGTTTTTTGTTTTTTTAGAACACATACAATTTTCCTACTATTACATACATATTAATTACATGATCCACACAGCCAGATGTCTTCTACTTTTCTGAAATTGCATTAGTCAATTCTACAAGATTGACATTCGTAAAATTGTACATCATCTCTTTTTGCCAAATTTGTTTTTACTTAAGGTATAATTGATAATTTCATTGTCATTTTAATCATGGTTAACCATTAATTGTACTGTGGTATATATACTTTCAATTAACGACAACAATTTCCATTTCTTTCACATGCATCGGAAATAATTTTGTGATTCGGTTAATCAAAACTTGTTTTGCTTTGGCCCAACTCTTTTTAACATCACAAATATTACTTGCTTTTGCCCACACAGATGGAGGAGATATGTGGTTGCGCACAGAGAACAAGATGGAAAAATATGTGGTTTACTTCATTTCTATTCTTTTGACTATTTTACAACACTATTCATAGACTTTTTTCTTTCTTTCTTTATTTAGAAAACAAAAAAAAGTATATATACAAGCATTTAGATGCTTTGACGTAACATAGTATAAGTATTCAATTTAAAAGAAGAAAAAAAAGCAAATATGGTAAAAGGAGTAAATGTTGCGGGTTTCTTCACTATTTTGACGATATTCTTGTTGACTTCAACAGGTAATGCACATTATGATAAATGAATCTCACAAAATACTACATTTCTTGTTTGTGTTTAATTTTTAACTTTAGGATAGGTTTATATTATTTTTCTCAAATGAACTCCATAACTTATAATTTTTCTGTTAAAAGTTTTTTTGGTAATTAAAAATAGGAAACACAAACAAATTATTAGCTTTTGTTTGTTTTTGAAAATTTCTTGAAGATTGAAAATATGTAGTAAATTTTCAAAAACCAAAATCTCTTATAACTCCTAACTAGAACTGACATATTATGCATCATAGTTGATGTGATTTTAAATATTTCATACCTATTGGTTATCAACTGATTAACTCCATGAAAAAAATATCAGGAGAAGCTATTAATGAAGGTGATACTCCCAAAAATAAAGAGGAAATGATAACTTATTGTAATAAGTTTTGTTGGAGTTTTCCAAAGCCCAAGTATGAGCCAGAAGGAACATGTTCTAAAACAAATGGTACCGAAATATGCGATAAGGCTTGCAAAGCTGAGAAAATTGGATTAAGATCTGGAAATTGTTTAAAGGGTGCGACGACAAGACAATTACGTTGCTTTTGTCAGGATACGCGTGCAACTTGTGCAAAGGCTTGTTCCGGAGCCGGTTTTAAGCAAATGTGACATGAGACACACAACACATTACACATGGTTCAATTTCGAATTTTTCTTTATGTGTTAGGGCATTATTATTTTTTAAACATCTTCTCACATTATATGAAACTAAAATTATGTAATCCTGGAGTAATACAAGAAGGAATATATAATACTAATACGATACAAAAGAAAAAGTTTTGATTGGGATCTTTTGCCAAACGATCAAGCTATTTGATTACATCTTCTTGGAACCCAGTTTACTTGTGCTTCCGCAAACTTATGGTCTTTCTAATCCAATTGCGAAAGAGCAAATTTAATATCATCACCATTATTTAACTTCGAAAATGTATTGTCACCTCCTTCAAAGATAATCTGTCGAGAGCATTGACATAAATAGGCTTTAAAGTTTAGCTTACAATACTTGGATCACAAGTCTCACCTAAAGCCATCTGAATCTTTGATAACGCAAGCCGTTCCATAGAAACTGACGTATTATTGGACTGACTTGTTTTTAAGTCTCCAAATAACAACACTACCTAATCCATATTTATGTTTGGTTTAGGTCCGTAGGAGCAAAGCCACGTGTCATCTCAAATTGGCTTGAAAGATAAGTGGGACCCACTTTGTTAAAATGAAAGCATGAATCGAATCCTTCGTCCACCTCACATTCCGATCCTCTCTTCCTACTCCTTCTAAAAAAACAAAACACAAAACTTTTCAAACACAAACGCAGAAAAATGGCAGCAACCGCCGCAACGACGTCGTCGTCGTCTCATCTTCTTCTATCAAGCTCTCGCCACGTGGCATCCGCATCTCAGCCGCGAATCCTTTTCCCCGGCGTGAAACGAGCAGCAGCTGGGAGAAATCATCATTCTGGTGGCGGAGTGAGATGTATGGCGGTGGCGGCGGATGCTGCAGCGTCGGCGGAGACGAAACCGGCGGCGAGGAAGAAGAGTGGATACGAGCTACAGACGCTGACGAGCTGGTTGCTGAGACAGGAGCAGAAAGGAGAGATAGACACGGAGCTGACGATAGTGCTGTCGAGCATAGCGATGGCTTGTAAGCAGATCGCTTCCCTTGTCCAGCGTGCCGGAATCTCTAATCTTACCGGCGTTCAAGGCGCCGTTAACATTCAGGGAGAGGATCAGAAGAAGCTCGACGTCGTCTCCAATGAGGTCAAATCTTAATTTCATACACACGTTGACTGAATATTCTTCAAAGCAATAATGACTTTGGAATTAGTATATACAGAATCATGACATTACACTCAACAAACATTTTTCTACTTTAATATATACAATACATACATACATATATATGCGTGTAGAAACTATATAGTGGAAACAGAACAAGTTCTAGAGTCTCCAATAAAGTTTGTAACTGTTAAAAACCGTTTTTTAAAAAATTTATTTGATTTACTCCTTTGTAATAGACCACTTGATTTTAATACCATAATAAATAGATTTGAGGATGGTGCAGGTGTTTTCAAACTGTTTGAGATCAAGCGGAAGAACAGGAATCATAGCGTCAGAGGAAGAGGACGTTCCAGTTGCTGTGGAAGAGAGTTACTCCGGCAATTACATCGTCGTCTTCGACCCTCTTGACGGTTCCTCCAACATTGACGCCGCCGTCTCCACCGGTTCCATCTTCGGCATCTACAGCCCCAATGACGAGTGTCTCGCTGACGACTCCGACGATATCGCCGCCGTAAACACTACCTTCTCTCCCTTTCACTTCCACATTACATGTTTTATTTTGGTTTATGAATTAAGTTGAGTTATTGTGTGTTGCATGTGTAGCTTGGGACAGCAGAAGAAAGGTGTATAGTAAACGTGTGCCAACCAGGGAACAACTTGCTAGCAGCTGGCTACTGTATGTACTCGAGCTCAGTCATCTTCGTTCTTACTTTAGGCAAAGGCGTTTTCGCCTTCACGCTCGACCCAATGTACGGCGAGTTCGTCCTCACGCAAGAGAACATTGAGATCCCGAAAGCAGGGAAGATCTACTCTTTCAACGAAGGCAACTACCAGATGTGGGACGAGAATCTCAAGAAGTACATTGATGATCTCAAGGACCCTGGTCCGAGTCAAAAGCCTTACTCTGCAAGGTACATTGGCAGTTTGGTCGGAGATTTCCACAGGACTTTGTTGTACGGTGGGATTTACGGGTACCCTCGTGACGCCAAGAGCAAGAACGGAAAGCTTAGGCTTTTGTATGAGTGTGCACCGATGAGCTTCATCGTTGAACAAGCCGGAGGAAAAGGCTCTGATGGTCACCAGAGAGTGCTTGATATCCAACCGACAGAGGTAAAACTTAAACACATTTCTTGATCAACTTTATTACTAGAGTTTATGTACTAATACTTTGCTTTGGGATACCTGACAGATACATCAGAGGGTTCCACTTTACATTGGAAGCAAAGAAGAAGTGGAGAAGCTGGAGAAGTACTTGGCTTGACTCTCTTGTACCAAAACATAAGCCGTTTAATTTCTTTTGTAAGCCAATATATATATGACTATACGGTATATGCAAATACATGCATAAATGGTGAAAAGTCATGTTTTGTTGTTGATATCAATAGAGAGAAATATAAGCTGTTAAAACTATCGAGCCGAAACCAAGTTTAATTTATACAACGCTTAGCACTAGTTAAATTAGGAACGACCTTAAGGGATAGTTAGGCAAAAGCAGAGGATCTGTCAATGGAAGTCTTCAAAGTCATTTCAATCCGTCTGCTGTATATTCCGACATGGCTTGGTCATGCTCTATATCCCCATTCCCTGATTCAGGAGACGACCTGTGATTAAAGATAGCGTAATGAGCAGAGAGCAAGAGATAATAGCCAATTTACAGAAACTAATCCTATCATATACTAAAGCACCTACCCTGAAACAGTTTCAGTAGGTGCATTTGGGGTACTTCCCTTAAAACCAAGATCAAAATCAACTAGTAGCTCCGAGAATGAGAAGTCTTCACCCAAGATAGAAAAATCAATGTCAGATAAATCAACTTCCGGCTCAGACTGAGATGGAGAAGTTGAAGCCAAATCTGCAGTTCCAGCAGGTGCCTCTAAGCACATATCTGTATCAGTAGTGTCATCGAAGTTGAGCTTTCCTTTCACATGGTCTCTCTTACTTGACGTCTTGAGCGGTGAAGAAGAAGAAGAAGAGGAAATAAGACGGCTCCTTTCCACTGTATAAGAAGTAATTTCCTTGAGAGGGCTGATTGTGAATCTCTCCTTTGTAACAATTGTGCAGTTCGTAGGAGTAACTTCTTTCTGAGAACTGTTACATTTATCACTCCCAGGAGAAGCATGCTTTCATTCGTGTTTTTTTTTACTTTTGCCGGGAGATTCTGCGTTTGTTTGTGGCGGTCAGACCAATGCTTTGAAAGTCAAAACTGGAGATTTTTTACCAAATAATTACATTTACTGTTGTACTATCTTTTTAAAAAAGAGGAAAATCATACTCCAAGACAAAAGGTATCATTTAAAACAAAAAATGAGACACGAATAAACCAATTATGAAAGACTATTTTAAACATGGAGTAGAAAATTGAACACTAAAAAAAACTAAATGCCGCATAAACTATACAAAATTACTTGATTTTTGAGGTAAAGTAGGTGTCCGGCTGGTTAATAAACCAGTTAAAATTGTGCTGAATGTAGGCCCATTAGCTCAGTTGGTTAGAGCGTCGTGCTAATAACGCGAAGGTCGCAGGTTCGAAACCTGCATGGGCCATAAACTGTCTCTTATTTTTTCTCTAGAAAATTTCAGCTAACGAGAAGACAGTTGAAAATATAAATAAAAGTCAACATAAAAAAAAGCATTTCCAGGTAAATGAACATTTGTATGAAGCATTTTTTGGGTTTACCACACGGTGACAATGTAGAAAGCACAAAAAAAAAAATCTGATTTTTTAACAGAAACGAGGAGACAAAAGTTGCTACCTTTAACGCCACTGTCCAAGTGCTTTAAGCCCATCACTCTCTGTTCTAATTCTCTCTCTTCCCCGCACCACACTTTACTCTCTCCTTCCCTTATGAGATCTCACCTTCTCCATCTCAAGCCCTAGAAATCAATCACTAATTCCACAACCAATAATCCAATCTCTCAAATAGCTTTTGCTTCATTAATGGCGAGCTTCACTCTCTCCAAGTCACTCCTCGTTCTGTTCCTGATTGTCATCGCTCTGTTCTCGATTTCGGAAGCTAAATCATCATCCTTCTCGTTCACAAGTCTCGGTAAAAATGCAAGCTTTGAGTCCCAAGACATTGCTCTTTACGGCGACGCCAAGCTCGTCGACAACAGATCTTCGATTTCGATTCAGCTGAATGATGACTCAGTGAGTCACGGTGGTGGGCGAGTCGTCTACAAGAAACCTCTTGAGTACACGGAGACTAAATCCGAGATTGACGCCGGATTTCATACTTCCTTCTCTTTCTCGATTTCTCCTAATCGTGGTGGGAGGCTCGGATTCGTCGTGTTCCCTGTTAACGGAACATTTGATCACTCTTTCTTCGAAGTCAAGTTCGAGATTCCTGAAAATTTCACCAAGTTCAAAGACTCGAATGTCACGGTAATTGTCGATGGTACTACGGATTCCAAGAAGATGCGCAATCTGACGGTTGCAAACGTGGACAAGGAGAAGGAGAAGTTGGTATTGTACGCTTATATTAATTACATAGGAGGTGGCAAGTTCATAGAAGTCCGGTTAAGCAAATCAGAGAGCTATAACTATCTTGATCCTATGGTCTTGTATCGGGTTGATTTGTCGAAAATGTTGAAAGATGAGGATGAGTTCATGGTCGGTCTGAATTCGGATAGTGGGAGCATTAGTCTCCATTCTTGGAGCTTGAGAGTGAGACGCGTCTCCAAGTCTGTGCACTCTTACGTGCCGCTTCTTCTCGAAAACCTTCGTAAGGAGGAGGAAGCGAAGAGGAAGAGAAGAGAGAAGATGTGGGAAACTGTGACTTGCTTCGTCATGACCTTTGGATCTACAGGGCTTGTGTTCTTCGCCATGATGCATATATGGGCAGCTTTCAAAAGGAACAATCTCGTCGTGGTGTCGCCGGAGGAATGTGGGCTCAAGGCTAAAGAGTTTGACTACGAGAAGATGGAGAAAATGGAAGTTGTGATGAGTAAAGCTGAAGTGCAACAGGCAAAGAAGTGAAGTCAAGTTTGGTGGTGATTCTTGTGTTTAGGATAAGTGAACTTTTATGTAATCAAGTAGATTTCTCGAGTGTGTAATGGTGTTCTTGCAACATTGTTACTCTTTGGCACTTATAGTTTGTTTCCGCAATTCAATATGTGACAAGAATGTTACCGAATCCAAACCAAATTCCACCTCGCTACATAGTCAATAGTAGATATGTATAGGTACACAAACGTAGTTTATCTTCCATCTAGTTAAAAAATCTTCAGCCAAAGATGATCTTCATCAAGATGACTACCAAGTTAATGAGTAGGAGGGGAAGTCTCATGTACTGGCAGGCATTGATTAGACCGACGATTTGGCCTTTGGGAGAGTTTCTTCTACCGGTTTGGTGGAGTTTCTCGAGTGTCCATCCTCTTGGAGCAAGGAAACGATCTTCGTTCAGGACTGCAAATGCATTCGCAAACAGCAGCAGACCTTTCATCAATGTCCAGAAGGCCATCGTTCTCTGTGATGCATTGAGTTATAAAATAATCAGACTTAGAGTATAGAGAGTGACTGATTCATGGCACACAGTATCAAGTCACCAATTACTTTGAAGGGACTCGGCTTAGAACTCTATGATTAGACACTAAGCACGTGCAGGTATATAAATTTACATTGTTCAAGGAATCACTGTGACATGATGAATCTAAGCGATTAAGGAAGAGAACCATGAAAACAGCAAGACAAAATCTTGATTATAACACATTAAGAGCAATGCTATAAAGGTACAAGCCACAAGTGTAAAGAGCCTTAAGCTACGCATGGTGGAGATAGATAAATATGAGTACTGACAATTTTCAGGATCAAAAAGCAGCCCTAGAAAACCACCAAGCTAGATAAACTCAAGAACACTAGAAGAGGTTTTCTTAAGGAGTTGGTTCGAGAACACTACATTTCAATCAACCGCAAACATTATGAAAGCACAGAATGATTTCAAAAAGGCATAAGGAGTTAATATTTGATCAAATACATCTTAGACATCGTGATAAATCTAAGCTATGTCCAATCAAAAATCACTTTCTCACATAGTGGGGTAACGAATTTCCGCAGGAACTAATAAACCGTACAATTCTGATCTAAAGCGTGAGATCGAGACTGTAATCGAAGATCTAAGTAAGCAGCCAAACTGATCGATCGATTCCCATAAATCAGTGAAAAACTCAAAATTTAGCAACCAGTGAGTGAAGTTTAGATAGAGATACTTACCGGCGGGAAGAAATTGACGATGAGGACGGCGTGAGGAGGAGATAATCAAATCGTCTGCGAGATCTTGTCGCCGGAAACCAAAACGGGGTTTTTTTTCTTCTTCTTCTTCTTCTTCTTAGAGAATCGGAACTGTTTTTTCTTAAAAAATAAACACGGTTTGTTTTTCAAGGGTTGACCCGGTTTAAGTAATTGTCGGGTCAGGACCCGATATGGTTTATTTCAAAGAGGAAGGAAGATTTGGATAAACCCCTTGAATCGAAGTAAAAACCCTCCATGGCTTCACTTCTCAGTTTTCCTCATCTTCACCATTTTGATTCTTCACATTGGATCATCAATCGTAGAGAGATAGTAGCTCTCAATGGAAGACATCGAAATTCACCAACAACAAGGCAATTAATCTCTCCGAGAGCTTCAATTAATGGCGGCGTCACAATCGGAGCAGCAGCGGAAACCGCTAAGCCCAGTCGCAAAGGGAGGAAGAAGAAGCAAACCTCGACGGTTGTTGAGAAAGAAGATACTGTAGAGACGAATCCTGAATCGGATCCGGCGCTAGTGGATTACGACGACGGAATTGAGTTTCCGTACGACGATCCGCCTCTCGTGTGCTGCTTCGGAGCCGTGCAGAAGGAATTCGTTCCGGTGGTGCGAGTCCACGATAATCCGATGCATCCTGACATGTACTCTCAGTGGAAAATGCTACAGTGGGATCCGCCGGAGTTTGGGAGAGCTCCGGGAGGTCCGCCGTCGAACGTGGCGATCTCGCACGTTCGGTTAGGAGGTAGAGCGGCGTTTATGGGGAAAGTCGGCGAAGATGATTTTGGGGAAGAGCTGGTCCTGATGATGAACAAGGAGAGAGTTCAGACGAGAGCTGTGAAATTCGCTGAGAATTCAAAAACTGCTTGCACTCGCGTCAAAATCAAGTTCGACGACGGGAAAATGACGGCGGAGACGGTGGAAGAGCCGCCTGAGGACTCGCTTCTTGCTTCGGAACTTAATCTAGCTGTGCTGAAAGAGGTAAAATCTTTCAATTAAGGAGTTTAGGAGTAACAATTTGGCTCCTTCACTTAGCTTCAGTGAAATGACATGATAGCTTGAGCATAGTTCTTATGGAAATTCTCTTCCTTGAGCATGAATCATACTCCAATAATGAAATTGAATTTTAAGCTTTTTGTTACATCTGCTTTTGATGCAGGCAAGGATTTTCCATTTCAACTCAGAAGTGTTGACGTCTCCTACAATGCAGTCAACTCTTTTTAAGGCAATACAATGGTCCAAGAAGTTTGGAGGGCTTATTTTCTTTGACTTGAATCTTCCATTGCCGCTATGGAGATCACGCAATGAGACTAGGAAGTTGATCAAGAAAGCATGGGATGAAGCGAACATCATAGAAGTTTCACAGCAAGAGCTTGAGTTTCTACTTGATGAAGATTACTACGAGAGGAGAAGAAACTACACACCACAGTACTTTGCTGAGGATTTTGAGCAGACGAAAAACCGAAGAGACTATTACCATTACAAACCAGAGGAAATCAAACCATTGTGGCACGACGGGCTGAAGCTATTGGTTGTGACTGATGGAACACTTCGGCTACATTACTATACTCCTTCCTTCGATGGTGTTGTGATTGGAACCGAGGATGTGCTTATCACTCCTTTCACTTGTGATAGGACAGGTTCTGGTGATGCTGTTGTTGCAGGGATGATGAGAAAGCTAACGACTTGTCCTGAGATGTTTGAGGACCAAGATGTGTTGGAGCGACAGCTCCGGTTTGCAGTTGCTGCTGGGATCATTTCGCAGTGGACGATTGGCGCAGTCAGAGGTTTCCCTACTGAAAGTGCGACTCAGAACTTGAAAGAACAGGTTTATGTTCCATCAATGTGGTAGGTAGAACCGTAGAAGATCATGAACATGTTTTTGAACAATGTGTAAGATGTATACTGATTCAAAATTGTAATCCAATGTACAATCAGATTTTTTTTGTCTTAGTTCACTGATTACAACCATGTAAGAGAATGATGAACACATGTCCCTATCAAATCTTTCTTTTGATCTACTCAGCCTCCTGTGCAGAGTCACAAAAATGCTCTAGCTGATCCAAGTCTTGATGCTCCTCCTCCTGTAAGGAGAATCGATTCTACAAGCTGACTGAATCGATTCTAACCTCTTTTACCTATATTGTACAAAACCACTGTAAACTCGAAGCAGATTGTTCTATGTCCTGATCCACTGCAGCATTCTTCAGTGTTTGACATCTGAATCTTGTCAGTTTTCGATTACTGTATGGCCGCTATCTTAAAGCACTCTTCTTCCATGTCTTTGACTCCGTTCTTAGACTTGATTTTTTCCAGAGTTGTTCAGGATGAGACTTGTCACAGATGCAATCAGGTTGTGGGTTTGCATAAAAATTCTCCTCTAGCCTTGGAAATGCAGCAGGCAGTCTCGCATACGCCGCTCCAATCCTGCCTCTATTTAATCTCTTAACCTCCGAAGCAAACTCTTCCCATGATATGACATTCTCGTCAAAATGATCTATCAGTCTAACAAAATTCAGCCTGAAACAATCACACATCATAACAAATCAGTAAAAACCAGTGAAAGAAATTACAAATTCTGGGAAAAATAAATCTTTTTCTCCATGCTACCATACCTGTCTGGGTTTATCGACTTCCTAAACCCTTCAAACCTCCTGTGTCCTTGTACCGCCTTAGCCATATTGCCATCATATGTATACATGAAAACATCGCTTTCAAGGGCCAAAATGTAGTCCAAAGCAGCAAGGCGGTTTTGGTATTGACTGAAAGGTTCCAACTCTTCTTCAGTGGCAAGAGTTGAATGAGAGAAGACATTTGGGTACTCTTCACGGAAGGCATCCATACTCTTGCTTCCAAAGATTTCACCAGCAACTATATATATAGTCGTGGACGACGGATATCCCATTGCCTTGAGGAATATGGCCGCTTCTCGCGGAGTCATTGGACATCCCCCTTGAACCCGTCTCTCTCGGCTGTCAATCTCTTTCTCCTTCCAATGTTTGACACTGTACCTCATGATTTTCAGATCTTCGGCTTCCTCAGCAGTAAGATTGTGGTTGCATCCTGTAAAGGCAAGCATGTCCTTCTCATATCTGCATTATCCAAAACTCATCTGAATCAAGACAGAGATCCAAATAATTTAATTTCCCTGGCTGATGAAAAAGAATGTCGGATTTACCTCAGATGCAGAGCGATATATGGCTCACTGTTGTTTCTTAACCGGTTAACCAAAACCTTTCCAAGGTCCTCGATCTCTTCGCTGTACACTAGTGCCTGGTAATTAGCACGACATCTCAGTCGTTGGATCGAAGGTGGCAAGCCATTGTTAGCAAGACGTGAGTCAGTAAGCGTGAACTTTAACACCTTGTGGCGCTTCAACAGTGGCACCATTTCGCTTCTGTAGTAACTAGCCTGCACATCAATAACGAAACTGAGAATTACTTCTCAAGGGGGAAAAAACTCACATCTTCATCACGTTAACCAAAAAACCCTTAGTAATATGAACAAATCACGGACCTTTGACCAAGAAATAGGTGCCTTGAGAAGAGGCTTCATGGCGGCATACTGAGGAGGCAAGTACTCAACAATGTCCACATCATGTTTCAGTACGTTCATGAAGTTTCTCCAGTCAAATATATCTTTGAACGTGCTGCATACAGCATATAATTATTGGCATTCAGCTTATTTTCTAGGAATATCTTGTGGTATCAGGTGAATAAGAGTGACAAGATATAGAGACGAGACCTTGGATCAGTCCAGAAGGATTCGTGGTCAAGAAGAGGAAGAACGAGAGTTGCATTCATAATCTTGGCAACAGCAACCATGTCACATATCTGCATTTTGGTCAAAACCAACAAAGAACAGTCAAATGTGGAGGAACCGGAGATGAAAACCCTCTAAAACAGTCTTGGAAGTGAACTCACCCCGGTTCTCATCTGATTCAATCCTCCATTTGCGTGTACTATAAGATACCCATTGGTCTTCCGGTATAGTCCTAGACAAAGACATATTTCAATTTACTCAATCTTGAAAATTCAAAGCTCTAAATGTGCATGAAGAAGAACTAGGAGATGCCAGAAAGTAACATACTTGTCTGGTTCTTAGGACGCGCCACACATTGACGATAATTCCCGCTTTCAGGTTTCTGCCAAATTTCCGGAATCTGTAAAAAGCAACAGTCAAACATGAAATCAATGAGTAGATCCTCGGAGAACAATTCAATGCAGATTTTCTCCTCCTTACATTGCAAAAACAGAGGAAATGATAAAGAGTTGGTTCATTTTCAATCTGGTACCTCAAATCTATTACTTGGAAAATTCAAGTCAAGTTACTCAAAGTCTTTAACATTTACAGAGATCAATTTTTTAAGAACTCAGAGGGTACATCTACTCAACGATGCCATGAATTGTTAAACAAAACCAATATCAACTGGATTATATTGGAACTTTAAAATTAAAAGGTTTTCATTTGAACTCTTCGCAAACTATGACATAAAAGGTTATGGCTTCTGAGAAAGTAAGGTCAATGCAAAATGTAGGGAAGTGGAGGTCCACATCAAGGCCACCCAAATCCATCGATTATTTTATTGCTCGAAAAAGTCTCAATCCAATAACAAAAAAGTACCAACTCACAAAACGAATTTCAGAATATTTCAACGCCACCGAAACAATGATCATTTCAGTTATGCAATCATTAGAGACGTTCTGCGGATTCAACTTTCTACCTACCCCACTACTTCATCATCTTCTTCCCTCCGTTTTTGTCTTCCCGGTTTCCCGAGAGAAAAGGAGGAAATGTTGCAAACTGTGAACTTTCTGTTTACCCTAATCTCGCCTAGACGTTTCAATGAGACCCCGCAAACAGCATTTGATTTTCTCAGGAAACAAGCAGAAAAAGTAAGGCACAACACAATACAAAAAGAGGATTGAATTTGATCCTAAAGCTAACCTAAATTAAGAAAATAATAATTGTAGACATGCGTAATTTTCAATGTCGTGGATCATAAAACCTCAAAACGCGCATTCCCATGTTTCCTAGCGAAACGAACAGAAAGATTAGAAGAAGAAACTCACGGGAAGCTTTTCGAGAACGCGCATTGGCTGAGACGAAGCTTGGTTTTCCTCGACTTCACGTTGAGCCATCGACCGGTCGTCACGGATCGTTCTAACGACGACAAACTCGTTCAATCGCGCGGGGTCAACCACGCGTACACCACCTATGAGGTAGACACTGAGGAAGACGGACGCGACCACGAGAGCCATGAGGAGACCCAAGATCCGACGCCCCACGTTTCTTCCCGATCTCAACCCTTGCCCCACTATGGTCGCCGATCCACCACCACCGCCGCCGTTGAAAAACGGAAACCGGAATTTACGGGGGAGAAGGTACCGAATCGCTGGGTGGTTGTAATATCGGTGGTAACGATCGTGGTGGTAGTGAGATCCAGTAGACGACGAACCCTCCGAAGATGGAGAAGAACAAGGACTACCTTGACCGCTCGCATCTCCTCCGTCCAAATCCGTCGTTGCAGCGACGCTATTCGCGGATGCTAAATTGACTGTACTGCAGAAATCAGAGGAATTCGAAGGTCGTTCGGAGACTACGTCCAGAGAATCACCCACACGGCGGCGGGTCGTGGTGGTGGGCCCGGCTGGGATGGGTGCAGTAGGCAAGGGGTTAATCGCACCGGCGACAGACATACCGCCGGTAAAAGGGGGTTTGATATCGGAAAAGGAAATAGAGAGAGAAAGGAGGAAGAGAGAGAGATATTTGATTAGTTTTGGGAGCTACGTAGCCATGTTCTGATTTACTTCTTCGGTTACCGCCACCATCAAATTCGGCGAAGCTCCGAATCTCTTTTTTGATTCAGATTTTTGTATTGGCCCAGTGCGTATATATTTATGTGACTGTTCTAATCATTTCATTTTCAGTGTTTCTTTTTTTATTGTTTTGAATATTTTTAATCTATGGATAATTTCAAGAGTTCATCACGTATGCAGCACATCTTCATATAAAACAATTAAATATGTTTTTACACCTCATCAGTTATTTCTATTTGACTTTTTATAATTTTCGTACACTTATAAATTTCATAAGATTTTGTATTGCTTTTATGAAGTCCAATACTCCCTCCGTTTCAAATTAGTTGTTGTTTTGAGAAAATGTATCTGCAATTATTTGGATGTATCTGCAATGTAAAACACGTCCAGATACGTCCAAATATTTGCAAATACATTTTACCAAAACGACAACTAATTTGAAACGGAGGGAGTAATAAGTAACAAATCTCGTAAATGATTTTGTATGACACATGCCGACATACGTAAACTAAGATTTGGAAATACCCTAAAGCCTTAAAGCAAACAACATTGATAGAAAAACCAAAAAAGATAGAAAGTGATGATTTTATCGTTTAGCCCAAAAAAGAGAGGACAGGTGAAACATCTTGATCTTAATGCGTCACAGATTTCTTGCAAGAAGGTCGTTTTCTAAAAGAAACTAGTCAAATTCATAAACCTTAATGAGCAGTGATATATAACCAATTTCGCCTCCATGGCTACAAATAGTAGATACTACTATCTTATTAAAATTCACGAAACTTTACATTCCAAACACACAAGTTTGTATAGCCTGTCGCACAAAATGAAAGTTCGTATAGTCTCTACTCTCTACTCTCATATACAGCTAGCTTTTAATCATTTGATATCCTCACGTGTATCATCATAGAAGTGTAACAAACTATTCAAAATCATGATCGTCCACATCACACATGGTATCACGACATTGACAAACATTCACGTTGTATCATACAAATTCAGTTCCATTTCGATGCACATTGGCCTATAACCATTAACCTTCAATCGTTGACCTCTAACAAATATCCAACACATCACCTATATATCATGTGTTCAGTGTTCCTCATTTTTAAAGATAACCGAGGTTACAAAACCAAACGATACAGAAGTAGAACAAATTACACCTATTAAAGTTTTAACATAAGGGAGTGATAAACTTGAATCCACCGTGGCTTGGTGTCATTTGTTTGACTTTCGGAATAAAAATCATAAAATCAAAATTATCGTGCTCAACGAGGAAGTATCGTATTCGTAGTACATAAATGGATGATAACAATTAGTCACACACCCCTACGAGCATATATATAAAAAGCTGGCTAAATAGCTTACATTTACTACCTTTTTTCGTAGCAGAGAGTAGAGAGGGACGATCTTTTACCAACTGAAACTCTCAGAGGCCAAGTTGCGTAGCCGTAATCGTCGTCCCTCTTCCCGAGATTCTCTCTCTCTATTTGTTAGATTTCGAATCCCTAACTTTCTCCTCTCTCTCTCATTCGCCTTTTCTGGATCGGAGATGGTAGCTGATAGCAAATCCGACCTTTCATTGCCCAAAACTTTCGCCTGCAGTGCCTTCGCTGCTTGCGTCGGCGAGGTAATTGCCAGATTCCCCCCAATTTATTCGCTGTCTTTGAACTTATTTTCTTATCGCTGAGTATTGCTTCGATTGTACGCGGAAATGTTCTGCGAATTTCTTTGAAATGTTCTGAAGTCCGATTAGTTTGATCTCTCTTCCCGAGGAACTGTTTATCCTCGTGTGTTAATCATGTATCTAGAGCATCGTGTTGATATTAGTTTCCTACATACCATTTCTCCAGATTATGTGCTCATATTTAGTTTCCATGGAAATGATTCGATTTCTACAGTTGGAAGGAGAATATTTCAGCTCGATGTACGGTTAATCGGTCAGATCTGTGGTTAGGATTAAGTTTTGGCGTCTGTATCTTAGTGTTTGACGTTATGATTTTGCGAAACACGAATGGGAATATGAGACTTCATAATGGAATCGATTTGTGCATCGTAGTTATATTGAAAGGCAAATTGTATGATTTCCTTTTGTCCTCGGAACAAATTGTCTACTCTGTTTTAGCTACGCTGCTTCCATAGATAATTCCGTGTTGCATCATTGGCATTGACTTGTTATTACGATGTTTTTAGTACTTTCTTATGCAATTGTACTCTGAATCAGGTATGCACAATTCCCTTGGACACTGCTAAAGTCAGACTTCAGCTCCAGAAGTCTGCTATAGCTGGAGATGTTACTCTGCCTAAGTATCGTGGATTGCTAGGAACCGTTGGTACCATAGCAAGGGAAGAAGGGCTTCGTTCACTATGGAAAGGTGTTGTTCCCGGATTGCATCGTCAATGCCTCTTTGGAGGTCTAAGGATTGGAATGTACGACCCGGTAAGTTTCATGCTCCTGAAAATGTTCTATATCAATATCTTCCTAGTTACTTTACTACTCAAAAGCATAACCAAATTTGTTCTCCTCAGGTAAAAAACCTGTATGTTGGAAAAGACCATGTAGGTGATGTTCCGTTGAGCAAGAAAATCCTCGCTGGTTTAACAACTGGTGAGCATAGCTGTAGAAGAAACTCAGGATATCTAAACATTTTGATCTGTATCACTTAATTGGGATGTTGGAACTCTCAGGTGCATTGGGTATTATGGTTGCAAATCCAACTGATCTTGTGAAAGTTAGACTTCAGGCCGAAGGAAAACTAGCTGCGGGTGTGCCTAAACGATACACTGGAGCACTGAATGCGTATTCAACAATTGTGAGACAGGAAGGAGTGAGAGCTCTTTGGACTGGTCTTGGACCTAATGTAGCTAGAAACGCAATCATCAATGCTGCTGAATTAGCGAGTTACGATCAAGTGAAACAGGTATGGAAAACAAAACTATTCCCTTCTGCTGCTCTTGTCTAACTCAAGGATCCTGATGTTTTAACGAACGTTTTTCTTTTTCTCTTTTCAGTCAATCTTGAAGCTTCCAGGTTTCACTGATAACGTTGTCACGCATATTCTATCTGGACTGGGTGCAGGATTCTTCGCTGTCTGCATTGGTTCCCCTGTTGACGTGGTACGGTATTATCTACACATGACATTAAACCTTTTGAGTTTGTTTATAACATTTCTTGATTTTTCTTTCTTTGAATCTTGTTGCGTGGGGGCACAGGTGAAGTCAAGAATGATGGGAAATTCTGCTGCTTACAAAAACACTATTGACTGCTTCGTCAAAACGCTGAAGAACGACGTAAGAAACTCATCTTTTGTGTCGTCTCTAGAAATTTTATTCATCTTCTTAACACTTGAGAGTTTTGCTCAACAGGGTCCTATGGCATTTTACAAAGGTTTCATCCCCAACTTTGGACGTCTTGGCTCGTGGAACGTCATCATGTTCTTGACACTTGAACAGGTAAACGACTTGTTTTTGTATCGAGAGAATCAATCACGCAAAGTCTTGTTTCTCTTTTGCTAATCTCGGTTCTTCGTACTTTGATCCACAGGCAAAGAAGTTTGTCCGGGAACTGGATTCGTCCAAGAAGAACTGAGACACAAAGTTTTAAACAGAAGGAATAAGAGCGCTCCACTGTTTTTCTTCTTAATTTCGGTGATTGAGATTTGAGAGTTTGAGAGAGACCAAAACTTGGTCGAATATTGTTTCGGAGTAGAGTCAGTTTTCAAGTAAAAAACTTTGAAATAAATTGCTGTGGGTTAGGTTGCTCATATTTTGACTGTACCATTCAAAACATTTATCAAAAACATACATTTTCGTTCCTTCTTTCCACAAAACCGAGAAATCAAAAAGAAGAAGAGAGAAGTGAAGAGAATGAGGCAAGAGTCTCAGTCTAGTTTTAGTTTTTCCGGATAAGCCCATTGCTCAAATCTAAGGTAAAGCTCATTAGCTTTGTTGTAGATGAACACTAGAGATCCATCTATGTAATCCTCGTATCTCTCATAGAAAGCTGGAACTGTCATAACCACCAAAACCCCTGCCAAAATTTAACCAAGAACAACCAAGAGTCGGTCGAATGAATCTTCTGCTTAAAGCAGTACAACAAGTCTATGAGAGATTTAGTTACCGGTGTGGCAAAGAGTCTGAAACTCCATGAGGCTTCCGATGAATGAGATGAGAAACAGAGAGACTGCTACTTTGATAAACAACTCTGAGTCTCTTCCCATTGCAATGTCATACGAAACTTGAAGCAGTTTATTCACATGGAGGCGTAACCACTTGGAAGCTTCTTCCGCCATGGCTTCACTTATTTGAAACTCCGGCAATGGCGGTGAAGGCCTGAGCCAAGGAAATTGAATAACAAAATGAGGAACATTAACTAATTAAAGATTGGAAACTCTGGATCTTTTGATAGAGACTTAATACCTGTTGAGAATGGATGCAGATTTGGACCAGAGGAAGAGAATAGAGAGTAAGAGGAGAAGAACACTTGTGAGAAGAGTGATGATGGTATAAGCAAAACTCTCGAACACAATCCATGACGCTATCGTCACTGTAACTATACCGTTACTCACATTCTGCTTCCTCCACAGAACCACATCTGCAACTGCAGATTCATTTCATAAGATGGAAACGAAGAAATAAAGTTATACTTAGCTTTCTTTTCTACAAGGATTCGGTGATGATATGGATTCACTTACCAATGCCACCTCCCAAAATCTCATGTACTGTCCTCTCTCTGTTTAACAACTTGTCCGAAGCAGAACCCATTGGAGAGAGAAAGATCAGCAAATTTCAGATTTTCTCAGATCCCAGAATTATCAGAAGATAGAACAAGAACAAAAAATCATCATCCGCACGGAAATCCCAAAGGCTAAAATCGAAAGAACCGGATGAATCAGATTATCAGAAGAACAGAGAGTAAGAAAATGAAAAAAAGGTGATGAGATGAGACTAAAGTTGGGTCATCACCATCATCATCAAAGCCATCAACTTTGAATATTTTATGTAAGAAAGTAATAATAATTCAAAGCTATGCTCTTTTAAGGAAAGTGTTTGTTGGCCTCTCGATGTATATTCACCTTCCAGCCTAAAAGTGTAATCCTTGTTGTCCAGTTTTTTCAAACTGTTAAAAAGTTCGCTAGTCGGCGGCTTGATGTGACTACAGTCTACATATATGGATGACATTTATTCGATTCATATCCCAAGTATAGTCGTATTATCAAAGTTAGTATTCGATTAATTTTAGTCAACTCAATTAATTGAAAAATGTTGACTAAAAATATGAATACAAAATGGCTTTGGATTTACCAAAAAGAAATCAAACACACATCATTCACAAACCGTTTATTCTCTGGTTTCTATCCAAGTAAGCTTTTATGTTCTGTTCTGTATGTAAACGTGTTCATAACAAAGAAAGGGAAAAAAGGAAAAAAAACCAAGTGAATGTTGTTCATCATTCTCATCAATAAGCCTTGTTCTCTAATCTCTCTGCTACTTTTGTTTCTCAGGTTCCTTTTGAGAAGTACCAACAGCTCCAAGATTGACCCCAGCCGCAGAAGCATCTAACAAACTCGCTGCAATTGCTGCCTTCAAGTCATCATCTTCCATCTCTGAAAACGCCCTCACTTCCTCCTGAGACAACGCCTGATACGGTCTCTGTTGATCCGCATTGTCATTACCTCTGTTGTTGCTAACAGAAGGAGCCTGCACCGACGAGCTCGTGTTCTTCAGTATCCTCTCTGCGTCTTCAGGGGAAAGCCACTGTCCGAAACTGTTGGAAGCTTCAGAGGAAGACGACATGGGACATTCCTGAGGGAAGTTTCCTTTCACAATGAAGATGCTCCAGCCTGAGCCTTTGAGAGAGTCGAGAAACGCAGAGAGGTAGAATTTCGACAGGTGTTGTGGAGCAGCGAGGAGGCTGTCAAAGTTGTACCACTCTCCGTTCACTTTCCTTATGCAAAACCAGTGGTCATGCAAGTGGCAGATGAAGGCGTTTTCAAGCTCAGGGTCTATCTGTGCTGGCTCTGCATCTGGACAGTTGAGTGGAATCACTTGTAGATCCCACACTTCCAAAGCCTTTTGCAAGACCTGTCAATCAAATAGAAGCTTTCTCAGTGAAAAGAGCTTATACAAGACTAGATATACAGATAACAAAGTCCTGCTCCTACTTCTACATGCTTAACGATGGTCTATGAATCGCCAATTCAGGGCAACAAGTGGTTTGCTTTTTCTACACTCTTTTAACTTAATACACAAAACTTGCAAGCAAAACTGACAAGAGACAATCAAGATCAAATGTGAAGTGAGAAAAAAGATACAAACGTCACAGATAACTAAAATCTCAGAAATCATAAGTCCCTAGATCAGAGAAATCCTTCTAAAGTTCATTCAATGTCTCAACATAAAGAAGCTATGCATATTCTCTATTCCGAGAATTCACTATTGCTAATCACAATTCATTATAAGTGTAATCTTCTTGATTCGATCTGTAGAACTTGTATCTAAACGTGCAATCTTCAAGATAGCGTATTTGCATTGAAAAGGATTCAATTTCAGTCTAATCAAGCAACCAAATGCACAATCGAAGCCCTAAATTTGTCTAAACTTAATAAGAAATGGAAGTCAAAATTGATAAATCTTGAGGCGAAAGTGAAGGATTTTCATTTTATCTAAACAAAAGCAAAAATCAGGTACTCAAGGGATCGCGATTGGTACCTGGATACTGAAATCGCCGCCGAGGGAAACATTGTGCGACTCCTCAGAGAAGAAATCGCCGGCGGAAAAGCCTCCGGTGGCGGCGCCTTCGAGCATGACCTGACGCTCCTTCCCGTCGAGATCGGCGGCGACGGCAGCCAAATCAAATTCGGAAAAGAAAGGTCCCTGCAACGCCGTGTTGACGCAGTGAACGGCGCACAGATTCGCCTCTTGCACCTCGTGGTACAGTATTCCTCCGTTGCTCGCTCGCTCCATCGCCGATCGAGAATTATAGCAAAACCCTAAATCCCTCCGATTCCGTGTGATGATGAATAGATATTATCGCAGCGATGCGAAAGTCTTTCGCTTCAAGCAATTAGGAGGCGAAGAAAGAAAGAGGAAGCAATGAGAGAGAGATCGGAAAGTTTGAGACTAAAATATTTTACTCTATTCCTTTATATAATAACTGCCCCCACGTCATCACCTAAAATGAGATGTGTCATAAATTAAAAATCTTATTTTCCACATTTCTAAAAGATTTAACCTAATTTTTTGGTTCACGTCCAAAAATCAAAAAAGTTATTGGTTCACGTCCAAAAATCCAAAAATTTACAAAAATGTAAACAAAATTCTATAAAAGCAAACATTTTCTGAACAAATCCTTGGATATTTACGTAGTTTTAATAAATTTCAAATGCATAATACCTAGTATCCACGTGTAAAACTGTAAAAGTAACCGACTTTGTGTCTGTTATAGTAGTTAGTTACTATAAGTGTGCAAAAGTGTGCACAAGCCAAAGGAATAAGCTTTTTGCAAGAATCAAAAGTCAAAAACTTGGATTCTTTTACAACCATTCAAATCTCATCGTCCCAAGTTCCAAACTTTTTCTTAATGAAATAAACATTTTACAGATAAGTGGAAGTATTATTCTAGAACACACGAAATACAATCAGCAAAACATAACCCCAAATCATCAACAAACTAGACCATGTATATCTTCTACATTTACAATTACAAGCAAACAACACTTTGAAACAAACACTGTAACTTTAAACAAACTCTTGAAACCAGTTTCTTTCTTTCATCAGTGTGCTCGACCTATAGCTTTCTTGTACTTGTATCGCTTCGAAATCCAGAGGTACACTAAGAAGTTGAGAAAACTCAAACCCGCCAGCAAATAGAAAAAGTAATCCAGATGTCCTCGGTTCAAGTTATCCGGTATCCAACCCGGTTTACCATTCTTCTGAGTCATCTTCATCACAACCGTCACAAGAACAGTGCTCAAGTAGTTCCCTAACGCAACAGTAGTCAACGACAAAGCAGAGCAGAGACTTCTCATCGCATCAGGAGCTTGGTCATAGAAAAACTCAAGCTGACCTATAAAGGTGAAAACTTCTGCACACCCAACAAGCAAATACTGAGGGACTTGCCAGAAAATCGACATTGGGATCTTTTTCTGGTCATAAGCGTCGTGAGATTTCACATAGTCGAGCCTAACGACCTCTAACACTCCTGCATTGATCATGGCGAAGATCGAGAGCACGAGACCGATACCCATTCGTTGAAGCTGAGTGAAGCCACGCTCGTGTCGTGTGAACTTTCTTGCGAACGGGACAATGAACTGGTCGTAGACCGGTGTCCAGAAGAGTACACTCACCGTGTCGAAAAGCGAGAGAGAAGCTGATGGGATTTCGAAGTTTTTCCCCATGTGTTGGTCCATTGTGTTCCCTTGTAAGACGAACATTGTGTTCATTTGGCTGTACACTGTTGCAAAGACTATTCCAGAGGCCCAAACCGGAAGAAGTGTGATTATGGATTTGAGCTCTTCGACTTGAGTTACAGAACAGAGCCTCCATGGATTCACTTCTCCGTCTTTGATGCTATCTGATTGACTCTCAACCGCTGCCTTGTCGAAAAACCTGAGAAGAAAGGTCAAAACTTTCATTTAGAAACCCCCAAAGATTTCAACTTTCTTGTGACAACAAAACAGATTCAAGAAAAAAAAATGGATAAAGATGGAAACTTTGATTAGAAACCCCCAAGGATTTCAACTTTCTTGTGACAACAAAACAGAGTCAGGCTAACAAAAGGAATGCTTTGTGAAATTTGGGATAAAGATGGAAACTTTATGATTGTTCTTACTTTAAGTTGTCTGTGTGCTCAAGTTTCCGGCTACCAGTGATGTTACTCTCATCATCAGCGGTTTCAAACAGTAGAGTCTTGTCTTCAGGTACCTTGACTCTCATCTTCCTGAAAGCAGAAACTATAACTTGAAAGATCCTTGTGAGAGGACTCCCTCCAGGTCTCTGTAGCCGGTAAAACCTGCTTCCCAAGAAGAAGAACATAACGGCAATGATCATGGCAACAGTGGGAACACCGAAGCCCCAACCCCAACCAACGTTCATTTGTATCCAGACAAGGACAGTGGAAGCAATGAGAGCTCCAACGTTAATGGAGAAGTAGAACCAGTTAAAGAAGGAGCTTTTCTTCAGCTTCTCAGCTTCGTCATTCTCATCAAACTGATCAGCTCCAAAGGAGGAAACACACGGCTTTATACCTCCTGTTCCAAGCGCAATCATGTAAAGCGCAACGAAGAAAACCGCGGTCTGGCCCGAATTCGGATGACAAGTATTGGCGTCGCAGTGACTTGGTTTAAGTCCAGGAACTGAAGCTGATAGTGTCAAAAGAGTCATACCCTGAAACAAAGAAAGGAAAAACAAATCTTAAATCAACAGAATTGAAGGAATCTTGATAATTATTAACAGAGAAAGTGAAAAAACTCACGGAAACATAGATGAAAACAAAGATTGCGATAGTCCAATAACGTCCAAGATAAGCATCAGCTATAAAGGCTCCAATCAATGGAGTTATATAACATGTACCAGACCAGTTTGTGACGTTATTAGCAGCCTTGGCATTGCCTTGATTCAGACGACTCTCGAGATAGTTGACGAGGTTTGTGCCCATTCCATAGTAGGCCAATCTTTCACAACACTCATTTCCTATAAAACAATCACTGATCAATCTATGGACCCATAAAGCAGAACATTTTAAGGATTTTAAACTAAAAGAGGGTTGTTACCGAGAATGAAGCGGCAAGCTTTCCAGTTTCCGGTTTTCTCCTTATTAGCAGGATTTTTGTGTATATCGACCGTTCCATCTTCCGTATACACATCTTTCTCTTCCATAATCCTAAAAAGAAAAGTTAACTTTTGCATCAAATAACTGTGGAGCAACAAGACACACCCAGGAATCCGCCTTTTAAAGCTTAGAACTTTAGGTGTGACGTATGAGCAAATCCCTCTAAAATTCCGAGTTGTTGTAACATTTCATTATATTAATTGATGGCAAAAATTACTGGTACAAAATTCATGCTCTGTAAATTCAAGCTTCTGGGTGAAATCAAAACACTAAGAGGAGCTTAAGCTAAGTTACGAGAAGATTATATTCATCTGAAAACAGAACTAATGAACGGAAAAAAAACTACAAACCCCAAAAAGGACCAACCTTTGTCCGAGACAGAAGTTGACGGTGACGGCGTCGGAATCAGCGGCGGAGATAGCAGACGATAAGATTGATTTCGGGAAGAGTGAGAGAAAAGGGAATAGCCGTGGATTAAAAGTTTAACACGGCACTTGACTTGTTGGACTTGGAGTATAGCTATTAATGAGGAGAATGAGAGAGTATGAGCTTGAAAAGTTGCAGAGCTCTGTTTCCAGTTTTATATCCAAAAGAATAGAAAGGAGCGTTATTTCTGCAATTTCGTCCTCTACCTTTTGTAATATTTATTTATAGCCGCAAAACTTTTGTGGTCTCCGCTTCGATACCTCTATCAGATTTGGGATATTATATTGTTTCGACTCCAAAGTATAAATAAATACATATCAAAGGACGTAACAAAAAATCTACCGAACTTGAGTGGACTTAATAATAGACTTACATCATTAAAACAAGAAAGAAACAGGTGTGAAAACAGAGCTTTATTAGTCATAAACAAAAGAAAAATTGGATTTTTCTTTTAAAATTGTGTTCATACTTCCTAGGGGATGTGTATTTATTTTGAGCTATAGAACGTGTACTAGCTTAATGATATCGGCAAAGGGACTTACAAAATCTTGTTTACACGATATGGAACTTTTGTGAAAATTAAATAAATGGTTTTTTGGTCAAAAGAATTTTGGTTTAATAAATAGTAATTAATAAAATTGTCAACAAAAATTAAAGAATACTGAGATTTGGTCTGAAAAATATGTGAGAAAATAAAGCAGAAACCCACATAACGAAATTCAATTTTCATTTTGGTGGTTGGTTACAAACGATATGATTAAAGACAGACTCTTTAGATTGCTTTGTGCTTTTGTTTTAGGTTCTCAGTGGATTTAAAAAAAGAAAAAGATTTCGGTTGATTATTCTGAAAATGACGGTAGTGATATTTAAGGATAAATGGGGTTAAATTGTTGTTTAGCTGAAATAATAGGTGAAAATGGACAGTTCCTCATAAAATAACCGTTGATCTAAAGATTCACTATTAATCTATTATCTAGGAGTATATTAAAAAACGCATGTGAATCGATATGTAGCTGGATCCTATTACTAACGAGGATTTGGCTGTATCTCGACTTAGCTGTTGACTTGAAGCCATTAGTTTCCAACAACCTGTTTTCATTAGGTGTTAATGAACTAATGTATTTGCGTCAAAAAATGAAATTTTCAATAACTATTGTAAGATTATGAAATGAAAATTGTTTTAGTTTGCCAAGATACAAGATTTATTGATGTAGTTATTGATGAAATGGGTAGTTTTCAAAGAAAACAAAAAGGAGATTTATTGATGTACGAGATAAGACATTACGAGCAGATAGTTACCTGCATGGATACAAATGTATATAAATAGAGATATGTTTTAAAGTCGTCGAATCATCCCGAAGATTATGATGATAAAGCAATTGTTTAAAGATTGGATTATCTTGTAAGCAAAATACACAGAGCCGCTGACTTAAGAAAGACTGAGACTGAGATCCATTGCCTTATTTTAATATTGCGTGTAGAAGTATGGGGTCACATGGTCTAGTCCTTGTAAGTAATCTTTGAATTGATGATTCATATAAGCTGATTTACATTTTAAAATCAAGAATCTATATAACCGGTCTAGTGGCATACTTTGCATCTTGATTCAATAGATATGACTTTCAAATATGTCTTCTAACCAGAGCGACCTTTTAACCGGACTCACCAACAACCCAACAAGTTCAATGTTAAAATAAAGACCAATTATATAGGTAGTACTTGATGAACTAATAAGACTTCAACGTTAAATATGAAAGGTTGTTGCGTGGTCCAATTACAATATACTAGAATGTTTGAATTTGTTGTCATAACTAACTAAATATTAATAATCAATGCAATATGATGTCCTTCGATAAATCAATATATCAGTGACGTGCAATTATATAGAAATTTGGATCACTCATATTTCACGGGGATCCTTGTATTGACCTTTTTGATTCCAATCTACTCAGTTCGTTGATTCTTCCAATCCAATTTTAAAATAACAATTTGCTGTTCTAACTAAGCATCAATAGTTCCTTATCTTGGCGTTGCATCTACATCACATCATTTTCTTATCTAAGTAAAATTTACATAACAAAATAGAGTTCAAAAATAGGGAACACTTTGTTTAAATAGTTTGCAAAGATTGTCTCTCTCACAAATAGAGTAGTTTGTAATGAACATATGAAGACAATTTCTCTTTGCGAGGGACCATTTTATTCTCTTACATGAGTGATGAGCCTAGACTTTAATTTTGTGGAAGTCCGCAACACTGACAAATTCGACAGCAACCCTAACACTCAGACTATCACAAAAACATAAACACCACTATTATCAATTCCAAACTAACCAATACTTGGCTTTAATCACATAGAACTAACTCTGTTTTTCTTATCTTCTTTTTGGACATATCTCTTCAAGAATGGGGGGACACATTATATAATGATTAATGACCACAGAAGATTTTAACAACAACAAAAAATGACCACAGAAGAAGAAGATTACACACCTAAACCCGTATTGAATTACCAAAATACTAAAAAACTGACGATGATTATTCGTTTATTCATTAATACAAACTTTTTTTTTTATTAGTTAAAAGGTAGTGTAAATATTTCTCTAGCACTCCTCATCTTCACTTGTGTTTTGTTTCTTACTTTGTCTGTTTTCTTCATCATCGGATGGTTGTCGCCTTTCTTGTTTTTTCCCAACCTCCGTTTGCAGCAAGAGATCTTTGTTAATATCTTCAGATTCGCATCTCATTTCCTGCTCACAAACCAATTCACCAAAAGCTCATAAGTAACAATAATTGTTATCCTAATGTGAAAACAACAATTATGCTAATTGATTAACATGTTGGAGTCATACCGGAATTTTCCCTACAATCATATGAGCCTTGTAGGAAACATCTTTAACTTGGTTTTCATCACCCCAAGCTTCCTCAAACTTGCTTATTAACTTTTCATCTACAAGCTCCACTCCATGTTCCTTAGCCTTCATCGCTGGCTGCCAAGATCTCAAGAACCCTATAAACCCTTTAAGAGAGAGTTTATGAGGAATGTCTAGAGTAACAGGCTTTCCCTCGGATCCCATCCCTATGCTCTCAAAAGGAAATGGTATTGTCTTATAACCCTCGAACGCCAAATTCATAATAGGCGTTCTAAAAGGAAGAGTAGAGTCCACAAGGCCCTTCATTATGGGATCGACCTCAGGCGAGATAATGATATCGTTGTAGACCCAAGTGGCGATTAGGCCACCTTGTTTACGTAGAACACGTTTTGCAACGTTGTAAAAAGTGTCGAGGTCGAAAAAATGGAGAGCTTGGGCAGCAACTATAAGGTCTACAGAGTTTTCTCCACCGACTAGAGAAACCATTTCGTCTTCAGACATATCTTTGGGAGTGTGATGGTAGCTGATTTTTGAGTGTTTGACTGCTCGTTTAAGTTGTGCTTCATTTATATCGGTAGCCACCACATTATCATAATGCTCCACAAGCTGTCAAATATAGAGAGTTCTTGACATTGTCAAGAGTAGTTCACATACTATATCCTATTTATAATATGATGGTGAAGTAGAGAGTTCTTGTCAAGATTAGTTCACTTGCTATATGTTATATGTTCCATATATATGGTTGATGAATTGTTTTGTGAAAAAATAAAACGAACATCTATATATTATTTTCTCTTATTTTAAAAAATTTCTTCCACAATCTGTCTATAGGCTCATTTGCTATAAGTTCTGATTTATGATATTTTCCTATGGATATTTCTTTATTAATAGTTGTCGGGTCAGTTGAAAAAAACAAGACAAAGAAACTAAAAAGCAACAATGAATGTTCCGCCACCACGTTTGACTTATCTTCAGAATAATAGACATGATTCAATGAAATAAAAGAACCTGTCCTAACTCCTAAGTGATCTTGTTGTTCGACTTGTAAGCATAATTAATCTCCGTATCAAAACACAAATCGGATTATTCAAAATCTAAAGAAGAAGATAGAATTGTAGGTAGAAATAAGTTTACCCCAATAGCAGCTTGACCGTTACCAGTTCCAACATCCCAAGCAAGATTGTGGCCTTGTGTCTTTGCGGCAATCTTTTTGAACCAGTCGATCGGATATCTTGGCCTTGCGTCCAGATATGCTTCAGCCTCTTTCTCTGATAAGGTTGCCATTTTCCTCTTCTTCTTCTCTCTCTAGTCTCTCGTTTTTCTTTCCTATTTCAATACTCTAGACTTCGCTTTATACACAACTAAATCTCTTGTTAATGTCTTGTCTATGAAAAGGGTTGAAAAATGAAGTCAAACTTGGTTATCTTTGAATACCAAACAGTGTTGACAATTCAAACTGCATGCATATTAATTCCACCAGGAAATGTTAAAGAAAATCCTTGAATTTTGGACTTACTCACTTTTTTCATTTTTGTAGTTAGGCCCAATTTCACACGTGGTCCAACTGAAAGAACAGAGAAAAAACCGTATCCAGACCGTGACCGGGTCGACCCGGTTCTCCTCTTCCCTCCAGAAAAATAAAAAACTAAGCCCTAAATTCCCAATTGCCGTCGATCTTATCAAATTCCATTGCCGAGTCACTCCACCATCGACAATTCCCGCAGAAATCTCAGGGTTTCGTTGTGTGAATTTGCTCTAATGGAGTTTCCTCTACAGGACGAAGAATTGGGCGGAGATAATCCCGCTACAAACGCCAACAGAGCTTCAGGTATCACATTAATGGGAACCTCACATTGATTGATTTTTGGTAGATTGAAGTTTGAAGTGGTACTTTTCTCATTTTCTTCCGTATATTTTCAGGTAGTAAAAGAAGCTTCGGTGATCACGAAGACGATGAAGGTGCGAGTTCCGGATCGAAAAAGGTAATCTTTTGTGACCATAAGAACATTGAAAATTTGAAATTTGATTGGACTCTATACATTTCGTAGTTCAGTTTTTGCTCACTTGCTTAATCAGTGATGAGATTCCGCATTTTCTCCTTCTGAACATGTTAGCATTTCCTGTATAACTTGCGGAGAGTGTACAACCTCGTGATTTGCTTTCTCTTATCCTTCACTTATAGTATGAATTTTGTGAGAAAGTTTGTTGTTTATCATCGTTCAGGGTTGTAAGGAAGCGGATGAAGCAACAACTGCGATGATTTTGTCACTCACAGAGAGGTTTTTACCCAAATGCCATCTTCTACTTAAAATTTGGTAAAAAGAAAAGGGAAGAGTGTTTGCTTTGATGTATAATCCTAATCTTTTCTTTTGGTCTCTCTCTATGGCAGTCTTCAGAGTTGTAAAGATGAGCTTGCTTCATGTCAAGTATTGTTACTTTTTACTACTCTCTAATCTATTTATCTCTCTATGGTCTTTCTTCATCTTTTTGTATCTAACTATCTATCTCATTTATTGTGTGTTTTGGTTAGAATGAGCTTGTGTCAGCGAAAGCAGAGATTCAAAAGTGGGAATCAGCGTTTAAAAACGAGTCCTTTTTACCGTCTAGAAAAACTCCTGGTTAGTCTCTCCAATCCATGTTTGTTTTTGTACATTTTGTGTATGTGTTGCTACAATCCAAAATGATTCTTTCTGTTTGGTATTGTCTTTTCTTCAGAACCTAGTCTTGTGATTGACTACATCCAAAAGCTAAAATCTTCCGAGACATCTTTGAAAGAACAGGTTCTGCATTTGAGTATACATTAAAGTCTTGAATTTTCCAAACAGATTCTGATGGTTTTTTTTTCTTCATCTTTACAGGTAGAAATTGCACAAATGAAGGTAAATTCTCAAGCAAAATCATTCATTGCCTCTAGAACATGTTTCCTGACTGATGGATTTATTGTCTGCTAAACATAGTTTTGGGATTTTGTATTTTGCAGTTAGCTATCCGTGATCTGAAATCTGAACTCGTTAAGGTAATACAATTTTTTTTTTTTTTTTTTGTCAACGATAATACAATTTGTTAAAGCCATAGAGTGTGTGTTTCTTTTGAGGGAAACTTTTTGTCCTCCTTGTAAACCTTTTTCATGGGCTCTGGTTGCAGGCAGATGACGAGAGAGAGGAAGGATCTGGTGCCTCTTCTTCTTCAAACACTGGAATGGGATTGTTGGATCAGTTGATGGCAGCTAATGTGCAGATCAGGGTGTTGAAGGAAGTTCATATCGCCAAGTTGACAGCGACTGAGAAAGTGCACGCCGAGCAAGCCAAGACCTTGGCTTCTTTCTCCAACGTTGTGGCGTTTCTACAAGAGAAATTTCCCGACTTTGTTTTTCCACCACCACCACCGAAAGTTGATGAGCAGAAGAACTAAATTTGTTTCTTCTTAGTTTTCGTATTTTTCTGTTTTTATAACTTTTAATTATCTATATGCATCGGAGGATATTGTATGGTATTAAGATATTTTTTTAATTTCTAGATATATTTTTCATTTTGGAATATTGTTACAAATTCTCTCTAACTATTTGAAAAGAAAAAAAAAGATAAATCACGAAAAAGAAAGAATAAAAAAATTGTACAAACCGTCTCCAGACCAGACCGATCCATAACCCGTTCCTGACTCCGTCTCTTCTCTTCCCCGAAAACAAAACTAAACCCTAATTCCTCAATTGCCGTCGTTCTCGTCACACTCCGCTTGCCGTCTCTCCGTCACTCAAAACTATCTAGAATCTTGCCGGGATCTCAAGTTTCGTTGGGTGAATTTGCTCTAATGGAGTTTTCTTTACAGGACGACGATTTTGGCGGAGATTATTCCGCAGCAAATGCAACGAGGGCTTCAGGTCTCGCATTAATGGATTCCTCACATTGGTTTGCTTTATGGTAGATTGCAATTGGAATTTGTTCTCATTCTAATTTGTGTATTTCAGGTAGTAAAAGAAGCTTCGGTGATATTGAAGACGATGAAGATGATATCTTCGGATCCAAAAAGGTACCTCTTTGTGATCATAAGAACAATTGAAATCTTAAACTCTAATACATCGTACTTCAGTTTCTGCTCACCTCCTTGATCCCGCCATTGGCTCCTTAGCATTTTCTAGTTCTTCTTTGATCTCGCTGAATCATATCGGTTTATGAGAAATTTAGTTGTTTGTCTCACCTTCAGGGTCGTACGAAAGTGGAGGAAGCAGCCCCTGGTGTTGCAACTGGGATGATCTTGTCACTCCGAGAGAGGTTTTTTTATCATCTTGTCCTCAATTTCTGTCAAAAGAATCGATTGTGTGTTTGCTTTGATGTATAATTCTAACCTTCTTTTGCTCTCTCTCTCTCTCTCTCTCTCTCTCTCTCTCTCTCTCTCTCTCTCTCTCTCTCTCTTTTAATGGCAGTCTTCAGAATTGTAAAGATGATCTTGCTTCAACTCAGGTAATGTTACTATTCTCTAATCTATGCTTTTTCTATAACACTTTCTGTTCACGATTGCATCATTTTTGTATCTAAACTATCTTATTTGTTTGGGGTTAGGATGAGCTTGAAGCAGCGAAAACCGAGATTCAAAAGTGGAAGTCAGCGTTTCAGAACGAGTCCTTTGTACCGGCTGGAAAATCTCCTGGTTAGCCTCTCCAAGCCATGTTGTTTTTTCACATTGTGTATATGCGTTGCTAGACCCTTGACAATCCATAATGATTCTGTTTGGTACTGTTTCTTTCAGAACCTAGGTTTTTGATTGACCACATCCAGAATCTAAAGTCTTCTGAGAGATCTTTGAAAGAACAGGTTGGCATTTGAGTACAAAAGCGTGTACTTATCAATATGTATGGAGGTCTTGACTTTCCAAACAGGTTTTGAGATGGTTTATTTCTCGTTTCAGTTAGAAATTGCAAAGAGAAAAGAAGCTTCATGCATTGTGCAATATGCGAAACGGGAACAGGATGTGGCAGAACTGAAGGTAATTCTCATTGCATACCACATGTTTTCCTGAATGTTACCCTCGTTGCCTTTCAAATGTATTTCTTGACTGTCTGTCACCTATACTAAATGTCGCTGAACTCAATGCTTTGGTGTTGTATTTGTAGTCAGCTGTTCGCGATCTGAAATCTCAACTCAAGCCGGCTTCAATGCAGGTATACAATTCTCCCTAAATGTTTTCATTTTGAGCAAGTTACATAAAACTTAGTTGTTGGAGTAATTTGGACGTTTCTAGCCATAGTCCTCCACTTTTTATGCCATATTGCTCATTTGAGGGAATTTTTCTCTAGTCTAAATACAATGATAAGCGCATGTTTCTCTTAAACCTGGCATCTGATTGTTCTGAAGTCTAAAGTAGACGAAACGGCTAGCAATTTGAAGTGCATTAGTAATAGTAAGCAGCTCCTATGATCAGAAGTGTGGATGAATGATCTATTTCCTTAATGTTGTAGGCGAGAAGGCTTTTATTGGATCCAGCAATTCATGAAGAGTTTACACGTTTGAAGGTACCCACTCTTTTTCAAGCTGTTGTCTACTATCTAACCTTAGACTACCTTGTTATAACTTATAAGAATGCATTTTTTGTAAATATATAATTCCCTTAAAGAATCAAAACCTGTAGCTACTTAACAAAGTTGTTCCTTTTGAGTTGTGAAAGACCTGAAAGATGACTCCTTAAATACCTTTTGACTAAATGAAATTTGACCTCATGTTTCTTGTGTATGTTTTACGACAGAATCTAGCTGAGGAACAGGACAAGAAGATCAAGGACCTCCAGGATAATATTGCAGCAGTTACTTTTACCTCCGCGGGGAAGAGTGGGAGAATGCTTATGGCAAAGTGCAAAACCTTGATTGAAGAAAACGAGGAGATTGGATTCGAAGCTGCTGAAGGAAAGGTATTATTAGCTTACCTCTTATTTCCCAGTCTTCTTCATTTATGATTCCCTGAAAAGAGTAAGAAATATTGATGATTTTCTATGTTCTTCTTGTAATGGCAGATGCATCAATTAACTATGAACCTTGCAATGCAAAAGTCTCAAAACGCGGAACTTAGAAGTCAGTTCGAAGGTAAGTTCATATATGTTTGATAGGTTAGGTGTAATTGTAGCAAAGATTTTGTTACAAGATGGAGTTTGGATTAATGGTTTGGTTTAAAATGTAGGACTGTTCAAACACATGGAGGAGCTAACCAATGATGTTGAGAGATCAAACGAAACGGTGTTGATTCTTGTCTTTTTATCTCTTAATTCGTGTAAATTGTTTTCTTTGACATGGGATTTTGAAGAGACGAAACTTCACAGGTGAATATATTGCAAGAGAAACTGGAAGAGAAGGAGAAGGAGATCGAGAGATTAAAGAAAGAAGGCATGGAGGTTGTTGTTTCTGATGTAGGCGATGATAAGAAAGATGAAGCAGAAGCAGAAGCTGATGAAAATGATCAAATTCCTAAAGAAATTGATGCTGAAGAATAGTAACTATTAGCTTTCAGAATATGTACTTTTTGTACATTTTGAAGTTGGTTTACATTTTCTTCATTATATCTCTCAGTTTTATTTCATTTTGTTTTCATGAAGTTAAAGTGCTAATTTTCATCCATTTTCTTCTCCATATTTACATAATTACAATACTCAAATTGTCATATATTTTGAAAAAAAGACTAATACCTGGGCTTAGTGATATCAACTCTACTCAACTTTTACTGAATCTATGTGTTAAATGAGATAATATTATTTTACTAAAAAGAAAAATCACAAAGTAACCACTTTAGGTAATAATCATTCGTCAAAGCGAGCGAGAAATTCAAAATCCGTAAGGAGCGGGAAACAAATATGACGTGGAAGTATCTTAGTGGAAAGGAGCGTTCTCACTATCATCATCTCCATTAATCTGATCCTTTCAAAATCAATAGGGTTTATAATCCAGAAACCTTCACAGTTTTTCAATTCGGAAGATTTCGTTTTCACAGAAAACCAGAAAATGGAGAAATACGAGAAGCTAGAGAAGGTTGGGGAAGGAACGTACGGGAAAGTTTACAAGGCGGTGGAGAAATCGACAGGGAAACTCGTCGCTCTGAAGAAAACCAGGCTCGAGATCGACGACGAAGGCATTCCACCTACCGCGCTTCGCGAGATTTCGCTTCTCCAGATGCTATCGACGTCGATCTACGTGGTTCGCTTGCTCTGCGTCGAGCACGTTCTCCGATCGGCGGAGAATTCTCAATCCCCGAAATCGAATCTCTATCTCGTTTTCGAGTACCTCGACACCGATCTGAAGAAATTCATCGATTCGCATAGGAAAGGTGCTAATCCGAAGCCGCTCGATCCTTCTCTAATCCAGAAGTTGATGTATCAGCTCTGTAAAGGAGTGGCGCACTGTCACAGCCACGGTGTGCTTCACCGTGATCTGAAACCACAGAATCTTCTTCTGGTGAAAGATAAAGAGCTTCTCAAAATCGCCGATCTGGGTCTCGGCCGTACTTTTACTGTGCCTCTCAAGTCGTACACGCACGAGATTGTCACTCTCTGGTATAGAGCTCCTGAGGTTCTCCTTGGATCGACTCATTATTCGACTGCTGTTGATATTTGGTCTGTTGGTTGCATTTTCGGTTAGTCTCAGTGATGTGTTTTGCTCTTGATTTTGATGAATTCGTCTCTCTCTTGGCTGTGATTTTGTCTTGATGTTTGTTTGCATTGCTTAAACTTTCACAGCGGAGATGGTGAGGAGGCAAGCTCTATTCCCTGGTGACTCTGAGTTTCAGCAATTGCTTCATATCTTCAGGTATTTTGCATCTCCTTTCAGTTTCAACTTCCACTGTTTATTCTGGTTTTCTCCGAGCTTAATGTGAATTGCTTTACTTGATACTTGCTATGTTCTCATTGAATGGTACAGCTAGTTACATATTACGAACAATAGATTCCTTTATAGTACTGTTTTTGCTGAATTCAACTGATTTTGGATCCATCCTTGTATAGAGACTATTAGTATCTTAGAAATGGTTTGTTTGGTTGATGGAGATTGCTAGGAACACCGACAGAGGAGCAATGGCCAGGTGTAAGCTCTCTGCGTGACTGGCATGTCTACCCAAAGTGGGAGCCGCAAGACTTGACACGTGCTGTTCCATCTCTTTGCCCTCAAGGAGTTGATCTTCTCATGGTAATTAACTGCTTCACTAGTTCTCTCTCGCGTATTGTTGCAATAATAGCTCTATGATCCTCTTGCTTCTTCTTCTTCCTCTTTCATCTGATTCAGCTTGTGTTTGAACAAATGCAGAAAATGCTCAAGTACAATCCAGCCGAAAGAATCGCAGCCAAAACAGCACTTGATCACCCTTACTTTGACAGCCTTGACAAGTCCCAGTTCTGAAGCGAAGACGGAAGTCAATTGCTGAATTCATCTCTGTCATCATCGTCTTGGTGAATATATAAACATATGATTTCTGTTGGTTTCCGACATTATCACTGTCTCATGTTTCGATTATAGCTATTTGTAGTATTGCAAAAGAATCTGGTAAAGCTAGTTTTCTCATTTGAATGAATGGTGCGGTAGAAACTATGAACAGTATTCTTTCAAGTGAAAATAAAAGGGTCTTTAATTGAACTTTGTGGAAACCCAAATGTTACGTACAATGATATTAGTGTACATAATCGGCATTCTGACACACAAACACATGCCCAAATCGTTTACAACAACACAAACGGCTGCTCAAAAGACACACTAAGTTAAAAAGAGATTGATCGCTACACACAATTGAAGGAAACAAAATAATACAGATGTAGTAGTTGTACTAGTAGCAGCTAAACATGATGTGGTGTGTGAAATGAATCAATTGGACCACACATGAACAAGGCCATGTCTGTTTCCAGTGTATATCTCATTACGTTCTTCGTCATAGAAGAGAGCAGTTATGTCTTCCAAAGCTTCAGCCACTGCGTTTCTTCTTAGCTTTGCGTTGTTCCCTAAACTACTGCTACTGCTACTGCTCTCATCTTCTTTCGGAGGTCCACTGCTTGGTGTTATCTTAGCTAAGCATTTCCCTGTCAATATATTGCTGATATTGATCGATCCCGCTGCACAATTGGTACAACCAATAATCAGTGAGATTTTGACATTTTGTTATGATAAAAGAGGTTATGTATATGTTAATAGGGGCTTATTGTATTTACCATTTCCTTCTATCCACTGATCTTCTGTATCTGCTTTGCAATACGAGATGATCAGATCTTGATCACTTGTGATGTAGATATTGTTTGTGTTACAGTCCGGATGCCATAGAAGATGATCCTCAAAGGAAGTCACAAGCTCTCCCCGGAAATTCCAAACAGAAACGTTTCGGTTCCTGAATGTTAGAAACAGCTGGTTCTCATACAGAAATATGAACGCAGATGGTGTCATGAACTCAGCTTTATTAACTTCCATTAGATCAGCGTTTCTTACCTGCGTTTACATATAAAAAAAAAACAAACCTTTATAAGAAAACATGTAAAATAAAAGCTAAAGGCTTTTCATTGAATCAACTCACATCAAGAATTTGGAGATTCTCGTTCTCCTGCTTGACAAGAAGTTTCTCATTGAATTGTTCTATGAAATCAACTTTCTTGTTTCGGTGAAGCAAATGGTTGAAGGATTTGAGAACTGTTCCATCTTCTATTGACAGTATCTTTAGAGGAACATGACTTGTAGCTCTCTTGAAAATCAACAACATTATCCCTGGACTGATGCAAGTAAAGAGACAGGAGTTAAAGGTTTGTGATATTTGTAAACAAGAAGCACAAAAGGGATAAGGACAAATAAAGAAAAGTTACCTGATTTTGATTTCCTGGACATGTTTATCTGATATGGAATACAGCATGGTGTAGTTTTTCAGATCAAAAACCTTGTACACACTGCAATAAACAGCTACTGGACTCAGAGGAAGAAACATGTCGTCACAAAATTTGCGTAGTGAAAGACCAGAAAATAACCTGTCCTGCGCAGAATAAGTCAGCACCTTTCCATTGACATCATCAAACTCTACAAAACCAGGCCACTTCAATGATTCAGACTCGAAAAGAGCAAACCCTGCATCTGGCTGACCTCTCAAAATATACCTACCAGTTGAAAATAATAATTAGAAACACAAGATTGAATAAGCCAACAAAACATGGATCTTTACGGGAGAGAACGTACTCAATTCTAGTGGATCTGCATTTCAAAGAGCTGAAATTGTCTGAAGCATAAACTGAAACCGTGATGAGAGAATCGTTGTTCTTGTTGTAGAACAAGCTCCGTATGACTTCGTCTGGACTAACATTTAAAAAGCATATTCTTCTGTTCGTCTCTGCAATCAAATTGAGAAACCCAAAACATATAAAGCGTCTAAGTCACAGACACACACATTTCAAAAGTGAAAAGTAGTCAATTTATGCAAAAATACCTCTACTGAAAGCAGCGCAGACACCAGAATGGGCAAGCGCGAAGACAATGTCCCTTGCAGCAACAATCTCGATGACTTTCGTTCGTTTCATCAAAAACGGTAATGCGACTAAGCAATGTCCTTTGGGATCGTGAGTATCATATTGCTCCTGAAATGCAAAATCCAGTAAGCGAAAACACCTTGATTTAGTACTGATTCCATTTCATAGAATTTGGGGGAAATGCTAAGCAACGAGAAAGCAAAATCTAGGGTTTGTGAGGAGATTTACTAAAATGATATAAATTAGGGCAAATGCAAAAGGTTGAAGACTCAGAAGACATACCACGAGACGCATGTTGCGAAATCTCTCCTGGGCAGTGCTAATAGAGAAAGCTCGATCTTTCCGAGACGAGATTTCTCTTCGCTGAAGCTTCTTAACGCTATTGACGAACCCATCTGGCCGAGACCTCTTTTTAGCCACAACTCTTCTTCCACTGCAAGGTCTAGGGCTAGCTGTAATCCTTCTTCCTTCCATCTAGCTCCCAATTCTTACAGCAGGTTTCGATTTTTTGGCAAACCCTAACGATGAGACGAGGCGGCGAAGCTTAGAGGAAACCGTAAGGGGAGAAGAGAGAGAGTCGAAATCTCCGGAGGAAGACGGGAAGTGACGGCTACTACATACCCAGTGACGTAAGAGTTTGCAGATTCAGATTGGAAATGGCTGATTCAATGTTTCAAGCTCTTTCCTTCAAAATTCCCAAATTCGTGCACGAACCAGCCGAACCAATCCGAATCATTTCGCGCACATTGACGAAAATAATTAAAAGATCAAAATAATTCAAACGGTGCGTTTAGAAATTAGAAAGTTTCATGGGTCGAGTAACTTTGATGGGCTTAGACCCAATACAAGTACTGTGTCTATAATTAATTTTGTTCTCTTATAATTTAGAGTTAAATCATTATTCTGATTCTGATTATGAAAGTTGAAAATGAAGGTTTAGTTCACTCTTTTCGGTTTTAAAATTTCTTTTAAATATATAAACTGATTATCCATTAACAAAAGCTTATGTTGGACAAACTGTCTGCTCAACATTATTCATTTAATCATTATGTTTTGGTAACACGTATATATCACCAAAACTATCTGAATGTATGAGCAAATATGCAAAATGGTGCTGGAACAAATGGAGAGGCATGACCAGACTAACGGGCCAAAACCCAAAAGTCGTCTCGTGTGAGTGAAGAAATGGGCCCAGACAAAGACGGTCAGTTATTCATTAAATATGTAAACACCACACGTAATTAGCAACAAAAATCAACGGATGCATGTGATTATGTGAATACTGATTTTTCAACCTCCATTCGTCCACTTCCAGTTGTAAGAAATTCAATGCATTTATTGGACAACACAGAAATAGTTAGCGATACACGTTTCTTCGAGTAATTAATTAATCATTGAATTTTATAACGTTTTTCAACACCTACACATAATGCTTCCCACTAACCACGATTATCGACGGTCGGTTTCATTATTTACCATTCAAAATTTTACAAGTATCAATTTATGTTTCTATACATTTTCACTAGGCTTCTTTAAATACGTGTATCTGGTTAAACTGTTTAAGTAAATAAAGAGAACCTTCCGATCATTTATTCCCTTTATCAAGTATTTACTTCCAAAATTAAAAAACAAAAAAAGATAAAATATTAAAACAAAAAGGAATGATATTTCGGACGTGTTATTTGAGTTATGTCGTAACAATTGGTTTCCAGTTACAACAGCGAGAGAAAGAGAACTAGAAAGCGTAACAGAGAAGAAGAAGAAGACTTAGAGGAAAGAGAGAGAGAGAGAGTATGTCAGGCTTTTCAATGAAATCGGATGATAAAAAGGAGAAGCAAGCAGCAGCAGAAGCTCCAGCATACAAGACAATCGCTTCCATGGAAACGCAGTCTGCTAACGGCGGCGGCGGTGGAAAAAAAACGAAACGCAACCGCAACTGCAAACTCTGTATCTGCTTCACACTCCTTCTCATCCTCCTCATCTTCGTAGTTATCCTCATCTTAGCCCTTACCATCTTCAAACCAAAACGCCCAATCACAACCATCGATTCCGTCACCGTAGATCGGTTCCAAGCTTCAATCAACGCGCTAGCTCTCAAAGTCATCCTAAACCTAACCCTCCACGTCGATCTCTCCTTGAAAAACCCAAACCGCGTCGGATTCAGCTTCGATTCGTCGTCGGCGCTGCTCAATTACAGAGGCCAGTTGATCGGCGAAGCTCCTATCCCGGCGAGCCGAATCGCGCCGGAGAAAACGCTGCCTATGAACCTAACGCTGACGCTGATGGCGGATCGGTTACTCTCCGAGTCGCAGCTTCTCTCCGACTTCATGTCCGGCGACATCCCTCTCAACACGTTCGTGAAAGTCGCCGGAAAAGTAAGCGTCCTCAACATCTTCAAGATTAAAGTCCAATCGTCTTCTTCCTGCGATCTCAGCATCTCTGTTTCGAATCGCAACGTTACGAGTCAACACTGTAAGTATTCAACTAAGCTTTGATCTTTCTTCCCGAGAAGTAAGTAATCTGCTGTTTCAAAAGCTTAGTTTAAAAGCTCTATTTATCTATTTACTAGACTTTTGTCTTGTTTTGATGATTTTGTTTTTTTAATTCTTACCTTTTTTGTGGTTTAATTTCTTAAAATCTTTCATCTGTTCTGTGTGATGTGTATACGAAAAATTAACAATACAATCGCTTTTTTGCATTTTTAATATCTGTTCCGATCACAAATTGATTCAGCAAAACTTTAAGTCAAAAAACAAATCAACGTGTCAACGTAACAGCCGGCTATATATTCCAACATTTTTCATTAGAAGAAAATGTCAAAGGAAATCAAATCAGATTTTAATCACTGTCATATAATGGAGGCAGATTGTAAGGAATTAGTTGGGAGCTTGAATTGCATTCAAAGCACGTCTTCTTCATCTATGATCTAAATCCATTTATTTAATTATCTCTATAAATGGCTTCAAGCTCTGCAAAAATACAAACAAAAAAAAACCATCCACATATCTATCATGTGTGCATAACGATTTGTCATGGCAAAGCTTAAGCGTAGATCGAAACGGTGCGTTTGCTGCACTGTTTCCGGTGTCATCATAACCGTTCTAGTCCTTCTCTTCCTCATTGCCTTAACTCTGGCACTGACCGTTTACAAACCGAAAGATCCGATCATTCGGATCCAATCCGCAACCGTGGAAGGCGTCTCCTCTCGTATATCCTTACCGTTCGATGTCCATCTCAACTTCACACTTACTCTCCAAGTTCTTGTCGAGAATCGCAACCGTATAAGTTTCAAACACGAGACAGGGAAGACATTAGTTGTTTACAGAGAGAAGCAAGTCGGTGATGTTGACCTTCCTTCAGGTACTTTCCCGGCCAGAGGATCGTCGATTCTACCTTGTCGTCTCACTCTTCAGATCGATAAGTTTGTCGCCGACTTGAGTGGCATCATGCAAGATGTTTTGGATCGGAAGATTGTGTTGGAAACCAAGACGAAAGTCCCAGGGAAAGTCAAGTTGTTGGGCATCTTTAACAAACACTTAGTTGCTATATCGGATTGTAGAATCACCATGGACTTCCCTTCCATGAAAGTGCAGAAACAAGAATGTGGTATGAAAACTAAGTTGTGAATCTTCTTCGTCTTCCATAATTTTTGAATCTTGATTGTAATAATTTACCAGTATATGTTAATAGTCTGATTTTGCTTTACTTCTCACTAACAATGGTTATATAACAAAGAACAAACCAACAAATAACCTAAAGAATGAGCACTTATAAACCAAGTCGAAATTTGAAGCTCACAAAACAAAATAAACCATCTCATATCTGCATTCAACAACTGGTTCGAGATTACAATGAAAAAGTCTAGCAATTGTGCAAATTAAAGGATAAAAAAGATGACCTTAAACAAGCTCAATGTAGGCCATAGGAGCATTGTCTCCACGCCTTGGAAGAGTTCTGATGATCCTTGTGTAACCACCATTTCTCTCGCCGTATCGATCCGGAACCTCTGCGAACAAGGCGTGAACGATCTGTTTCTCGTAGATGTATCCGAGAGCTTGCCTACGTTTATGCAGCGAGCCGTCTTTAGCGAGAGTGATCATCTTATCGACGAACTTCCTCATCGCGCTGGCTCTGGCTCGAGTGGTTTTGATTCGGCCGTGTTTCAACAGCTGCGTCGTGAGTCCACGGAGAAGAGCTTTCCGCTGGTCCGGTGGTCTGTTGAGCTTCGGGACTCGCCTCCCGTGCCTCATGGCGTAGACTCGACCCCCGCCGTCGATGATTTTGAACCCGTCCTCGAAGCTACGCCAATCTGCGGGAGAAACCGTAACGATTTTGGAGATTCAATGGAGTTGAAATTGAAGCGGTTGTGACTCTGTTCAAAGGGGGGAATTACCTGGAAGTCCGATTGAGAGGAGAGGATTAACCGGAGAGAGACCGGTGAAAGATGGGAGAGGAGAAGAGACGGGGAGGCGAAGAGTGACCGGACGGCGAGAGGAAGAGGAGGAAGGTAATCGGCAAGTTACGGCGGAGGGGAGAGCTGATTTGAGAGAAGACATGCTCCAGATTCTACTCACGGAATCTGTTGGCGTCGCCATTGCCATTGGAATTGCCATTGCAGTGTGATTCTCTGCAACAAAGGAATGGAATGTTGGAGGTGCGGAGGAAAGGATAAGGAGGGAGGGATAGAGGAGGAAAGAGGACTGTGTTTATCTGAAACCTTCGAATGGGCCTTAATGGGCTCAAATAACGGTAACTCTCGTACAGTGTTGCAACTTACCATGGGCCTTGAGCGTTTTTGCTAACAAGAGACTTCCATTTTCAAAACAGATATTATTTGCATTTGGTATGGACTTGACTTGACTGGAGCTTCTTTCATTCTTTTGGCTATGTAATGTGTAATTGTGTACTAGTGTTAGGATTAGTTGGGCCATGCGTTGACTAACATTTCGTGTTAGGGTTATTTCTTAATTAGTTGAAGTAGGATTACTATTTCAGACACTCCAGAATAATCAGGATATCGGTATCAGATCCTATGATTTTACAGAGCTTTCTGATGTGAAATGATCAAATGAACAAGTAATTTATTGACCGGACTGAAGAATAAATTGATATATGTATGTAAATATGTTTTACTGTTTTTGTATATCATATAAACTTAGAAATTACTTTGTATAGATTTCTCAATAATTATTATGAAGAGAAAAGAAATACGCCGTTGTATGGCAACCACTCAACCAATTAATCTGAAAGGGGCAATAGAGACATTTCGAATATGAACTTGGAGAAAGACACTCAGCTTTTTACGCTGCGATCTTTCATATTGAGCCGTGTGTTTGTGTTGCGTAGGAAAATAATAAAATAAAATTTTAAGTGAAAAAATGATCGTAAACTAAAAAGCGTGGATGGTTTTTCTAGGGGTTCACTGCCATGCTATTATTATAAGGTGCCATGGGGGCTAGTGTTTGACGTACAAAAGTCTAAAAACTGTCAGTCAAACAGGTCCAAAACTTGGTAATAAAAAAAATACTAATATAATAATAATAAACTTTATAGAAAAATTGTTAAAAAAGGACAAAAGGGTAAAAGGGAGGATGGAGATGAAAGCAAAATGTCAAACACTAGTTTCAGATTTTATCGGGAACTGGGGTTTGACAGTTGGTGTAATGGACTCTTCAAAACATGTGCATCTCTTTACTTCCTTTCCCCTTTGTATTTACTGTTTAAGCTCTATGTCTTGTCCAATTGCTCACATGTAAATGCCCCGTGGTCCGTGGATTTTTTACAACAGACTTGTCTCTCCTTTTGTTTCTTCCTCTTTTTTTCTTTAACTAGAGACATGGCTTTTTTTAAAAAAAATAAATACAAGTTAGCAAGTTGGTTTCTACTCAAACACCAGTTAGAATTCTTTTCTTTCTCCTGTTCTGTCCTAATTTCAGCTTCATCCTAAAACATGTGCAAACCTCTTTTGGAATAAACCTCTCCTTCCTCCTAACAAATATTCTATCAACTTTCCCAGCCTTCTCACTTAAGATATAACTCACAGATAGCTTTACACAATAAACTAAATATAATTTGGTTCATAAGCCAATCATTTTTAATTCTTACGTAAATTTTGACATACGATCAATCAAATGGTCCCAATATAGCTCGAGTGTTGGGTAATCTGTTACTATTAAGTTGTGGAACCCAATCTTTTGGTTTAACAAAAAACCTAATCTTTTGGACCCAGTATTTGATCTGGTGACTGTATCACTACTTATGAATCTACCAATCAAATTATTCAGTCATTTGCAGATTAACATGACCGAAACATAAATCGAAATACTTATATCAAAATAATTTTCCAAAAATAAATAGTTTTAAATAAATTTTGAATTTATATTGTATTAATTTTCATATTTACAAACCATCTTCACTTGTTGAAATAATCAAGTAAAAAAAAACTGCGTAATAGTATAGTCTGATAGAGGAATGCTACTCTACAAAATATTATATTTTGCACCGGTTCCACGGAAATGAGGTAAATTATTATATACCAATCAAAAATATTATCTTCTTGTTGTTATCATGAGAGGGATAGAGACAGAGAGAGAGGGGGGAGAGAGAGGTGGGGGGGGAAGAAACAAAGATGGATCGGCAAAGGGAAGACGTCAAACACGCAACGACGAACATCTCCGATCTCCCACCTAATCTCTTCCCATTTCTATTATTTTTTAACCAAATTAATCCTTAGAAAAAGCAGAGAGAGAGAAGAGCAAGAAGTTAATATGAATAGAGGTCTCAAGAGTCATTAAATGTAACGAAGCGACATTCACAATAATTCGTAAGGAGGAAGACGAGCTAGATACAGCCAGTTTCTCACTTCTCTCAGTGTGTCCTCGTCCACCACAAAACCAAAACCCCTTTCTCTTCGGGGAATCAATCTCCAACTCACTCCCTTCCAAAATCACTCCCACTCTCCTTTTCCTTTCATCACTCATCGGAGATCGTGAAACAAGAAACATCACCCAAACTTAATTAAGAATCAAGAGCATAAACCCTTTTCTGTTTGGAAATTTCGATTTTGGATTTTCCCCCTATTTATAACCATGCAATCTCCCGACCATCCCCTCAATCTCCATGGCGGATTCCGGCGATCTCAACGGCGCTCGTAGTCCGTTAAGAACCACTTCTTCCGGCAGTACCAGCAGCAACCGCACTGCTCCTCCCCCTCCTCCACCTTCTTCTTCTTCCTCCGTCATGGTGAGAAAGCGATTAGCTTCCGAGATGTCTTCATCTTCTTCCTTAAACAACCCTGACTACAACAACAACAACAACAACCACCGTCCTCCTCCTCGCCGTTCCTCTCACCTCCTCGACTCCAACTACCTCATGACTTCTCCGCCACCGCCACCGGCCGACACCACGACTGCCACCACTCACCCAACGCCACCGCTCTCCGTCTGCGGCTTCTCCGGTCTTCCGGTTTTCCCATCAGACCGCCGGACGACTTCCATGTCCGTACAACATCCGCCAATGGAGCAAGACTCTTCGTCTTCCTCCGCTTCACCTACAATCTGGGTCGACGCCATTATCAGAGACTTAATCCACTCCTCAACCTCAGTCTCCATCCCTCAGCTTATCCAAAACGTTAGAGACATCATCTTCCCTTGCAACCCAAATCTCGGCGCTCTTCTCGAATACAGACTCCGATCTCTCATGCTCCTCGATCCTTCCTCCTCCGACCCTTCTCCTCTTCATCAACACTTCGACTCCATCTCTCAACAACCACCTCTCTACCAGATCTCCAACAACCCTTCTCCTCCACTAACGCAACAACAACAACAACAGCCTAAGCCGATTCAGCAGCAAGAAAGAGAAAACTCTTCAGCCGACGCAGCACCACAACCACCGCCGTCTCCGGCGGTGACGACAACACAAGACACTGTAGCGAACACGGCGGAGGCGTTAAGAGAGAGGAAAGAAGAGATCAAGAGACAGAAGCAAGACGAAGAAGGTTTACATCTTCTCACATTGCTACTGCAGTGCGCTGAAGCAGTCTCTGCTGATAACCTCGAGGAAGCGAACAAGCTTCTCCTCGAGATCTCTCAGCTCTCCACTCCTTACGGAACCTCCGCGCAGAGAGTCGCCGCTTACTTCTCCGAAGCAATGTCCGCGAGGCTTCTCAACTCCTGCCTCGGGATCTACGCGGCGCTGCCTTCGCGGTGGATGCCGCAGACGCACAGCTTGAAAATGGTCTCCGCGTTCCAAGTGTTCAACGGGATAAGCCCGTTGGTGAAATTCTCGCATTTCACGGCGAATCAAGCGATTCAAGAAGCGTTTGAGAAGGAAGAGAGTGTACACATCATCGATTTGGACATCATGCAGGGGCTTCAGTGGCCTGGTCTGTTTCATATTCTCGCTTCTAGACCCGGAGGTCCTCCTCACGTGCGTCTCACGGGACTTGGTACTTCCATGGAGGCTCTTCAGGCTACAGGGAAACGTCTCTCCGATTTCGCGGATAAACTTGGACTGCCTTTTGAGTTTTGTCCGTTAGCTGAGAAAGTCGGAAACTTGGATGCTGAGAGGCTTAATGTGAGGAAGAGAGAAGCTGTTGCTGTTCATTGGCTTCAACATTCTCTTTATGATGTCACTGGCTCTGATACACACACTCTCTGGTTACTCCAAAGGTAGATAAAAACACTTACTCTACCTTTTATCATCCATCACTTATATTGACAATATATTATAAAAAGTGGTATTTTTGGGAATAAACAGATTAGCTCCTAAAGTGGTGACAGTAGTGGAGCAAGACCTGAGCCATGCTGGTTCTTTCTTGGGAAGGTTTGTGGAAGCTATACATTACTACTCGGCTTTGTTTGATTCGTTGGGAGCGAGTTATGGGGAAGAGAGTGAAGAGAGGCATGTCGTGGAGCAGCAGCTGTTGTCGAAGGAGATAAGGAATGTTTTGGCGGTGGGAGGACCGTCGAGGAGCGGTGAAGTGAAGTTTGAGAGCTGGAGGGAGAAGATGCAGCAGTGTGGATTCAAATGTATATCTTTGGCTGGGAATGCAGCGACGCAAGCGACGCTTTTGTTGGGGATGTTTCCTTCGGATGGTTATACTTTGGTTGATGATAATGGTACGCTTAAGCTTGGTTGGAAAGATTTGTCTTTGCTTACTGCTTCTGCTTGGACGCCTCGTTCTTGAAAGATTGAAGTTTTTTTCTCTCTTTTATTTTGTTTTTGTTTTTTCACGAACAATGCTGATAAATAGATTTACTTTTTTGATTCTTGAAGTTATTTTGTTGTGCAACTCTGTATCTGCTGCCTGATTTTGGTGGAATATACATAGAAGTTGAAGCTTGAGGAGTATAAGAAGTTAGCACTAAAAGATCAACACATACAATGATAGTCGATAGAAATTAGTCCAACATTATGTTACTTGTTGAAATAAGCATGTTACGCTTTACAGACTTCAACAGATGCAATGATGGATGATACAAACAAGTCCAACGTTATGTTACTTGTTGAACTAGGCATGTGAAAACATGTTACACTTTTGCCTCAAAAAAGAAAAAAAACATTCCGTTACATTTGACTATTTTCGTATTCAGACTTTTGGTTATTGGGCTAATTGCCCTTTTAAAATGCGACTTTTAACACAACTTTTTTGGTTTGTTTTGATAAAAATGTCAATTGCAAACCTGAAAAGTGAAAACCCTTTTAAACATATAAATTCTTTATTTTTTTGAATGCATAAAAGATGAGATGATTTGGATTCCGTATTAAAAAACTCTTCCCCTTTCTCATGCTCCTGTTTTCAACAACGACGGAACCCTAGTCTGGTTAAGTTCGATTTGCCAAAAGTCCACCGCGGAGCTCCAATTCGTCTCTCTCAAAATTGACCAATCGCTCTGTTGCTTTTCAATTTTTTTTTTTCTGTTTTCTTCTCCTGAGCTCGAGTGTTCTTCGGTTGAATCCATTCCAATTTATACGGCTACTTGATCGCTCTTGCGATTGATCTCTTGTCTATTCGCTGCGTATCTGATTTTTCACCGGTTTCAGGCTTGTCTCTCACCTCTGGGCTCCCTGATTTGCGCTCTCTCTTATCTATAAATTCTCTTATTCCAAGTCTTTGTTCCGCTGTTATCACAGCTCATCTCCTCCGTCTTCCATTCACTGGTGTCTTTGATCCGGCGTCGTCGCTGTGCTGCTTTCAGTTCATCGTGGTATTCTTATCTTTCTACCTATTTCATTTCTATAGATCAGAGGATTATTAATTAATTTTCCGTCGATTTGAGTACTTTAATTTGTTGGTATGTCACTGTGCAACGTTTAACTCTCAAGCAATCGTAGTTGTCCCATTGCTTCATCTATATCTGATTCCCCAATTAATTAGCGAAGTATGATTGACATGTATTAAGGCCTCAAAATTGTTAATTGAACTTAGAATGGTCTGTATTGCTGTATGCATCCGCCTAGCCAATGCTGTTTTTGCTACTTAGTGGGAATCTCTTCCTAGATTCCTAATAGTCTCTTTACCTAAATTATCAGTCTGATGTAGATATGCATGTTTTTGACGACCTTCTGAGTTTTAATTTGCTATGGGTTTATTGTAGTACAACTTCTCCTTTTGTGGTTACTGATCCATCCTTTAGTCTTGTTACTGATAACGTTCCCTTGACTCTAGCTTTATGCTAATTCTGGAAGGTGTCTTTCACTTTGGAAGAGCTCTTTTGTTTTTGAGGCCTTTGAATGGGGATTATGATCAGTCGTGGGAATTCTTGATTATATGTGCATTAAGGGATACCTGTCTGTTTATGCGTGTATTTCAGGAAAGTTTGAACATTGAGTTTTGAATATACTCTCCCTCGGTGCAGTGGCCGGAAATGGATCCTAGTCGATATGGTCGTCAGCAAGAGTGGGATAATAACAGTGTAATTGTGGTTTTCTCCTTACATATATGGGATGATAAACAAGAAATATTTAGGGATGTTGTGAATGTCAATTTTTACGGCCCCTCATCCGTGGAGTGATAGAGACGTGGAAAATGAGGATGTGGATGGGATTTGGCTTACGTAATATCTCAAGTCATGATGTTTGTTGCTGACATAGCTTATTCTCTTCAATTCACAGGCTCCGGAGGGGTATGGTACTGAGCATGATCCAAACAATCGGTGAGTGCTAGTATACTGCTATCTCTAATTTGCATATTATGTACTTTTCTTGGTTTGGGTATTTGTGCCTACATATTCATTACAGTTCATTTTCTTTCTTTCTTTACTGTTCCTCCTATTCAACATTGCTCTTACAGGTTTGGCGCATCATATAATGATGGATATCCCGATGAAAGGTTGTTGCGGGATGATGTCTACAATTATCCACCTGGGAATAATACTGTGGGTGCTTTGCCTCAATCTAGGAGGAGAGACTATGAAGAAAGTTATTCTCGTGAACCCCGTAGGCAAGAAAAGCCTTACCCTGATACAAATTGTGCTGATGATTATTATCACGATGTTGAAGTTGGGAGTCGTGATGGATACTACCGTGATCATGGACACGAAAGGTCGTCACGATATGATGGCCGCGATGACTACGCTGGCAGTGATTATAACCATAGGTCTAGAAATCACCATCATAACAGAGATGATAGCCGTGAAAAAGATAGTGGATATGGTCGCCGGAGTTATGATTCTGATTATGATAGGGGCAGTGAGAGAGGTGGCAGTAGAAAAAGCCGGGATTCGCAGGATAGAGAATGGGACTCACGTGATAGAGAATGGGACAAAAGATGTTACAGCCGTGAAAGAGATGTTAGTCCACGTAAGAGATATGAGAAATCTCGATCTCGATCTGGCGGACGTGATGGGTTCTCTAGATCAAGATCTCCTAGAGGTCGGAGCCATGGGCGGGGTTACCGGGAGGACAGCTACGAGGGCGATCACTGGCATGAAAGCGAGAGGCAAAGAGAATACGAAGATAGACATGACCAGGATCATTTTTCTGCTGTATATATATTCTCCCATCCCTGGTTTATATTAGTTTGTTGGAGAGACATCTAAAAATCATTTCCTACATTTTTCATGGTTTTTGCTAGACCCCATCCGCCACTGTTGTTGTGAAAGGTCTCTCGATGAAATCAACAGAAGAAGATCTACACCAGATTCTGGTAATGTGTTGTTCATTTTCCAAATTTGCATATCCTCAGGGTTACAATATTTCTTGCATGACTGAGTTGTTCCCTTATGCATTACTAGGCTGAGTGGGGTCCTCTGCATCATGTTCGTGTGATACGAGAGCAAAATACTGGGATTTCTCGTGGATTTGCATTTATTGATTTCCCCACGCTGGTAATTCTCATTAACTAAGCTGTTAGTTCATTGTGCCCTTGTGTTTTATTAAATCCAGTGTGTGCAATTATGTTTGTTTATCTGGCCAGGATGCTGCGCGCACCATGATGGACAGAGTCGAGCGTGATGGTATAGTTCTGGATGGAAGGAAGCTAAATTTCCATTACAGGTCTTTTAATAATTTACTTGACTCTGATTTCAATATTACATTTGGAATTCCTGGAGGGGCCATTGATACGTTACCTTCTTGCACTGAATTGTGGTGTGTTGCAACAGCAAACCTATTGGTAGGGCTGGTGTGTCGCGTAGGCAGGAACATGCCTCTAGGCGCAGTTATGGTGGAAATCGAAGTATGATGGTTCCAACAGATTGGATGTGTACAATCTGTGGCTGTATCAATTTTGCGCGACGAACCTCCTGCTTTCAGGTTGGTGCATTATTCGACAAGTTATGTAAAATTCATAGTCAGGACTAAAGTATAATGTATTTTTTTTGCATTTACATTAGCTTGTTTGGCGGTATATAAGTTTTCATAAATTAAACATCAAAAGGGGCACTTATGTAACTCCTTTGAAATGATCTTTATTGATGGGTTCTGCCGTTCTGATTGATCATTCCTGCTATTTATTTAATCTCTTTAAGTGTATATTAACCGTTAAATCTTGTGGTGGTTAGTTGTATCTATAGACCTTCATTTTCATTAAGCTGTTTATGTCTTTGTTAATGGTATAGAACACCCAAAAGTCGTAGGCGCAGTTAAAGTATAACAGAAACAATTTATGGGCATAGCATAAATATTGATGATCTTTGTCACCTTTTGCAGTGTAATGAACCCAAGACCAAGGATTCCCCATCAGCTGATGCGGGTTTATCAAGCTCAACACTAGGAAAACGAAGTTCCGAGACAGGTTCTGTTCAGCTTATCATTTAAGATGTTTTAGATTTCCTTATTGGGTCAGAAAATAGTTGAGAGTGTAACGGTTAAGTTTTTGTATGTTTGTCCATGCCCTTTATACCTAAGAAACATTATTTTTATCTTCTTTTGCAGGTCCAACTCATGTTTTAGTTGTACGTGGGTTGGATGAAGATGCTGATGAGGGAATGCTTCGTTATGAATTTTCCAAATATGCTCCTATCAAGGTAGACAAAACCCTTTTGGATTAGTTGTTTCAATAGGATAGTTCTGACGTCAGCTGACCTGGTTTTCTCTGTCCACCATTGTGCAGGATCTTCGACTTGTGAGAGACAAATTCACTCATGTTTCACGAGGATTTGCATTTGTGCATTTCTGTTCGGTAGGGTCTCTAAGCCAAGTCGACTATTGCACTCACTAGAACTGTTTTAATATGTTCAAATATCTATTGTCCCCAATTTATGCAGGTAATTAGTTAACTCTTTTAATCCACCTACCAACTTGACACATAAGAATATGATTATGTTCATGTAGGTTGAGGATGCTACCAAGGCACTTGAAGCAACAAACGGAACAACTCTTGAAAAGAATGGTAAATATCTTAGAGTTGCATATGCAAAGAGTGTTCATGGTTCTGGAGCTGGTACTGCAGGATCCTCTCAGTCTAGCAACCTCGCTGCTGCCGCAATTGAAGCAGCAACATTTTCTCAACAGGTACTTGAAGAATATTTTCATACAGTTTCCCTTGTTTGTGTTGGTTGTCACACATTAATCGATAGTGAAATTTGATCTTCTAACATAATGGTTAAAGCACTAGTTTTTCAGTAGCACCCTGTAGCTTTTGTTGAAGATTGTCATGCTTTTGATTCTTCTACTTCATCTACGCTGTTATGTTTATTAGTATGACGCTACTGGATGGGCTCCAAAGGAATACACTCCTGATGAGAAACAAACCACTGAAGGGCAGGCCCAGGGCGTAGGGGAAATAGAAGCCCAGAAAGGGGCTTCTGCTCCACAATCCGGCTATGTGTGGGATGAAGCATCTGGTTATTACTATGATGCTGCTTCTGGATATTACTACGATGGAAATTCAGGTTTGCACTCGCTTTTATGTCCTTATATGTTTGAATTTGTTATATGGTTACAGTCTATTAAGATCATTTTCGGCAAAAATATGACTTTCAATAACACATCTTGCACTGGCAAAACATGTAATGAGTAAAAGTGCCCTTCGGTAATAGTTAAAAGGTTGATCGGGTATAATTGGTAATGGCTGGTGGAAACAGTCCTTCGGTAGATATTTTCTTTTACAAGATAGTTTCTTAGCAAATCTTTAGCTCTGGTTTGTTCAAACTACTATCAAGGTAGCTTGGTGTCACTGGTGTAAGAAGAGAGTAGTATTCTTTTACTAACCATATGCTTCTAAATATTCAGGTCTTTATTATGACAGCAGTAGTGGGCTTTGGTACTCTTATGACACTCAAACGCAACAGTATGTTCCTTGTCTTGAACAGAACAATGAGAGTAAACCAACTGAAAAACAAACAGAGTCTGCCAAGATGGAGAAATCCAGTCAACAAAAAGTTATTATCTCTGCCGCTGCTACCTCCAATGTAGAAAAGTCTCTCTCCTTACCAGATGCGGTTCAGGCGGCCGCAGCAGCAGCAATTGCATCAGAGAAGAGAGAAAAAGAGAGAGTGAAGGAGATAAAACTTGCGTCTAAGAGTAGCATACTGGCTAACAAGAAGAAAATGAGCAACGTTTTAACAATGTGGAAGCAGCGGAGCCATGAAACACCTACACAACGTCCCTCACTTGGTGACAAGCCACCTACGGTATCAGCTGAAGCAAGGTCGGCTTTCTCTGCTGGACAATCTAAAGGCAAGCCGGAATCTGATGCAGTGATTGCAAAGGAGAGAACTACCTTCAATCATGAAGTTTCTGCACTGACAGCAACTACAGAAAGCTCGAGTAGCAGTACAACAGGAGGACCTTTGATGGGGGTGATGAGAGGTTCTTTTGGAAACAATTTGGGAGGATCTTCTTCTTCTTCATCAGCTAATGTACAAGTGACTCCAGTTTTGCCTTCTGCTCCTTCACCTTCAGTTCCAGTTTCGGTTTCTGGGAGTGGGAGAAGAAGATTCTCTGAAAGGCCGAGTGCAGTGCCTAGTCACAGAGAACAACCTCAGCCTTCATACCGGGATCGTGCTGCAGAAAGAAGAAACTTATACGGATCATCAAGCTCGAGTGGAAATGATGTTCTTATGGATTCAAGTAAGCATTCTTGACTACTCTCTCATCCTCTCGGTATACTTTTTCGTATAACATAATTGAGAAAATGGTGTGTGTGTGTGTGTTTGAATGAAGATGAGGATACAATGGGGCTGACCAAAGGTTCATTGGACCCAACACCTTTTCCTCCTGGTGTGGGTGGACGCGGGATTACGACAACCGAAGTCGGTAGTTTCGATGTAATCACAGAAGAGAGAGCGATAGACGAGAGTAACGTGGGAAACAGAATGCTCAGGAACATGGGGTGGCACGAAGGATCGGTAAAACTTTTAAAACCCATGTATTTGTTTTATCGGTTTACCGTTTACGGTAGGGAGGAGAGAGTGATGGTTTGGGGATGTGCAGGGTTTGGGGAAAGACGGGAGCGGAATGAAAGAACCAGTGCAAGCACAAGGCTTCGAGAGGAGAGCAGGACTTGGGAGTCACCAGAAGAAACTTGATGCTGAGTTTGAGGCTAAGCCTGGTGACACTTACAGAACTATCCTCCATAAGAAAGCACTTGCCAGGTTTCGTGACATGTCTGACAATAATTGACAAGTTGGGAGGTTTTTGTTTGTGTGTAAAGCGGAGATGGAGTATTAATATATTTGTTGTGTTTATCACTGTGAAAGTGATTTGATTTTGCTCTTTAAGTCTTATTGTAACTCGGGTTTTTGTGACATGGCTTTTGATTCTTCTCGAGTTGATCACTCGTCATACTTGAAGTTGATAACGAGTTTTCAGTAACCGGAAATTAACAAAACTTACAAATGCTACTTTTTGTAAGCAAGCACAGGAAGTCTTTGCAAGTTTTTTTTGTTTGTAATCTTTCACGGATTTACAGTGTAAAATTGCCTAAAACATTGAACTTCGCCAGTAGGTATATGACTTGCCTAAAACATGAACATCGCCAATAGGTTCGACCAAATCGTGATGAACATAGGTTAATTTTTATTTTTAAGGTTTTGAAGAACTGTTCTAACGGATACAAGAAAGGTTGTGTTATTTTGAAAAACTAAAAACTTAAAAATGCCTTTTGTGAGCCTCCAAGTTATTTATGCATTGCATATTAATTTTAGCCCGGAGTACAATTTGTTTGTACATCTTGTCTGTCTTTCTCAAGTTGGATCGATTTTTGTATTGGCTGGGTTTTAGTTGCCGCCGGCTATTTCTGGATTGATGCCTCAAAAAAAAAAAAAAAATCTATCAGTGAATACACCGTGATTTACGTTGTCATATTTGCTCAATGGAAATGATGGCTCTCCTCTGTTTTTAGTTTTACCGATCCCTATATATACACACACAAATCAACACTTTTCAAACCTATACCAATTTATTTTAAAATAAGTTGGCGAAAATTCAGCCAGCCAACAACAGGTTTTTCATCATGAAGAAATGTGAGTTTTTCATTGATTGATATAAAAGCAAGTTTTACTAAAGCCATGAAACAAATCTGATAAGCTAATTCTATTGCTTTGATAAATTTTGACAGGGATTGTGGGAGGAATATTTTTAGTAGCGTTGATTGGATTAGGAACATGGGCTGCTATTGTAATGACACCTCCATCTCCTAAGATATGTGGAACCCCCGGTGGACCTCCTATCACCGCCCAGAGAATAAAGCTCCGCGACGGCCGCCATTTAGCCTACGAAGAACATGGAGTTAGTCGACAAAACGCCACCTTCAAGATCGTCTTCATCCACGCTTTCGCCACTTTTAGACGCGACACTGTTATCGCCAACCGTATTATGACTCCTGTAATGATCTTGATCTCTTCTTCTCTCTTACTACTTCTCTTCTTTTTATTGCTGATCATAACTCGTTTGTTTGGTCAGGGGTTTCTTGAGAAGAACGGCATCTACGTGGTCTCATATGATCGACCTGGTTATGGAGAGAGCGATCCTCACTCGAGTCGCAACGAAAAGACTTTAGCTTATGACGTTGAGCAACTCGCTGACCAATTACAACTTGGCTCCAAGTTTTACGTGGTTGGATACTCAATGGGAGGCCAAGCCGTTTGGGGTGTTCTCAAATACATCCCTTACAGGCTCGCTGGAGCTACAATGCTTTGTCCCGTTGTCAACTCATGGTGGCCAAGTTTCCCTGATAGCTTGACTTGGGAGCTGTGGAACAAACAATCTAAAACCGAAAGGTTCTCGATGCTCCTTAATCACTACACTCCATGGCTGGTCTATTGGTGGAACACTCAAAAGATATTTAAACAATCAGCTGTGATGCAATCAAGCCCTACGCTGTTCTCAGCGCAAGATATGGCTCTACTCCCGAAACTTGCCGCCAGGGTTGCTTACAAGAACCAAACGACGCAGCAAGGGAACCACGAATCGCTGGACCGGGACTTGATTGTGGGATTCGGGAAATGGGGTTTTGACCCGATGAGGATTGAGAATCCGTTCCCGAAAGGTGAAGGCTCGGTGCATCTGTGGCAAGGGGATGATGATCGGCTCGTGCCGATACAGCTACAGAGGATCATTCCTCAGAAACTAAGTTGGATAAAGTATCATGAGATTCCAGGTGCTGGTCATTTGTTCCCAATGGCTGATGGGATTGCTGAAACTGTCTTGAAGGAGCTTTTGCCTATTCCCCAAGCATCTTAAACTCAATTCATTACATTTTAGACTTGGTTAAAGAAACAAAACAAATTTGTACATTTTTGCTCCCACAGCCCCAAAATTAATATTATTATACATCAATTTATTTTCGTTTTAAACTTTGCAATTTGTTTTGGTATATGTTGCAGTACTCTAGTAAAAGTAAACAAAACCAGTGAATATTTTTTTATTGGACATAAGAAAGCTTGCACTTATTCAGCCACATATATCCTTACTTAAACTCGCAGTTTAAGGATGCTAATAATCATTGTATTTAGATTGAAGCAGAGAAAATGATTACTTGGGCAGGCCAGTTTCAGGATCAAGAAGAGCTTGAGTTTGGTCGGGAAGCACGACAGGACCTCTTCCAGGTCTGGTGCAGATGAAATAACTGACTTCTCCTCGTTGATCTTGAGATCCAATGTTGTTTTTGATTTCAGGTGGAGGTTGCAGATTCTCTACGCTGTTTGCTCCATCTAATCCTGCTTCCTTTAGAATCGAATTATCTCCCACTACGTAACTGATGAAACATTTAGAAACCAATATCATTACAGAGAGCTCATACGTTATAGAAAACTGCAGGAAGCGAAAAGAGAAAGTTTCAAGCTCTCACTTCCTCATGTCAGTGTCAGACTTTGGTGGGAAGTAGTAGAGAAGCCCCTGGAGCAGTTGAACTGCTACCTTTCTGTTGCGTGCAATCAGTACAGCATTTGGGCCAGCGTCAAACGTGTAAGCAACCTGTCAAGATTTAAGGTTTTTCGAGTTCTTTGTTGTTTATATACTAGAGAAACAGCAATGAGATTTGACATAAGGTGGTCTGATCTATCTCAAAAGGTATAGAAAGACACAGCTTGGTTTCAGGACTTTACCTGAGGAGTCCCTTCAGAACGGTTCCACTTTTCAACTAAGCTAATTATCCTGTGGAAACAAGTTCACGGGTTTGATATAAAAGTGAAAAAGGTTTGATGGAGCTAAAAAAAAAAAGAAAAAAGCAGCATATGATAGAAAAATACCTGTGGGAGGTGTCATTCATGTAAAATATGGGTGGAGATGTATCCAGACAAACAGCATGAAACTGATTACTGTCTGCGCAGCTCAATTGTGTAAAAGATGAGAAATCTCTGGTTTTTATAGCTTCCTCCATTGCGAGAATCCGTTTTGGCACAACTTCCTACAGATAAAAGAGCAAAAACAGGAGATGAGGTATAAGAGGTAATCCAGAAATTCATCAAACATCAAGAGAGGAACGTACTTTTGCTCTATGCTGTAAAAGCAAACTCGTCTCAACACTTTCACGCATTCCAGAGGTGCTGCTCGTTTCCTTCTGCCGTGAACTCACCTGTGTGAAGCATAAGCTTAAAAGACTTAGAGAACATATAAAGCATATGATAAGCAGGCACTGGATTATCACAGATTTCAGATCAAATTATTCAAGCTTGCGTTATTCTTCGTGCTGGATGTATTAATCTAGAGTCTACTTAAATTCACTTTATCAACAAAAGCAACTCAAACTGTGTCCTGTCAATACATATTCTTATAGCTCAAGTCTAAAAGTCGCTTGACAAAAGATTTATAAGATCCATACCACAGCAATGATGATAACAAGATCATCCCAATGCTTCTCATCTGCCAGTTGAACTGCAACGCTGTCACTTCCATCTTCTTTGCTTCCCATCGTCCACTTGACAAATCCACCAAATAAACTGCGGCAAGCACTTCCTGAACCTTGCCTACATGAGAGAAAGAAAATTCAAACCATGTATACCAGCACCACTTTATATCTAGAGGAACGTCTGTTATTCAAAATACTTGTTACTGTAACGAATGATAATGCAAGCAAGTCCACTACATATGTACCTGGCTATCGCAGAAAGATGGCTTGGATCTTCATTTACATTCATCAACTTTGCAAGAGAAAAAACTGTAGGAAAAAGAGCAGTTTAACATAAACAACGAGCATTCAGAAGCTCGTGATCAACCTTGAGAACTATAGATAATTTCATTGTTATTAGAGGAAAGATGAATAGTTAACATCGGCTAAATTAAACTTAAGCATGAAAGTTTCACCATGATAGACTATGAATATAGGAGCTAGGGAGATAAGGGATAGAGAGAAAAAATTCCGTCTGGCATTTCGATTTGCAAGAACCTATTGATGTGTTACATTATGGAAAATGACAAGCTAGAGAAATCAAATGGAGAATCTTTGCTAGTTCTGTTGCTCAAAAACAAAAGGCAGCCGCATCTTCATAAGTTATCCATATATCTACGGAATGAAAACACCACGTGGTTCCTTCAAATTTTAAACGGGCAAGGAAAGAGTTCGAAATACCATAACTTTTTCATGTATCAGGTGTTTAACCAACCCCATGAAGAAAAAGGAAGAATACCTAGACAAGCAAATCCAGCTGCTGAAGAAGCTAATCCAGCTGCAGTAGGGAAGTTGTTATGAGAAGCAATATGCAGATGCAATTTCTCCCAATCTTTCTTCGCTATTTTGATTCCCTTGTCCTTGTCTTCAACATCACCAGCACGACCTCGAATCTCCCTCAAACAGTTTTGGTACCTACTTCCTGATAGAGATATTTCCTACACTAACCAAAAAAATGCCTTTATAGCCAAAATTTTGATTTCACACTCTTTAGCCTAGAGAACTTATCCCATTAACGATCTTCCTAAGTTCATATGAATCAAAGCTAACCCAAATCGAGCTCAGAACTGAAAATTCGAATTTCAGCTTTAAAGTTTGAACCTTTAAATTCGACAGCAAAAGACGAAGAAACAGGAGAGATCGTAAGTAAGAAAACGAAGCAAGTACCTTGCCATTGAGCCACATTCGATCCTGATCAAAAGCGGGACTAACGGCGACTGTAGTGACGGTGCAGAGGTGATCGGGATCAAGAGTTACGCTAATGCTATCGTTCACGGGAAGAATCCGGACCTCGTCTCTCTTTCCCCAATACTTAATCACGGCGATGTTCGTCGGAGTTTGCGCCGTCACCATATACACCCATTTCTCGGCAGCCATTTCAAACTCTCCTCCAAACGTATAGGAGAGGATCTTTCACGCCCAGAGATCTGGAGCTTCAGGTGTTTAATAAATCCAACGAAATCAAAAAGAGACGGAGAAGTCGAAACAAAAAAAGTGACTCATCGCCTGTAACGGAATTCCGACAAATATAAAAACATTATAGTATACAAAAAAATTGGTGACATCCACACTTTATTATAACCAACAAGAAAACTTGTAGTATCAAATATCTTTCTGTTGAAATGAAAAACACCAAAACATAACCTACAAAGTTTGAGAGAAAAAAAAAACAAAAGGTTAGATAGGATACTTTGTTACAACATTTTTTCGAATAACACGAAGATAAGTACTAACTCAAACGTTGTGAAGACGCATAATGTATTAAGTTGTATTAAGTAAACACCATGATTAAAGCAAAAACATTCATAAGTCATAACTTATATAGATTTGGTTAAGATAATTGAAGAAAGCATCTCATTCCAAATATCAGGGACACCAGGCAAGCACCAGTGACTACAGTCTGACGAATGTCCAGCAACACGATGGTGCTTCTCTTCCTCGCGCATTGCTCTCTTGAACACTGAAGGATGTCCGTCTCTCCTGTACGCAGACATTGTTGTGATGTCGTGCAAATACACTCGATATTTCATACTCATTAGCACTTTCTTCAACACTCTCGAATGCTCAGTAACGTGCGATCTGTTCAAAGAAGAAGGCAATGGATGTCTCTGGTTGTAGCACTTTTCACCACTCTCTCTGCCAAATACATTATGTAACATGATCATTATGATGCGGATTTTGTTCATGTATGATTATATACGAAAAACAACCTCGGTGAGATGGTGCGGAAAATGACTTTGGTTTTGGAAGGATCAAGGTTAATCTCAACCCATTTAGCCCACGTGGTAAGTCCTCTCTCGTAAGCAACCATTGGGTCCATTGCTTTGAAGAGCTTCTCCCCTTCCATGTAATAGTCCCACCTAAAACCATCAAATAATTTAACTCGTGTTATTATTACAGTAAGGAGTCTCACATTTGCTTTTGGAAGACTTACGAGCTCCATTTCTGAGAGTGGGTCCACCAGTGAGCAGAATCGAATACAAGAACATCGACACCTCGCCAGTATCTAGCATTGTCTTCGATTGAGTCCAAATGCAACACTCTTTTATGGTCACCTCTTTTCTTGAGCTCCACAAGCAGAGGAGCCCAACAGAACTCAATTAATGTTTCATAATCCTGCAAGTAACCAAACTAATTAATCACTTTCTTTTACTAACCAATAATAATTATGTGGTACAAAAGGAGGTTTATGATGATTACCAGAGAATGGAAAGACATTGTAGGACCATTGTAAGTGAGCTTCTTGCGATGAGTTGGGATCACAGATTGTACTAAGCAGACAAGAGACTCCCACTGGTTTCTCATTATTGAATCTCCAACCAACATTATTCTTTTCTTCCTCATTTTCCCCAGAAATTTCAATGCGTTAAACCTAAACCATCACCAATCAAAGAGAGCTTATTTTATTTTTGGTAAGAATAAAAGCTGCTAATTATGGACTAAAAAACATATATATTCAAATCAAGCTGAGAAGTAAACTAGTGTGGCTCACTAGATCCTACTGTTTTTAATTAGTTTAAGTAAATATAAGAACATATAGTATATGGAGACAAAAATAAATAAAATGAAAGTAGAAGAGTGAGAGGTGTGTGTGCCTTGGAAGTGAACAAGACTTAGGAAGCCATCTCCATTTCTGGTAGTAAGAGTCAGGTCTTCCATTTCCCTGGCAGCTTAGCGCAGGGCTTAGATACGGACAGTCCGAGTCATAGAGAGGATACGTTTCGTCGTAGCTCCATTTCCCTACCGAGTAATCGCACCTCTCCTGATCTCTTCTTTCACGCCTTGTCTGCAACGCGTTGAGTGGATCGTCGTCGTTATCGCCGACTAGCCATAGCTCATCAAGCTGGGACGATGCTTCTTTGCTGCTAAGGATGAAACACAGAGACAAGAACAAGACTCGAGTGCAGTTTGAGGTAGCCATTTTGGAAGAAACTGAGCAGTGTGGAGTGGACTTGGAGAAAAGATTAATATAGAAAGAATTTGGATAAAGTGAAAAAGGTGCGTTAATTACGGAAAGTGGAGGTAATTAGTAGTTAGACTTGTGCTTGAAATCATGTGCCGTGACTTGCGTCTCCTCTTTTCTCCATCATATCCCTTTTTACTTTCTTTTACTTTACAGTATCCGAGGCGGGTCTAGCGAGTGTGGAGTGTTTATTTATCATTTATCCAAATGGAACCAAAGTACATAGCAATCCATAAATACCAAGAAACAATTACAGAATCAAACACGAATTCTTTACTTAATCAGTGTCCATGAACCAAGGAACAAGCCAACAGTTATATAAACCAAAGAAGTGTAGGGTTTTGTTGTAGAGACCCAAAACTCTCACTGCCCCAAGACAGACCCACAACAATTACATTTCAGCTTTTTATTCTTCTTAATGCTTATTAAATTCACAACAACATAATACAAAACAATGACACTGTGCTCTTTTGGTTAGCTTCTGTACCAACCAGGTACCATCTTAATATGTCAGATTCTCATAAGTCCAGAATCAGAAAATCCATTTATCTTGATCATCAGAAGAGGAATCATCTAACCATGTTTGGTGGATGTGCATCCACGTCAGCTTTTGCTGTTCCCCCTTTTCATTTTATAAGCCAGTTTCAGATTTTTTTACATATTTATTTAACCAATCAAATCGTTTTAAATCTTAAAGGACATGAATCAAGGTTTACCTGGAAACTCAGTAAGACTCTTGTTGAACAAGACCTCACTTTTCCCTCTGCAAACAAACAAAAACCAACAAGAGCAAAACATTAGAACATGGAAACAAACTTCTGCAGTATCCAAGGAAAACAAATAAACTAACAATCTTTTTCGATCATCTACAAGAAACAACGATCAAAGATCATCTAAAGGAGTAGACTTCTTACCAGATAACTCATGCTTGTCAAATTTCACAAGCCAAGACTCTGAAGTAACATGAGAAGAGGAAACTTGATCCAACCAAATGAGAAACTGTATTTCCCTCTCGTCCCCATGTAAATTCTCCATCTCATCTATCCATTCATGTATCGGTTTCTCCACTCCAGATGGATGTTCCAAAATACCAAGTGGACTCTGAAACATTGGCACATTGCAAAAGCAGAGTTTACCAAATCTTTCAGCAAAGTTCTCCTGTATTAAATTTGAACATAATGCATGTTGAATAAACAAACTTACAGAGAGCGATTTCAAATGCTGCAAATAATTCTCAGGCCTCTCCACCTCTCCACATCTCCACTTCTCATAAAGCAAATAAAACCGGACAACCTCATGAGCAGGATCCATAATCTCCACGTTGAAATTTTGAGTATCCAGAACATCTCTTGGAGAGATGCTTGGTCCCAAATCAAACCTTTGTAAGGCTTCTATCATTCCAGCTCCACATCTCTCGGACGCAAGAATGATCTTTGGGTTGTCCACTGCATTCTCCTCACGCCATTGCAGTAAATCGTTGTGCGAATTGCTAACCTTGAACAGTAACACAGCAGCACAAATTACGACCGCGCACGCAATCAAGCAAGCATGATAAAAACTTTTAAAAGAAAAAAAAACAGTAGGAAACTAACCATTACACCATACGCTTGAGGGATCTCAAAGAGCTCAATGTCGTTTCCAGAGTCACCACAAACAAGTATCTTAGAAGTCAGCTTGCCTTCAACCTCAAACTTTTCAAGTAGATATGTCAAAGCTCCTCCTTTGCCAGCTCCTTTTGGTAATACATCGAAAGCAAAGTCGTTGCTATAAACCAGCTTCACATCCACCTAACAGGAATATCAACCGTCATCATCAGCACCTAAAGGATCAATCTTTGATAAGAATAGCAATCAATGAAGATTGCACAAAAAGTCTCACCCCACGCTCCAGTAATATCCCTGGAAGAATCTCCATTATTTCAAGAGCAGGTTCTCTATCCACAGAGAAACTCACTTTATGCTGCTCTTGACTCTTCTCTTGCTATAACAGACCAAAAAAGGGACCAAATTGCTACAGACTCAGCATGAGAGTACAAAATAATAATTCATATTTGGTAAGTGTCCAAACAGTAACACAAAACTCTCAGACTCATCAAAATTAACATAATTTTCTAAAAATAGGAACTTCAGCTGCATCTGTGCCAACAATATTATATATCCTTAAAAACAAGTTTTTTATTGAATTTATAACGAACTTTAAGTAAGAAACTAAACCCATTGTCAATTTTAAGAGATGCTTAAGAATGTAATCATCAAATTTTTTACTTCAGTTTTAAACAGAAATTCGAAGTCAACGCAACAAGAAACAAAACTCAGTCAACAATGCAAAACGAGAACAATACGTTGAAGAAATCGTCTACCTTAAAACCAAAAAAAAAAAAAAAAAAAAAAAGAAATCGTCTACCTGCAGCTTAAGGTCAGGGAATTTAGATGTTTCCTCGAGAACAATGTCTCTGTTCCACATGTCACCCAAACGAGCCTCCCAGTCATCATCGGAAACCGTCGATTCACCGCCGTATACAATCTTACAACCAACGGAAGTTATGGCGATGTCCGGAGTCAACAACGGCTTCTTTTTCCTTAGGCTCAGGTAAGAAAGGTAAGACCTTCCGGTGCAGTAAACGAGCAACGAATCGTGGCGATAGTGAGCTTCCCAGAGCGCATTGAACCTAAGCATATCGGCGTTTTCAGGATCATCGTGATCAACCTGCAGGATTTTTGGGTTGAGAAATGGAAATGAGATTCGTCGAATCTAAAGAGAAATTGAAATCAGAAATGTGTGTGTGAGAGAGAGAGAGAGAGAGGAATTGGGAAATCACCAAAGTGCAATCAAGATCAGTAACAAGGATGAGACGTGGTGCTCCGTTAAGCCTATCCATCGTTTTCGGCTGCCGCAATGTTGCTTATTCCTTCCGTTTGTTTGTCTCTTTCCGCTTCCTAGTTTTGACTTTTAGAGGAAGACAAATCTTTTATTCTGAAACTCTGTAGCATTATCATTTTTTTAATTTATAGGCAAAGTCTTATTTTAACATTTGATTAAATTATTACTAATGATGTTCCTGTAAACACGTCTGGAAAATTCCTCCTCCCATCAAGATGGAGACTTTGTTGAGAAACTGTGCTGCGTTTTGCATCGTGCATGATAGACTTGTAAGAAATTTCATTATATTATAGTCTTATTACAACCCATAAGACCTGCTCAACAAAGGAAAATAGTAAGAAAGTTTGCTGAACGATGTTAAGAAGTTTCCGAAACTTTTGTTTGAATTGATTTCAGAGAAAATGGGATCTAGATTGAAACGTGCACGAGAGTGATTACTATTTCCATTTAGAAAACGGAAAGAAATGAAAAAACCAAGTGTCACAACTTAGAAGTCAAGAGGAATCGGTCTGAGTAGAAACTTTCATAGGAATAACAAGAACAAAAGAGGAGACAAAATTTCAGCTACAACTTAGATTCTATGGAAACACCCAAGCACTTCTAAGCAAGAAGATAAGTCAGAGATCGAAATTACCAAACTCATTTGAAGAAGGACTATTGAAGAGTTAATCTCGGTTATTGATTTACTGGTTTATTCCGGTTAAGTTAGGGTACTTGTAGAGTCTGTATAACATCGAGTATATGTCAATAGTACAGTCTTTCATTTTGAATCAGAATGAGGAATTGGGAGATTTGCATAAGGGAAATTTCAAAACTACACCTCTTGAGGTGCAAATTTTCAAAAATACACCTCTATGGTGACAATTTTCAAAACTACACTTTTTCATTTAGTAAAAGAACTCTAAACCCTAAAATATAAATCCAAAACCCTAAAATCTAACATTGAACCCTTAAATCTAAACCCTAAACCCCAAAATCTAAACCCTAATATAGGATTAGTGAACCCAGACATATATATTAAAATTGGGAAAAGGTGTATTTTTGAAAATTTCCACACTATAGGTGTAGTTTTGAAAATTTGCACCTCAAGAGGTGTATTTCATAAAATTTCTCTTTGCACATAACAAACATTTCTTCACAAACTTCTGAAAAACTTCTGAAAATTTCGAATTTATCAAATTATGTGTACGCAATGCACGACATACCATATTCCCACTGTTCCCACCTCCCACAAAGATTCTTCTTCTCCATCAGCAGTACATTAATTACTGCAGCTGCTCCGGCATTACTTTTACATTAACACTTATTAGAGCATGTAAACAAACATATCAACATCTTTTTTCCATCATCTTCAAGAAACAAACATCAAACAAATCTAGTTGTATTGAATATACTTTTTCAAGAAGAGTATACAGTAGTTTCTTCTTCTAAAGATGGAACAACATCAAAACTAAAAGCCCACTAGCAAAAAATAGAGGCCCAACTAAGACGAAGAAACACGAAGTCCAAAAGCCTTTTCTGTTAGAACTTTTTAATCTCATTTTTTAATTTATTGTGTCGTCATAGTTACGAGAAGAGCGGTTTTATTATCAGCGAACGAAAAAAGAACGGTTTTTCCCCATTTGTTGTTTTTTTAATTAAATTAAAATTTACTTTTTTTGCAAATTTTCGTCGGAGGCTAAAAAGAAAGACGAGGAGGAAGAAGAAGGAACCAGCATTATATATCAGCAGAAGCATTCTCTGCTCTTGAGAAACTCGCAGCCTTACTAGGTAACAAAACCCTAATTTTTTCCCCTTCCTTATCAAATTATATTTTCCGAATTTTCCCTAGAAATTCACGACGGTGAAGATGTGAAACGGCTTTCCCGAGCAAATCGAATTTCTAAAAAAAGCTTTTCAAATCTATTTTTCTATTTCCGAATGCCTCTGATTCGATTTCTCTTTTCGAAAATTCTGGTGATTGATTTATCTGCAGTGTGTGTTGTAGGGTCAGTTTTCGCAGAGTGATTGGATGAGCTTGGGTGTGGAAGTGAAGCTAAGAGGAGGTCCACTCTTGTTGTTCTCATCAACGTTGTCATTGTGGCCATCATGGCACAGCAACAATCTTCGCGACTCAATCGTCTCCTTACTTTGTTGGACAGTATCCTTTATTTTTTTCCTCATGGTTCCTCCTTCTTCAATGATTCTGCATATCAAGCTGCCCTTCTTTTCATTTTTTGCGTTTCTTCGTTTTGATATATTTTTTGCCTTCGTATCGTAATCTTCGAGGATGTTCCTGTTCTCCTTAACTACAAATTTTTACGTAGCTGGTTCAACACAAGCTACTCGGCTTACTGCAGCCAGGCAGATTGGGGATATCGCGAAGTCTCATCCTCAGGACTTGAGCTCTCTATTGAGAAAGGTAGAGTCTTGTCTGTTTTGGCTTTTTGGCTTTCTCCAATTATTGGGGGTTCTAAGGGCTAGGATTTCGTTATGGGTTTTACTTTTTAAATGGTTAGGGCTGTGGCCGATTGTTATACTGATGGGAATATAACTGAGATGTCAGTGACAGTGGCAGTGGAAGTCACCTGTAGCTGTATTTTATGCCCTTCTCTTTGGATATAGTAGTTTTAGGTGAGTATACTGAGTAGATTCGTTGATCCAGATGAGCTGAGAGATAATGTAGTGTGATGTGTGGTTTAAGAGCGCCGTGGTGTATGCACTGCCTTATGAATCTCAAGTTTATGTTGGGTTCAAAGGTGTCATCTTCATGTCCCTGCATGGCTGGAGAAACATGTTTCATAGAGCTATACACAACAATGACTCCTAGGATTGCCTCTCCTATTGTTTGACACCTAGCTACAATATATCTTTTAATAGGCTATTGTCACTTGTCAGCATTGTTTGAACACACTCAACCGATAATTTGTTAGCCCATACCGCTCCTAAAGAATGTCAAAGCTTTGGATAAAGAATTTAATGGATTTTCAGAATGGAATCTTAAGTAGAATGACCACCTGCCTATCAATTTCAGGATTTAACTCGCATTTCTAGAGTTTATGTTATTAGATTGAAGTTCGAGCTGGTCTTATTCATAAAATAATATTTCTACTCAGGCTAGGTTTTGTTGTATGAAAAACTTGTTTGTGCTGCTCTTTTAGGTATCGTAACTTTTAATATTTCTTCTTAGCATTATATTTTCTTATTGGTCTCTTTGGCTTAACTCCATTTTTCTGGGAACTAGGTTTTGCATTACCTCCGTAGTAAAAAGTGGGATACGAGGGTTGCTGCTGCTCATGCTATTGGTGCCATTGTTCAGAATGTCAAGCATACTTCATTAAGTGAACTGTTAAATTCTTTGGCTACAAAGTTGGGTGAGGCTGGGATGTCTGGTAATGTAGATGAAGTTGTGGCTTCAGACAGTCTTCAGTCCAAACTTCTAGCAAATGCTCCCTTCAGAAGGTTATGAATTGATCTGTTACCCAATACATATGTTTTTCTTTCACCCACTGTTAAGCCTTCTTAGCTGGGTTTTCAGATGTCCATGTTAAGGTTGCCCGATGTGTTTTGATGTCTCTAACATTTGGGTTTTGGCATGTGCTAACAGCTTTGAGATGAATAAGGTTTTAGAGTTTGGCGCTTTGTTGGCATCTGGTGGACAGGTAATTATATCAAATACTGTTGTTTACTTCTAGGTTATTCTGTAAGATTTCAGCTGATTATCTCTGGTGTTATTGCTTTTGATGCCTTGTCTTTAGGCCTAGGCAAACATCTTTGTGGCAGTTAGATTTTTGTCAGCCATAAATCGTTTGGATTAAGTAAGCCACTGGAATAACATTAAGTTTGACGGCAGTCTGGTTATAAGTGTGTTAGGTTGCATTAAGTTATTTCTGGCATCGTAAGGAAACATATGTTGGATAGTAACTTTTCTTAAATTGTCATGGAATTTGTTATTAGCGGGATTTTTATCACGACAATATCGCTTTGACAGTATATGATTTACTTTTCTTCCGTTACCCGTTTCATTATTTGGCCTGAAAGATTTCACTGACTCTGTTTCTGACTAACCTTACCACTTGATGAAACAATACCTTACCTTCGTTCTGTTTCTTTGGACTTTTGGGTTAGTGGGGTATGTGAAACCATCTCTGATCGCTCCTTTTGCCCTTACCGCTTTTTCTTCCTCATACATTTTTGTTGTTTCCTTGAGATATTTTGCAGTTCCTTTTTGTACAAACAAACATAAAATCAGATGATACCGAAATTATCAACTGTTTCTAACATGGAGAAACTTTTTGTTGTTGCAGGAGTACGATATTTTGAATGACAATTCCAAGAATCCGAGGGATCGAGTAGCTCGTCAGAAAAAGAATCTCCGACGACGTCTAGGTAGTTACTTAGGCTTCTCTCCTTTTCTATTAAATAATAACCATGGGAAGTGTTCTGAATAGTCTAGTTTCATAATTGTGAGATACCAGGCTAGTATATATGTGTATATTTTGAAAATCGAGTATACAAGTCAAACACATTCGTCTAACTTTACAATATCACTGTATTGGTTCTCCTCCTTCTTCGTTAAGTTGATCTAGATGCACTAAATATATTTTGTTTACTTGATTGATGCATCTATTGAATGGACTTCTGACAATCTATGGAACAGGTTTGGACATGTGCGAGCAATTTATGGATGTCAATGAAATGATTAGAGATGAGGATCTTATTGAGCAGAAGTCCAATGTTCGTGTGAATGGGGTTGGAAACAGATTATATGCAAACTATTCTCCACATCATATTCAACAATTCGTTTCAAGAATGGTTCCCCGTGTCAATTCTAAGAGGCCAAGCGCAAGGGAATTGAATCTACTGAAACGAAAAGCAAAAATAAGCTCAAAAGATCAAGCCAAAGGTAGCTGTGAAGGAGCAGATGTTGAGATGTCATCATCTCATGTTGCCTCAACCTCAAAAAGAACTTTGCCCGATTCACTGGATTCTAACAAGGTATATGGATAACGCATACTC